TTGCTTCAGAAACAAAGAGTTCAGGTTTGGTCTATCTTATTGTTACAGTCTCAGCTATATGAAGATGTATGCAAACTGCACGTAATAATATCACAAATGGATAGGAAATCACAGTAAATGGCTACATATGCATCTGTATGATACTCTGTGTTTACAAGGGGTAATAGAATAGAAATTCCAATGGATTTAAGTTCTCCTATCTATTTTTACTTTTGTCTTATACTGGTATCTGTATGACAACGGCTGTCTAACAAACCAGTATCGAGTTTTGTGTTAAAGTGTATCACCTCTACTAGCCATACTTCAATAAAAGTCATTAATTAACGAAGAAATTAGAAACGTAGTGAAGGCATGTGGTTGGCAAGGATGTGTGGGAGATTGAATAATGAAAAGAAGATCGGTGAAGATTTTTAAAAAACTACATAAAGCGAATACATTTGTGACTTTGAGAACGATTTCGAAGCATTTCATCAACAATTTCCCAGAAGTGACATCTAGCATCTACATAAATCTAGCGGCACTACCAATACCCACCTACGTGGATCAAACCAATAGCCAGTGACTCTATGGAATGAGAATTTATTTTCATCTGACAACCAGTTTACCTATTCTGACTACAAATCTTACATCTGGTACCATCATTTATTTCGTCGGCTTCTCATCAGTTGCTTACAGCCTAAATAAATTATTATCAAGTTTAAATACAGAAAAGTTTTAACACACTTGCAAATTTTACATGATATCAGTTGACAAGAGGTCCCGGACTTAGTGAACAGTGCTCAGAAAATTACGCCTTTTTAGTTTTTGCACAGGGAATTCAAGTTTAAACAAAGTGAATCTATGCATACTATGGTAAAGGAGTTACGTAATAAAGACGAGGGGTGCGTAAGATGATGAGTAAGTACTTTACTATTGTATGCATGCATTCACTTTGTTTAAACTCGAATTCCTTATGCAAAAACTAAACATGCGTAATTTTCTGAGCACTGTTCACTAAGTCCGGGACCTCCTGTCAACTGACATCTTGTAAAATTTGCAAGTATGTTAAAGAGTTTCTGTATTTAAACTTGATAATAATTTATTAAGGCTGCAAGCAACTGATGAGAAGTCGACGAAATAAATGATGGTACCATATTATTCTGCAAAAACTTTTGTTCTTGCTTTATTTAAATTCATAAAGGGGAATAAATGTATGAAGTGTTACATCTGTTAGCATTACTCGTCGAGAAAGGTGGATTGCTCGCCATGCATAACAGATGTTATATAGCTACCTGAGTCGATGAAGTTTGACTTACTTTTCTGACTTAACCCCTTCTTCTCATAAACAAAAATTAGTCCTTCAGTTAAAAATAAGACGATATCACTGGTTGTTAAACTTAGAATCATTTGCAATAACAAATCAGTGGATAACAGCTTCACCATACAAGATAAAAGAGTTTATTAAAACATAATCATAATGTTATTTGGTCTCTAGGGAGTAACCAGTGACATTAGGACAGTTTTCTCAAGGTTACAGATTCACCTTGATAATGAGTAAAAATAAATACGGAACCCACGTATAGAACTTTATGCTAATTTCCATAAACTATACAACATAATCATTATACAAGCTTAAGCAGTTCGTGGTTAGTAGGAAATTTTTATCCCTACTTTTTATGTATAAAAGTAACTAATCCATGCAGATAAATCGATGCTATGCAAATAAGAGTAACATACAATTAATTAGGATGGACTTTGAGACGAGTCATCAATGAATTTGCCATAACAGTTAATCCAACCAATTTTCGATTGATCACTTAGTTTAAAAAATCGTCTGGGAAAAGAGTTCTAGTGGTCAGTCTTTTTTAGATAAGAAGATGTAGTGTTCGAAAGCTATCTGAATGCTTTAATCTGTCAATGTTGTCGTGGTAATTTGATAAATACAGCTTCGAGTTATAATTAGATGGTTGGAAGCTACCAGTAGGAAAGCCTTTCTGCCGAGTGCCTCCAATAATTCGAAGTGCAAGTTGCCTAGTTGAGCGACCACATTGAGAACCTACCTGATACAGTTTAGTAGGCACCACCATTAAGGACTAGACACATATGACATTGGTTACACCTCAGTAATTTTTTATCCCTTTACGTTCCCAGTGGAATATAGGGTTGCAAGATAGAGGCTTGAAGTCTTGGTAGCAGTGGTGTTTATTTTTACAGGATGGGGTTGCTAGCCCCATGCCCAACCTTCCCTCTTTGCCAGTCTTATTATTGGCTAAACGAGGTAAAGAAATGTGTCGACTGGGGATCGAACCTCAGACCACATGAGTGGTCGGCGAGCGTTACACCTCAGTAATTAGTCAATGTAAATACACCTCCCATTATAACATTAACTGCCTTTATGATGAATAATTTTGCTCTATTATGACAAATAATTGCATTTTTTGGAAACAACTAGTAGCCAGAACAAATCAATATTTCTAATACTACATCTTTAATGTACCATTTTACTGAGTAAAATATGGAAGAAATTAACGAAAAAGAAATAACGATTTCACGCAGTATAAGTTATAATTTTCCACATAAGGTGAACAATAAACACTCATTTACACATATTCATTAAGTTCAACCTTTCTTTAATCTTTCTTTCTAAGATTCAACTTCATGTATATCTTAAAATGAGAACGTAATACCGCAGAAAACCAAAATAAAGAAAATAAGAATATCACAAAAATTGGGATTTTAACTGCACCTTTTGTAACTATGACAACATGAATCGCCTTATGCAATATGGTTTAATTTACCTTAGGGTTACTGCTAACTGAGAGACTACTGATTCGAATCCTGCAGCCACTTACATTTTTAATTCATCTTCAATTATCACTCATTATGTCAATACTAGTCTGGCAGTCCTAGTATGTTGGTAGTTCAGTAGTGGAACGCTCACCAACCGACGCACTCCTAAACCTCATCTAGCTGGTGGTGAGCTCAGAAAAGAGGGAAGGTTGGGTGTAAGGCTAGCAGCCTCACCACCCAGAAACATAGAGTAACATCAGTGATACTGGGAATTCAAGGCATCAAGCCTGAAGTCGTATTTTCCAATTGGAACACAAAGAAGCAGAAAACACAGTCAGCCAACCTAAAGTCATAAAACCAGGCAATCTTACTATTAACAAATATGACTCACTTACTAAACAGTTCGGGGTCCGTCTAAGTTTATTATAAACTTACACATTGGCCTATCTTATATAAATTTATCTTTTATAAATCATCCAAATAACTTATGATAATTCGATGTTCAGTTTCATTACAGCATGAGACGATGATAATTATTAATGTTATTGATACAGAAAGAACAGATTGTAGGCAACTATACATTTAGAATTAAGCATAAAAATCATTGAATTATTCAAATACGAACAATAAATTAAGTTAAAAATGTGCATAAACTTAGAATGAAACAATAAAGCACTCTAATAGTACAACATTACTAACATATGGTAACGGTTAAATTGAATATTAGATAAGGTTATTTGATTTAACATACACACAGTGATGCAGTGTTAATAACTGAATGACGCGTCAAGTACACTTTATTGCTCAGATAATGATATATATTCAACCAACTTCCTAACTTGTATCTTAATTCCAGCTGGAAAAAGACTGACGTTCAAACAAACCATTATAGATACGATTTTATTTTGATGCATCACACAGAGAATATAAGGCATCTACAGTTATACCATATAAGGAGGGGCATCTGAGACCCTCCCTACGTAGGATTCTTAATAAAGCAGGAATTATAGTGGCATTCAAACCTACAGACTTACTCAGGTAGAATAAGCTGTGTAGGCTAAAAGACCTTGCAATGCCTGTGAGTGAGGTCAACTACATAAGTCAAACAAGTAGATCAGGAGTAGCGAGATTATCAGAACATAAGAATTTAGCTAAGGTTAGAATGATTGATCCCACGAAGATAAGTAATTCAGAAAAAAGCTCAGCAATCACACTGCATGCATTAACACACAACCACACAATAGGGTGGGAGAGGGTTAAAATTCTAAAAAGTAATATTATAGGTAGGTGGAGAGGGAAGTTGACTACTGAATCTGTGATCATAGAACCTACACTCAACATGTAAAATAGAAATGACTCATCACTCATACCAGAAATATAGAAAATATTATTGCCAATCAAGTCAAGAGATGAGAAATAGTGGAATCATATAAACGAAGTTGGAAAGTTGTGTGAGCAACTTGATATGATTATGAGCAATAAATTGTGCTGGAAACGTGGTCATCATAAAATATTACTGTACAACACTGTGTGATTTACCAAAATAAAGTCTTATCCATAATGGAGTTATACTCTACCACAGTGCCCAAGTTTTATTTAAACAAACCAGTTCATTCCGAAATGAACTTTGTCAGCTTAAGAATGTGATAGATAGGATTGTTAAAAAACGAAATATAATTCACCAAATACTATTTAATGACTGTGAGGTCAGTTACATAGATCAGAATGATATGTGGTGATCAGTTAGGTTATCGGAATATAGGAATTCAACTAGATATAGAATGACTGACACCGCTAAGTTCAATGATCAAGAAAAAAGCTTGACTATTACAATGCATTCACCTGCATTTAATTACACTGTAGATTTGCGCGGGGTGAAAGTATTAGAAAGTAATATAGTTAGATGGAGAGACAGGTTAATCACCGAATCTTTGTTCATCTAATCAACGTTAAACACGTGCAGTCAAAATAGCTCAACACTTATCCCTGACATATGGAGAACTGGAATGAAAAACAGGACGGAGCAAGTTAAGAAGTCGTGGAATACACTGACTGATTACGTAACCAGTAAATTGTGCTCGACACACCATCCAGTTATAAACACTTTATCACATTTAATAAGGAATTACATTCCACTAGGTTATCTAAATTCTGACCTTACATTAACTAAGAGTATAAATTTTGGAAAACAATACAATGTTCAAGTCAGTGCGCAACTTTATAAGACTTACTTGTATACAATATTATCGGGGTAATTCTTATATCCTACAGCATTTGCACCACGTAAAAGCATTTGAAATGGAATATTGGGAACAGCAGATCGAAGTTGTTCAAGACGCTCCCAAGGACATTCATGAAGGAAACGCATGCTTACATCGAAAGTAGCACCTAAGCAGAACAAAATAACATGATGGATAACAAATCACAGCATTAATTCGCTAAAAAAATATTTATCATTATATTACAGTAGATGCGTCAGTGGCACAGCGGTAGAATGCTCGCCAACCACGCCTCATGTGGTCCGGGGTTCGATTTCCGGTCGACGCACTCCTTTACCCCGCTGAGCCAGTAATAAGACTGGGTAAAGGGGGAAGGTTGGGCATGAGGCTATCAACCCTATCCCGTAAAAATAAACACCACTGCTACCGAGACTTTAAGCCTCTAGTCTGAAACCCTATGTTCCACTGGGAACGTAAAGGAATAAAAAAAATATCACAATACATCAGGGTTCAACAGATTTAAAAGAATTTTGGGAGGGGGGAATACATTTTTAGTCTTGTTCATGCCTGTTTATGAAAATATGGTAGATTATTTCAGATAGACAGTTTTCCCTCTTGAGTTTCTGATACGAACCGGTGGCAATAGAAAGCCATAAAACAACCGCATTCCCAACCTAATCAGTTACAACTAATATTGTTATAGTAATCTTTAGTGTTAATGATGTGAATATTCTAATTGAACGATGTTAGAATATTGATCACATGAACTGAATAATGTTAACTAATCCCTAAGGCAGTTGACTTAAAACTATGTAGACGTGTAATAAAAAGGCCGACTGTCATCTCAATCCAGCTGGTAAGTACAACTTCCTGCTCCAAGTCGTTTCTAGCTAATCGTATGTATTCCATTATTATTATTATTATTATTATTATTATTATTATTATTATTATTATTATTATTATTATTGTATCCTTTAATTCCTACAGGAACATAGGGCTTCAGCGACGCGTCTCCATTGCGTTCTGTTCTCTGCTAGAGTCTTCACCTGGCTCCAAGTCTGCCCACACGCCTTCATCTCTTCTTCACATGACCTCCTCCAAGTCATCCTTGCACTGACGACCAACTCGCCGCTTTCCTTTCGGGTTCCACTCAAGGGCTTGTCTAGTGATGTCACTTGATGGTTTCCTCAGAGTATGGCCAGCCAATCCATCTCCATTTCTCCTGCCTATTTGTTTCACAATCGGTTCCTGCTGGGTTAGTTCGTTCATTGCCAGAGATCTCTCGCTATTGCTGATCTTTTCTGTCCGGCCATCTGATATTGAGTAGTATTGAGCGAAGACAGCTGTTGATGAAGGTCTGTAGTTTGTTTGAGGTGCTCTTTATGACGCGCAGTGCAAGTCTCTGATCCGTATAGTGAGTAGCCCTGACTTCACATTGGATTTGAAAATCCGAATCTTATTTTTGATGCTGAGTGCTGACTGTTGACCTCCACACAGACTTGAGAGTAGTGAAAGCTTGTCTTGCTTTCCGATTCTTGCTTGGATATCCTCGTCAGTTCCGTTCGCCTGTAGTTGAAACGATGCTTCCCAGGTAGGTAGGTAAAAGAGGTTGTTTCTTTCAGGTTCCTCCCATTTATGCTGATTGTTGTCAGTTGTTGTTGTTGCTGTTGGTGGTATTGCCCAGGAATTTTCATCACCTCTGTTTTATCTATGTATGTATTCCATACAGTCGTGTAATTCTTGGCCTTAAACTCCCCGTGTCACTTAATGTTATTATGTTTATTATCCATCCTCGAGGATTAACAGCTTAACACTTAGATACGCATACATCATTTCAGCCAAATAGACAGATCCATTAAGGCATTTTGATGTTAAACAGAGATATTCTTTTAATGGTTCCTCTATGAGGTATAAAAATAGAATGCTCTGCTTCGTACACCCTGAGGACTGAAAGTAAATAGCATGCTATCAGGTTATTCAAAAGATTTAGCATTACCAGTGAATACGTTAATTCTAATATATTTGAATTATCTAGAAACATGTCATTTACCTTCAGTTCATCCTAAGATAATCCTATTTTTGCTGTCAAATTAGCCTTAACTATACTAATTTACACTAGCATATCTATTAGGGAGATTACTTAAAAGATGAAAACTGTACATTTATATACATAGATAACATTTAAATGTCTTTATAATACTGAAATAATATGCTGAATTCATTATCATATAAATACATGCATCGACTAGCTAGCTAGCTTACTAGCCTGTCGTAAGGCTGGAAAAACAAGGAAGATTGGGCGTGGAGCTAGCGTTGCTACCATGGAAAATCAATCAATTCAAACGCTGCAGAAACTCGAAGGGATAGAAAAAAAGTATTTTTTTTTAAATAATAAAATAAAACAAGCCTACTCTATGCATTTTTACATGTTATATTCACCATGTATGTTATAATCAGGTGTTTACATTGCAAAGGAGAAGATAAACACGGTATGCTCAAAACCTCCTCAATGGTACACAATTTAATCTACGAATAAGTAATAAATTGCCTAGACACAGTAAAGCTTAGGAAGAACACCTGAAATTCGCTTAGTCTCGGTGTAATCTCCTCTTTATCTTTTCTAAAACATTTTATAACCTGATTCGCATCGCATAATATAATTGTTTACATACTGAAGTTATATAAACCAAATCGGTCGGTCGGTTTTCGACATAGAACTTTGCACATATGTGCGGCAGTTCAAGTCGCCACAATCTATGTAGCACGCAAAGCAAGAGAAGGAAGTAGAAGAAATGCATAATGGAAACAGTAAACAGAGGTGTGAGACAAAGGAATAGTAATAACGGAGAACAAAACAGTTTAATTGGAAATCATAAGTCACAAGGAGTGGATGCATCTGCGCCACTGAGAACGATTTTGAGCCATGTCACCAATTGTTTCCAACCATTGGTTTTTACCGTCCCGAGTACCCCAGCCAGGAAGTCTACATCTCCCTACGTGGCTTAGATTAACTGTTGTGGATTTCATTGATTGGTGCCATGTTTTCGTTTGACCGCCGCTAGCTCTTTTCCAGCCTGGCCCTATATCAGCTAACATTGCCCGTCGAGGAAGGCGATGACTAGGCATACGTAGCACATGTCCTAACCATCTCAGTCGAAGTAATTTCACCGTTTCGTCGATTGATTTCCCCGCCTTACCTAGCACTCGACGCCTAACCTCAATATTGCTCACCTTATTATACCACTTCGCGCGGGAGATAGAACGCAGACACCTATGATCGAACACAGATAATCTTTTCATGTCTTCTGCTCTCAATGGCCAGGTCTCACAGCCATAAAGGAGGACGGAGCGGACTGTTGAGCAGTACACACGCCCTTTGGTCGATAGTCGGACATCGCGTCTACGCCAGAGACGGCGAAAACTGGCGAATGCGAACCTAGCCCTCTGTATTCGTGCTGAGATTTCGTCTGAGATCAACCCGTTGGGGCTGATGGTACTTCCCAAGTAATTGAAGCGGTCAACGTGTTCTACCACTTCACTTCCTATTTCTAATCTAGGGGTCGATGAGGTCCAATCCTGCAGCATCATCTTACAACTCGCCATAAGCCCTCACCTGGCTGCATGAGTATGAGTAGAGTGCCTTAATCAGTGCAATGTATTTTCTTGGCATTCCCTTTACAGCCAAGCATCGCCAGAGAACCTCCCGGTCGACAGAATCGAAAGCCGCCTTTAGGTCAAGAAATATAATGATTGTCGGACGCCGGTAGGAATGCCTATGTTCTAGAATCTGTCGAAGGGTGAAGATGTGATCAATACACCCTCTACCTGGCCTAAAACCTGCCTGGTTTTCTCGTGTTTGTGTCTCCCGAGCACCACTTAGTCTACGCAGTATTATTGAGCCTAGGATTTTAGATACTATATTAGTCAAGCTAATTCCTCTGTGATTATCACAAGACGACTTGTCCCCCTTCTTGTATATCGGGATGATCAGTGACTTACACCAACCCGATGGGACTTCCTCTGATTCCCAGACGTTGCCTAGAACCTCCGTTAACGCAGACAGTAAACTGTCTCCTCCGTACTTAAATACCTCTGGAGTCAATAAATCAGGTCCCGCTGCTTTGCCTAGCTTCAGATTGGTGACAGCTTTAGTAACCTCAGTTAAAGACGGAGGACCTGTGTCTATCTCCCATTCAGGGAGGTGTTGGATGTCCGGCAGGTTAAGTGTAGCGGTCGGCCAATTAAACTGCTCTTCATAGTGTTCTTTCCAGCGCTCCAGACGTCTATCCTGGGAGCTAATTATGGTGCCATTTTTCTCGGAGATTGTTTCGCTTATCATTTGCCTTTTACCACCTGTTTCCCTGATAAGCCTGAATAGTTGTCTGGTGTTGCCTATCGCCGATGCTTTTTCCATCTCTTTCGCCTTTGTCAACCACCACTGTTCACGGTCCTTGCGGAGACTTTTCGTAAGTTACTTTTTGTGCAGCTTTCGCTCCTCATTAAATTCGGAGCTCGCCGGAATAAGTCTTCTAGCATCTATCAGTTCGGATGAGGCAGTCGAAATCCAATGGTTTTTACTCACCTTTGGATTTACCTTATTCACAGCTTTTACAGCTGTATCTATGGCTGACTGAATATTTTTCCAGGCTTCTTCAGGGTGAGCGCAGCTGTCGAACTCAGATAAGTGTTTAGCTAGTTCTTCCTCAAATAGGGACTTAGTTCCCTGGTCGAGCTGGGGACGTGATGGGTTTACCGCCAGCTGTTTCCTACGTCCGTTCAGTCGTAAGCACATACGAGCGCGGACCAGTGCATGATCGGTATCTACACACGTGTTCCAGAAGGAGCGACAATCCCCTACCGACCCACGCCAACGATAGCTTATTGCTATGTGGTCTATTTGTGTCCAGCGTTGATTTGATGATGGGGGTCGCCAGGTCAAACAGTGTCTCTCCTTGTGTTTGAAGTTAGTGCTTACAAGATACAAATGATTATCTGAACAGAACTGTAGGAGACGGTCACCGTTGTCGGTTCGCTGGCACGGAATTCCGTATGTGCCACCGACATTCTTCTCAGATTGACACAATTTCCCCACTTGAGCATTAAAGTCACCAGCTATAACGACTATATCTGAGCGTCTAGCCTTTCGCAGCAAACTAGACAGCTTTTGGTAGAACTCATCCTTCGTTTCATCCGAACTGCAGTCAGTGGGGGCGTAGGCGGAGATTACGAAAAGGCATCGGCGAGTAGTGCAGTCCTTTCTCCTTTTCACTGATCCGTTCAGACGGACAGCACACATTCGGCTATCTACCGGGATCCAGTCAAGTAATGTCTTTTCTGCTCTAGTACTTAAAGCTATCCCAACACCAGCTAATCCTCGTGAGCTAGCCGTCGCATCTCCTGACACCCTCAAGGTGAATTTTGCAGATTCATCCTGTTGGCCAGGTGGGGTTAGGTGAATAACCACACTTGGGTCTTGTATGCGTGTTTCTGAAACACAACATACATCAATGGCTCGGGATGCCAGAGTCTTGGCTAGTGATGCTTGTTGTCCTATTTGGCAAAGTGTCCTAACATTAAATGCTCCTATATAAAATTGGTGGCGTGGTTTTAGGAGACCATCGATGGTGGCTTTTTGGCTTCCATCGTTGTCAGTGCACACAGAGTGAAGAGGAAGTGAAGAGCCATCAAGTAGAGGAGTTGCATTGGTAGAAGGAAGGCAAGATAATGGAGATGAAGATGAAGACAAAGATGAGCGAGGATTAGAGGGGTTTCGCGTGCACTTCGGATTGTGAGGGCGGTTGTTACTTCCCGGCTACCCACACCGTGGAAGTTGGTTGCGTGACCGCAGAGCCCAGGGGACAACTGCTTGAGGCCGGTCACACACGGCCTGTTTTTGTTTGTTCTTTTTCATTTGGTGTGTCTCAGTAGCGTATTTATCACTTCTGCCCTGTGACACGGCAGCAGAAAGCGCGGTCGTTGTTAATCCGGGCCCCGACCGATCCGGCATGGTATTTTGTGATGTATTTGAAATCATAGGATTGGATTGGGTAACTGCTTTTAGTCTAACTGCTATCCAAGCAACCTTTCTGGCATGGTAGGACCTGCAGGAACATAAGTTCCAGCCAGTATAGCTTGTTGGGTCATTGCAGTGTTCAAGCCCGACCACCACGTCAAGGTAGCAGCTTTCGGTCGGGTATAAACCAAATAGGTAAGTTTGATAACAACGCTGAATCTCGGCTACTTGAAGTCATTGAAACTCACTGACACACATACACAAACGCGGACTTAACTACTTCTGTTCACAAGGATCATTTAAATATCAACTCTCCCGCTAAGCTTAGTAATGTGAGTATGCGTGTGTAGTTATTCTGAGAATTCTGTATTAAAATTAGTACAATGATGAATTGAGGAGTAGGAGTAGTTACGGAAACCTGGTGTTTACACCCGGCAGCATGGATGAGGATGTCAAAGTGAGGATCAGAAAAGCACGACAGATATTCATTACTCTGAAATCAGCATGGAAATCTGCTGCACTTGTAGCATAGGGAAAAAATTTTGATTTTCAAGACTAATATCAAGTCATTGCTTCCATATTGGTGCAGAGACTTGTTACACGCGTCAGTGGAAGCCTTTGAAACAGGCCACTGCAGGCTTTCATCAACAGCTGCCTTCTCTTAATGCTGAAGATGAGATGACCAGAGAGGATAAGGAAAAACAAAATGGGGCAGTGTAGCCAACCAACTGAAAACCTATTACAGGATTTCATCATGAGCTGACATCAGTTAGAGAACCATTGGAAAACCTGGGAGTACTGGACAGCTGTTTCGTCCTAGTTTGGGACTCTTCAGCAGTACGCACCCACCGGGATTCGAACCCAGGACCTTCTGGTTACAAGGCGAGCTCGTATACCATTAAGCCACTGGGACCCGATCCAATGGTCCATGAATTCTAACTTCTGCCAATTCACGACATAGCGCGACCCCTAGCCAATGTCTTCGGCGAGTATTTGTCCTCACGCCCGACCTGCTGCACCCTACTGGTCACGACTTCTCACTAGCGACTTGCCCTATTCAGGTGGGTAGTCACCTGGGGTTCTAGTGAGAAGTCGTGACCAGTAGGGTGCAGCAGGTCGGGCGTGAGGACAAATACTCGCCGAAGACATTGGCTAGGGGTCGCGCTATGTCGTGAATTGGCAGAAGTTAGAATTCATGGACCATTGGATCGGGTCCCAGTGGCTTAATGGTATACGAGCTCGCCTTGTAACCAGAAGGTCCTGGGTTCGAATCCCGGTGGGTGCGTACTGCTGAAGAGTCCCAAACTAGGACGAAACAGCTGTCCAGTACTCCCAGGTTTTCCAATGGTTCTCTAACTGATGTCAGCTCATGATGAAATCCTGTAACCAATCAAATCCCTACAAACCAACACTTGAAAACCTATTAGCCGACAATATCTGGAGAAGAGAATGGAACTGGACTGGATACACTCTGAGGAGACATTCAAGTGATATTATCTGCCTATGGAACCGAGTGGAGCTTGAGTGAGAAACGACGAGGTGGGCGTCCAAGACTGACGTGGAGGAGATCATGTGAAGAGGAGATAGAAGTTTATGGGCAATCGTGGAGCTAGCTATAAGGACTTCAGAGAACAGGGTAAAATGAAACGGTGCTGTTGAAGCCCTATGTTCTATTTAGAACGCAAGATAATAACCATAAGAAGAACCTGCATTCATTTGTTTCATGATTGTCTTCAACTTGTATACAACTTTGTGAGATATTATTTCATTAAATAGATTTTGATGTACAATGTCATAAAGAAGAAAGTAAAAACAGAAATGAAACCCTAAAACAATTATACTACTTATCTAACTACATAACACATTATCTAATAATGTCATGAAGTTGTTAAAGGGCTTACTTTTATATCCACTTTGTCCCTAAACCCCAATACCATTTTCAGAGTAAATAATGAGAAAAGAATACCTAAAATAAACTAACCCTATAAGTAAGTAAACGAAAAAAACAACACAGAGAATATCTTTCATGATTCTTAACACATAAATATCTTACCTCCCCAATTTTCTATGCTAAGCAGTTGAGGCATTTTATAGGCTAAATATGGAGCAATACGCAGTAGGTCGAAAGTACGAACACGTGTGGCTAGAAGAGATTGATGTGCATCACGCATTGTAGTATCTGTAATCAATAAATGTGAACATGACCTGATTGCTTTAGCAAATCCAGCTGGTCCTTGTTCCATTAAGATATTACGCCAACCAGGTGGGTAACCATTGCCTATAAAACAATAAAATGTTAAAGGCTATACAATATAACAACAAAACATATGCCTGCAAGTAATTTAAAGAAAATAATTTTATAAATACAGTAATGCCTTCAAATCAGCAGTTATGTAAGTAGTGTCGAGGTGAAAACAGTTTTCAATAAGGACAATAAGTGCACGGAGTGTATTTGTGTGTGTGTGTGTGTGTGTGATAAGTCTCGCATTTACTCAATAAGTGGATTTTGATTTTAATCATATACTGATTTCAGATTACTCATTTGATTAATATATTTCAAACCTTAATTCGTGATGCTGTTTAGTTGATAGGAGACACATAATCCCGTCTGGAGCTCATCAGCTGAGTGTACTTGCATCCTCCAGTGAGTGATGGTAATCCTACTGGGACTCGAACCCAAAATCTATTGTTTCGGACTCCAAAGCTTTATTCACTAGGCTATCAGGCCAGGAGTTTTGGTGGGAACACAATCACTCAATAGAGATTTAAGTAAATCCAGCTGATGAGTGCCAAACGGAGTGAAACGTGAGTTGTGCATTCTACACTATTAGCCAACATCATGTAAGCGAAATTATGATAAGTCTAAGGCATCATTGAAACATTTTTACTAAAAGCTGACATATCAACAGGGACTAAACACTTCAGTCTAATGAAATAAATTATCGGAAAACTCAAAGTAAGCGTTTCAACTTATAAATTAATTATTTAATACTTTTCACTACCCTTTGATTTGATATCTGTCATTTATCTGCTCATTTTTTTTCACTCAACTAAACAATTCTGAACCTTCTGTTAGATATCATACGAAATGACGAAGAATTCAGCTACAGTTCGCAGGTATCACCTACTTTTCGATATTGTTGATTGCTACACTTATTATGTAATGCTTTCTCTGTTATTAGTTGAACACCATGAATAGTCTTAGAATAATTGTAATTTCGTTCAGTTCTTAAGTGAGGAGAATTTGTGAAATATAACTTAATGACAGAGATTTTTAATCGTCAATGGTGTCATTGATGAGCGAAAACGAACTTCACTTCACTAATGCAAAGAAGTATATTTTCTCAAGACTGTTGAAACCAGCAAAAGTGATCTAATGAAATCAAATCCTATTCATTAGTTGAAGTCAGTTGGTGGATGGCGACTAGCAGTGGAATCCAGGACACGCGTTTCGTCCTGCTCGAGACTCGTCATCTGGATTTACCTACATTCATTAGTTGGCTTTTATTGTTGATCATGACAGAATGGTGATGTATTCACCGGGGGAGGTCGGAGTTCGATTCCCAAGAGATGCACTCCTAAACCTTGCTTTGTTTACTAGACGGTAGGAAGCCCAGAAAAAATATTCCACTTGGAGCTCAACGAAATGAAAGAGAATAATGGTAACGGTCGGGAAAAATACGAAAAATTATTGAGAAAGAGACTACTGAATTATGTCATAGTAGCTGGAATGTAATCCATGTATCTTACGTTAAAAATTGTGTCGGTTCACTGTAAAAACTGCACTTTGAATCACTCATAAGCTGATATAGTAAAAGGGAAGATGTTTTCACCTTGGATTTTAGTCCCTATTCTTTCGAGTTTCAGTGACTAAAGTTACATCAAAACAAATCTTACTTTTATGTGAGATACAGAACTACTAAAAGTCAGGAAGTATGCCTGAAACTCAGTAACCATATTCTTGTATGTGGGCTTGACTGAGATGAAGGTAAAGAATAATGATGGGCGGAAAGACCAACTCAATGGCCTCGAAATGGCCTGTCCGATATCGCGTAGGCAGTGGTGCAGTTATCGAAGAGAAATCGCGTTTACTATTGATAACAAATGCTTCTTTGTGTAGATTTATTTCGAAAATCTGCCTTAAACGGAATCTTGACCCTAACTCCTGTCCCTAACCCGATATCCTATCTAATAACTCTAGCTACTTAAGCCAAAGGGATAGTCAAGTATATACAAAAGGACACTACTACGAGAAACTTGGAGATATTATTGCATTATTTTAAATTTACGAGACCTATTTAATATTCTCACACCACAATGAAATAGTTTTTACCATGAATATACTGATTGTTTGCCTAAATTAGCCGGTTGTACTCCGATTGGCTGCGCTACAAGGTCAGTTAGACAGTCATTTGCTTTCACAGCCTGTCTTTAACTTTTCCGGTTGTACATTACACCCGTTGTGTTAAACTTAACGATAGAATCTGCTTGTATAGAACTTGACAAGGAAGGTGAGTTTCAATTCGTATAGTTCACGAGTAAGTTAACCACCTTGTATTGCCAAGTAGGAATCCAACTTGTATCGCTAAAATATTAAATGATCTTAAAACCATCAATGTTTATCTATTCAAGCGAGAAGTAAAGCCACTATTATAACATCCTCGTAGTGCCGCAATAATCTTGATTAACCGATTGAACGCAACTAAATATCAGTTTGGTGGTTGAGTGAAAATCATAATAACAAGAAAAAGGTAACCTATAGTCAATAAGACTGTCATCTAAAGACACTTCATCTATTTACTTCATTGTATACAGAATGAATCTCAATAACTATCAAAGAAAAACTAACGATCAATCAGGGACAAGGTCATTGAAGAAGTCAATGATTTTTTCTACCAATCAGCAAAAAGCCTAATTCTTTCCATCTTCAATGTCAGTTTTGATGTGACCGGTTGATGAACAAATACATGCGTATAACGACAATGACCTCATTGAACGCTTCAACAAAATATATCGAATACTTTCCATTTCACTAAGCTATAAAATTATCAGAAGACAAAGACTTGTCTCTTCTGACTATTAAAATCACTTTGTTTGTCATATATATTTCCAACACACGTAAAATCAGCGGTAAAATATATTCATCTGATTGGTTGTATGAGGTCGACTATTGTCCAATAAAATCACCGTATCCACATCACCATATATAAATCTAAATATGGAACACAAAATTTTCTACCATTGCAACCAATGACTTAAAGTGTCGATTCCCTGTTTTTCGTCATTTCCTGTTAAGTTTCTAGTTGTTCAACTTTTACCATTGATAACAATGAAAACTAATCACATCAAAACTATGTATCATATTTGAGTCAAATTTGTCATTTGCATACTATCCAGTATGAGGTGAGATTTCGACAGGGTTTCCTTTGGGAACCAAAAGTATATGCATCACAAGGTATCAAGTAAACCACATATTAAGTGGTAATCAAGACAGCAAGGTATATATTGCTGTTTGACGTCAGAGCTTTCCAACTGCTCGAATCAACCATTATATATATATATATATATATATATATATATATATATATATACCTTAAACCCCTCCAAATTCCAAACAGTCAATTTCACCTTTAGGCATAAATCCGACCTAAACAAACTGGTTGGCTTTCACGAGGTGTGCAACATAGATGGCACTGAAATAGAAACCAAGTCGGAAATTAAATACCTAGGCGTCATTCTATCTGCCGATCTTTCCTGGTTGTCTAATATCTTGGCGATTTCTAAGAAAATATTCCGTCTTACCTTCTACATCAAGAAGTTAAAACATTCTGGTATAACCCAACCCTTACTCCTACAATTCGTTAACTCTCGCATTCTGCCTATTATTCTCTATTGTTCCCCCTTAGTTTTTCCCGGGCTACTGAAGAAAGACTATAACATATTACGCAGGATGTTAAAGGTTGTCAGCAGGGTAAGCAACGTGCCACTTAACCAGCTTGTTAATATTCTGGTCGATAGGCATATGGACTCATGTGAAAAATGGGCCAAATCCATTTTATCTAACTCACATCACCCTCTACACTCACAACTCTCCCCTTGCATCTCATCAGGCAAAACCAGAAGCCTATATAGGAAACGATATGCTCACACCAGCAAGTACAAAAACTCAACCATACCCTACTTAGCTCATGTTCTGTGCGATAAAGAAAGCATTAGGCGTGACACCTATAATTCATTAAATAGTCAGTAGTACAACTGGACTTCGTCTTTCCAACTCATATCATTTATAGGTACAGCATTTTCTTTCTTTCTTTTCCTTTTCTCTCTCTTTTTTTCCGTTATGTGCTGCTTTGTTTCTTTCTTCCGCTTACGCCAGTAAATATGACAGCACCTACTTTTCTAACACCTTCAAACACTGTTCAGCTTTACCTTTGCTACCGACATGCCAATGTGTTGTTGTAATAATGAACTGTGGTTTCCTTAATCTATGTAGAATTCTATTTATTGATAATGTACTAACTGGATGCAATACTGTAGTGAAATGCTGAGAATTCCATTCTGTATCACAAGTACTGTTTGGGAATAAAGCAAATTATTATTATTATTATACATATATCATCGTTTAAGTCTCATCATATAATAAATCATGCTTACCATAAGTAACTGGTGGGACAGTTGGTTCTACATCCGATGGACTAAGTTTTGTGGCCAACATGGTAGACGGTCCATTGATCATTACATGGCCTAAATTTAAGCACAATTTAAGTATGCTTATAGTTAGCAGATTAATGAACAGTGCTAAACTTTAAAAACAACAGGAAAACATGCATAGAATATGTGCAACAAATTGGAAGAGTAATTCTAAGAATAAACAAGCCAACTAACATAAGTACAACCAATTTTAATAAACCTATATCATGTTGCAACATTTTAGCGTCTACCAGAAATGTGTTTTTTTACATTTTACTCTGAAAGAATACAGTGTAGACTGATAAGTACCGGGTAAAACTTAGAAACTACAAGGAAATATTATAATATAGTATCCATACAGCATAAAACTTAGAAGTATTACTTCTGACTGATGAAGTTTTGGACCCTCTTCCTTGACTTAGAGAAAACATTTGCTCATAAGTTGGAATTATACCATTTACATGTTATAAATCCCTATCTAGAGCGGATGGCTTGACGTGGTGGTCGGGCCTGTATATCCAAATGATCCAACAAGCTATACTGGCGACAACTAATGTTCCCATAAGTTCAACCATGTTAGAAAGATGGTTTGAATAGTGGTTAATCTAAAAGCAGTTGCCATTATAGTGTGAGTCACACTATGTTTGGGGGTTTATGGGCGAAGTTGTTCTACTGGAGAATACAGATGTAACACCAGTAAAGTGTTTCCCTCAGATGACAAGCAAGCCGGCCATGCAGTCTATCCGCTCTGGAGAAGGACTGGGATACAAAAGACGGACCTCAAAAAAACTGTACATTCCGACTTCCCTTGAGGCGGTCCATATTCGGTGGTAAGATCTTAATACGGATGTTATTCCGAAATCTGCTTCAAACACTCCATGTGTGACCAGCCCAAGCAGTTTTCCCCTGGTCTCTGTGACTAAGCGATACTAATGCTCCCTCGGTTTCAGCTATTTCAAGGAGAAATTAACTTCTGTGATGTGGGCAGCCGGGATTTATTAACCGCCCACAGGCTTCCATAAGCACACAAAGCTTTCCTGACTAGACATGGTTTAAATGCAGGACATTAACAATATATACAACACATAAGTGAACTACATTAATACATTAATAAATAAGTGATACTATCCTATTATTCACCACAAATTGACATCAACTAGGAAACCAAGATGCACTGGACACTGTAGTGTGAACCAATGACAACTTGAGGATAAGTGAAACTGAATAATATAGTCGATGTTGTCTATCGCGAACTGACTAAATCTATCTTGCAGTCAGTTATAAAATCATACAAACTTAAAAACAAAAGGTAACTTCACTAAGGTTTGAAACATGTAAGAGGAGAATTTTATACATGGTTTGACTATCTAAGTTACCTAAATAACGTAGTAATTTTTGAGCACGTTGTTTTGATGCTGGTAAATTGAAAAGATCAGGATGTGCATCAATGAAGTTAGTATCAACAGCACCAGTTAAAAATTGTTCATGCTTCAAAACATTGATAAGGAATGGAATATTTGTCTAAATAAGAAAATAAAAGGCAAAAATAAAAATAATTGTTCTTATTAAATGTAAAGTTTAATGCAATGGAAAGACAACCTACATTACTATAGTATTTAAACAAAGGATTGATGGGTTACTACTACTACATCAAAGATTATTGTATTGATCGAGTCGTATAACAACAGACTAGATCTCAACTTCACTCTCAAGTGTTGCATGGATACATGAGTTCCCGAACTGAGTGAAACTAAAAAAGGAGTATTAAACTGGACAATTTTCCATTAGACAGTCATTTTTTCCCCTATGACTTAGATGAAGTTCCGAACTATTCCCATGATTGCCAAATGGAACATAGTTCCAGAAGAACACCTCCTTTCCATCCCTTTCACGGAGTTCGTTTAAGCTGGCTCCAGGACTGCCAGTAGGATTTTATCCCTTCTTCACACTATCTTCTCCGTTATCATCCTCGAACACCCAAATCGTCGTTTCTCACTCGAGCGCCATACAAGGAACAGGCCCAATCCATCTCCATTTCCTTCTGCATATTTGTTGGGCGACAGATTGTTGGTTGGTTGGTCGGTCTCTAGAGTCCCCTGTTTCTAATCCTTTCCAACAGGCCGTCTGGTCTTCATTATCGGACAAAAAGGTTGAAGCTATTGATGAGAATCTGCAGTTGGGCTGTTGGAAATGCTTTCCATGAGGCGGCAAGTTGACATTTATCTCACTGAAACTTAAACCTAATGCTAAACTAAATTGCAATCAAATGAAGAGTCTACAGTGGGATGAAACGTGTATCCTGTGCCGCACAGTTGTCTCTGATCAAACAGAAGGATTCCAAATGGGACTCCACAAGTAATATACATAAGAGAAGTTAAAATTTTTATAAGCAATGAGGTTGTTACAGAGGAGAATCATCACATTTTGATGTGACAATAAAACACACTTAGGTGTTTAAAAGGTATCTGAATAATATTTTTTTTGCTTTTTGCTAATAACTCACCTTTACACCATGTATACGAAACTCTGCCAGTGAACGTAACATTTTCTTCGATGCTAAACGAAAATCATTTGCACGTGCAATCACTTTCACTAGTAATGAATCATAATATGGTGAAATGATTGCACCAGCAAACGCTGAAGCTGAATCCAAACGAATACCCATTCCTTCACCGCTTTGAAATACCTAAAAGTAGAGAATTTTTTGATAAAATGAGAATTTGAAAGAATGTTGCAGTCAGTCAGTCAGTCAACTGGTAGAAAAGAAAACAATTTTCATTAGATTTTCAACTATTTGGTTTGCAAAGATTTGATTGATTTCAAAAATGATCACCAAGCGACTTCAGTTAGTGAACCACTGAAAACCAGAAACGAGTAATGGACAGCTGTTTCATCATACTTTGGGACTCTTCAGCAGTAGGTACCCATAGCCACTCCTTCAGGTTCCAAGACGAGCTCGTATACCATTGAGCGACTGACACAAAATTCATCAGTTCATAGCACGATCCCCAGACAATGTCATAAGTGAGTATTTGTCCTCAAACCGAACTTGGTGGACATCGCCGGTCACAACTTCTCACTAGAACTTCAGATAACTTCATCCTGTAATCAGTTACTGGTGAGCACTAGGCTAAATTTTCAAGTTTCGGTTTACAAGTTTAATCACGAACTGACTTCGGTTAGAGAACCATTGAAAGAACTAGGGAGTATTGGACAGTTATTTCGTCCTTGTTTAGAACTCCTCAGCAGCAGGCTGTCATTAGAAAATGACAACAACAAAAGTTGAAGAGGTTTTAAGTGCACTTATGTATAGTTCATAGTCAATGCACAGGATAATTTGCTCACGAAATTAAACTCACGCTAGCCGGCTATTTACCAGCAAGAAGGGTTAGATTAATCGCCTTACACAAGCAAACTTTTCACATGATAACTGATAAATTAGACAGTAATCAACATCACAGTGTCTAGTCTTCTGTATTTTAACCGTATTCTAAAGTTGTATTTTCAGTATCTTTATTTAATGTAACACCATATGAGATCATACACAAAAAGTTGAGAATGAGTACTTTTGACCATAAATAGCTTAGTTGACACAAAAAAAACTGATTTCCACGGACAATGTAAGCGTACGTACTACAAGGTGTTATTATGTTTCTATAGATTGCTTACAAACTTTCCACAACACACTTTTAAATAATATGAATCAGAATCAGTTAAAACACGTTCACGAATATTATTTTGACGTTTAAATATTCCTTTTTTTGGTAGAAAAGTCATGTAAAACACATATGAAATACTTTCCTGTTTCTATGGACAACACAATATAGTGTCCACTGCGAGAATGGACTGAACAGTCACATCAAAAATTCAAGCTCACTTTTCGTAACTAAGAAACTAATATATATGTTAGCATGAGCACTAACCCATCTTTGATCTGCTACAGGATTTCTTCATGAGTTGCCATAAGTTGGAAAACCTGGGAGTACTAAACAGATGTTTCGTCAGTCTAGTGTGGGACTCCTCAGCAACACGCAACCCCTGAAGTTCGAACCCAGGACCTTCAGGTTACAAGACAAGTTCGTAGACCATTAAGCCAGTCCATCAATTCCAACTTCTGCCAATTCATGATATAGCGCGACCACTTGCCAATGTCATAGCTGGCGAGTATTTGTCCTCACGCCTGACCTGCTGTACCCTACTGCTCACGGCTTCCTACTAGAACCTACCGGAATAGGGCCAGTATCAAGTGAGCATCAGATTAATATTCAAGTGTTGGTTTGCGGGGATTTGATTGGTTACAGGATTTCATCATGAGCTGACATCGATTAGAGAGAGAACTATTGGAAGACTTGACAGTACTGGACAGCTGTTTCGTCCTAGTTCAGGACCCACCAATCAAATCCCTGCAAACCAACACTTGAACATCTTTGATTTGATTATGAGCAATACATTGTGTCCGAAATGTCATCCAGTTATTAATACTATATCACTGCGTTTCCATTAATATCAAATAAACGTATCTAATATGGTATTAAACTCTACCATAGTGCCCAAATTCTACTCTTACATTAGTGAAACATCTATACAGACATTGTTACAACAAAAGAGATTTCAGAATTCCCTAACAGTCTTCCAGTTCCGCATTTAATCAAAGCGTTGTTCATTAGATAACTGCATAAGGTTTCATTATAATAAGAAAGTCATTCATTCTGAACAGTTTTATCACAGAGGCCATAAATTCATAGTTCGAATATACATAAATAACATTACTTCGTGGACTGAAGAACTCATAAATTACACAACCTTTTTGCTATTACAAGATGACTTAATAAACCGAAAACCTCATTGTAAGACAATCGAACAAAATAACAAAATAAACATAAATAAATAAATAATTCAGAAGAAAGCAAACCACTACAACCTCATTTCTTAGGTAGTAGTAGTATTTAAGGATTAATGTTCTAACCGAACTGACCAAGTTATACTTTGAACATAAATTTTACTAATACTGTTTGTCAATATATAATACTTTTAACAGGCTATATATATACACATATAATATCAAAGGCTGATAATCATATAACTTCGGATACTTTGCATAGTCATGAAGAAAATAAAGGAGAATTTTTGGAAAGAAAATTTTCTTCCATCTAGGAAGTTATTTTCACAAGTTGTACACAATCGATATTTTCAGGAATTTGCATGATATTGAAAAATTTCTATATTGAAACACTACAAGGCTTTTGTTTATTATAATAACTGATTAAATTTCCAGTGTAGAACTTTCCACGAAGATGACGCGGTTGAAGTTGCTATACACTTTATAAAACCACATATGGAACTATAATGAACAGAGATTTACAAGAGAATAATGAGAATTTAGTGGATCTGGGAATTCATTTTGGGGTGAATGCATTTAAGCCACTGAAAAAGATTTGAGTCATGTCAACAACAGTCTCAAGTGTCTTGAGGACTCTAGTCAGAAAGTCTACACTTCTTTTTGATGTAGTTGTGTTCTCTGAGCTGGATGGTTTATTTGCGAAGCTTTCGAGGCCCTCAGGAGAGATGACTTATAAACTCGTAGAGATATCTGAAAGCTCATTTCAAATTGAAGTATGCGCTGAAGATGGTGCCTATTAGGGCAATGAAAGCTTCTCAAATGAACCACAAACACATCAAAACCACCCACCTGAGCTACAAATCTCCATTATATCTAAGTCTACACTTCTCCACGTAAAACAAACCAACAGTCAAAGGCTTCATAGACTGATGTTATGGTTTCACTTAATTCTTTTCCAACCCAATCCTATGTCAGTTAACATTGCCTGTCGAGGAAGGTGGTAGCTTGAAATGCGTAACATGTGTTCTAACTGTCTCAGTCAATGCAGCTTCACAAGCTTATCGATTGACTTGCCCTCCTACGCCTAGCCGTAACATCACTCACCATATTATGCCGATTAAAACGGTGAATAGAATGCAAACACCTGTGATCAAAGACAACTAGTCTCTTCCCTTTAAACGACCATATCTCACAGCCACAAAGGACAGTGCAAACTGCTGTGCATTGCACATATCCTTTCACTGATAGCCAGATATCACGTCAACGCCAGAGATGACATGAGTTAGCGAATGTCAACACGAGCTGAAATCTGGTCAGCAATCAGTTCATTAGGACTGAGGCAACTTTCTAAATGCTCTATTATTATACTAATTATAAGTATAAATTAATTGCAACGCAGCCCTCACTTAAGTGTGTTTATGTACTAAATTATGAACTACACTTCAGTTGACCGGTTGGGAATACTTGAACTCATAAAATATTAGTTGAAAATTAGCTAACAAAGAGCCACATTAATGAATCTACCTGCTTTTTTCGCTTTTCAAAACTCTACCTTGTTTAGAAATCAGCTAGTTAAGGGAATTATACCTCTTAATGAAACCAATTATTCAGTATGTTAGTGATTAGTTAATGAAAAACAATGCATACAAAACCAGGATAAACTCAGATTGATTTTAGGGGTGATATGTATATGAACTTTGCACTTTTCAGCCACCAAACATTATGCGTAAAGCAAATCGATTTTCTCCCGTACTTGTTTATAGGCTTCCCTGTTATTTTATTTATCTACTATTTTGTACCTGTTGTTTTTTCCCGGTTGGTTAATTATCACTTTAACTGATTTTTTTGTATTTGGACTAAGTAATTTACTTGTTAGTGGAGTGCAATTTACACCTTAGTGCGTTTCTCTCTTTAGTATAACTTACTTCATTTTTTTACGAGTTGATCACGGATTGATATCAGTTAGAGAACCATTGAAAACCAGCTGGGAGGACTGGACAGCTGTTTCATCCTAGTTTGGGAATCATCGGCAGTACGCACCCACTGGGGTTCGAACCCAGGACCTTCCGGTTACAAGGCAAGCTCGTATAACCCTTACAAACCAAACTATAGAAAATTAATCTGATGCTCGCTAGTGACTTGCCACAGGATGGAGTTTCCTGGAGTTCTAGTGAGAAGTCGTGACCAGTGAGGTCCATCCAGATGTCATGTGTGAGGATGGATGTCCCACTTACGACAATGGTTGGGGTCGCGCTAAATCACGAATTGGTAGAAGTTAGAATTCATGAGCCATTGAATCGGGTCCCAGTGGCTGAATGGTGTACGAGCCAGCTTGCCTTGTAACCGGAAGGTCCTGGGTTCGAACCCCAGTGGGTGCGTACTGATGATGATTCCCAAACTAGGATGAAACAGCTGTCCAGTACTCCAGTGCTGGTTTTCAATGGTTCTCTAACTGATACCAATCCGTGATCAACTCGTAAAAACAAAACTAACCCTTACAAACCAAACTATAGAAAATAACTTACTTCAATACGTCCAGAGTCAGGTTGAAAATTTTTCGCTGGATCTTCAGTAGTTATACGACATTGGATTGCATAACCATGAGGTTCAATTTCTTCTTGACGTAAATTAAGATCACTCAGTGAACGACCTTCAGCTAGACGAATTTGAGATCGTACAAGATCAACACTGGTGGGAAAAAAAATAAAATAAAGTTGGATAGAATGAAATTTTTTTTTAAAACACGATAATGCCTAAATACAGATTCCCGATACATTTAAGCAACCGAATAACAATCAGATGTATGGCACAACAGTGAGTCTTCTAGTTGGCTTAACTTAATTGGTAGAACCCAGTAAGCCCCATAAATTACACACTATGATACTGCTTACATTCCAATGATTAATAAATGTAGAGTTGGGAAGAATTTTCTTTATTCTCATTTCATAATGTATGGTTGGCGTCGGAATAAAAGCATATTTGAGCTGAACATCTCATATGGATTGTCGTGATAAACCACTGATGGGCTATAATTTAGATATACGAGAACTTCATGTGTTGTTTAATACATTTGCAGTTAGCTAGCAATATCTGGGAACCGAAAAATAAGGCTTTTTATCTGCGCTTTGAAGTTTCAGCCGAGGTGGGGTTGTTTTTTATAGAGTGAGGCAGGTAGTCCCACGTCCAGCATCCCCTGCTTGCCAGGCTAACGACTGGCCAGTAAACTACAGACTACAGATTCTTTCAGAAACTTAATACAATTAGTTCCGTGGACAAATTTGAATAACTCAGTAAGAACAACTTTTGCAGGATAAAATGAATTCATTTCATGATTTCATAGGATTTTCATCAGCTGCATACAACTTTGAATAATAAACTATATAAGCAATGAATGCAAACTAATTTAAATACACTTTAACTGAATAATCAGTTGGTTCTATTACAGTAGAGTAATATGACGAAAATGGAGAGGAGGTATAAGCTATACAAGAAGTTAGAATAATCAATTATAACAAAAATAGAGGCATTATCTATTTTACAAAGAAGTCAAGGTGAAAGAGTCAGTGTTTACCAAGGGTATAATAAGTTAGCAACAGTCAGTTTATAGTTGCAGGATTTCATCATGAGCTGACCTTCGGAAAACTTGCAGTGAGTACTAAACAGCTGTTTCGTCGCACTAGTTTAGGACTCCCCACCAGTAGGGTTCGAACCCGGGACCTTCTGGTTACAAGGCTAGCGAGCTCGTAGACAATTAAGCCACTGGGATCCGATCCAATGGCCAGTCCATGAATTTCAACTTCTGCCAATTCATGATATAGCGTGACCACTCACCAATGTCATCGCTGCTATACCCTACTGGTCACGGCTTCCCACTGGAACCCCAGGTAACTACCTACCTGAATAAGGCCAGTCGCTAATCAGCATCTCATTGATATTCAAGTATCGGTCTCTTTTTGTATACATAATTCAGGTTTTGCTCTTCAGATGAAGCTCTATCGCTATTTTGGTCATTATTGCATAGATGGTACCTTGTCTCTAGTTTCGTCATTTTATTCCTACTCTAACAAAATGAACTGAGTAACCAATTAAAGTAGGTTGGAATTATTTCATATTCATTGCTTATACAGTTTATTATTCAAGTTGTATGGAGCTGACAACGATCTTATTAGATAAAATGAATTCATTTCACTCTGTAAAAGTTACTCTTATTATTACTTTACTTAAACAGTCTATCACTGAACTATGCACTCACATAGTGAGCCAAAGAGTTGAACTTGTAAGCTGAAGTTTCTAAGTTGGCTTTCTTGACCATTAATACAACTCTGTACAGATTTAACATTTATAAAAATGATCATCTCCTCTTTCTTCTATTCAAATCACTGCTTTAATTATCTCATTCATTTCTTAAACTTTAACAATTTTATTGATTGACAAAACCATTCATTCAGTTATTTCATTTTTCATAATCACACAAACTATAGATACGGATTATGCAACAAACTGTCTGAACTTTCACTATTGTATTGCGTAATTATTTTGACCATTTGATGGTGCGGTCTTAGTTTACTTTGTTGAATTATCACTTAATTACTGAACTAATTAAAACAAATAAGAACAGTGTAGTCTAATTCAATTTAATTTAGGGTAGAAGTAGATAAACAGTGTTATAGTCTTGTCAATAAAAGTACCAGTAACAATTAAAGCATTATTGAATATATATATATATATATATATATATATATATATATATATATATACATATATATATATATAGTGCATAGAAAGGTGGTCAAGAATTATGACCAAGTAATTACAATCCAATGACTACAAAGGGTTAATATGTGTGAAAAACTTGGGCACTGTGGTAGTAAATAATTGTATATTAATTTGCTTATCGGATATAATATCACACATTGAGACAGTATTATTTACTAGATGGCGTTTCAAATACATTTTATTGTTCATAACCATATCATCAATAGTAACTACACAGTTGCGAGTGTTGACTTTTAAAGTCTTTTTCCTTCGCCTCCATTTGTCGTAGGGGTGGTGGAATTTTTCAGATATCCAGGACAACTGCTGAATCATTCCTATTGCATGTATTATCAGTCGATTACATAAATAAAGTTTTCATCATCAATCCTTCCCCCTACCCTGTTATATTGGATTTTAAAACTGTCATCCTACTTCATCCAATTGTATGGTTGTGAGTAACTGCATGTAGTGCTATAGCTGAACTATTCTCCAGACTTCTTATCTCATTAGGGCCAACTAACCTAGATTTCGCTAGGTTTTGAGGAATAAACACTCCTTAACACTTGACTTAAAACGTTGATTTTAATTTTGGCCGCTTTTTGTCAATGTGCATCTTATAAATCTTGTCCGTAACACACACCACACTACTACTTTGGCCTATGTATATGACCTGACAATCATTGCAGGATATTAGATAAACTAATTTTACTTTGTTTAATAGGCTATAAAGGGTCCTCTAACCGTTATAATTTGTTTTGGATGAATTTGTGGGTTTAAATGCCACTTTTATTCCTGTTTTGTTAAAAATTCCACGTAAGGTTTCAGAGGTGCTTGTTGTTGATGCTGGCACATATATGTGGGCATTTCTCATGCATCTCGCCCTTATTATTATCATTACTAATTTTGTTTTTACAATTTCTTACATACTTCCTGATTGATTTATCGGAGCAGTTATTAAGTGTCGCAGCTTCTCTTTTAGGTCTTGCTTTCTGTCTTAGATTTCCTCTGGTACTATTTAGTTTTTTTGCTCTGTTACTTAAACATTTCATCAATCCTATTTTTACCAACATAGCATGGGATGAATCGAAACCCGAACATCGGTTTGAACGTGTCAGTATTCTGTAAATATTAGTGATTAACTTCCCATCCTCTTTCCTTTTTATGTTACAATCTAACACTGAAAGCTCCCCTTCATGACTTCCTAATTCAAAAGTCAATTCAATTCCCACTACCTTTGAGTTGATGTGCTCGAAGAATCTATTTATATCTTTTGTTTTCGGTATTGTGAATGTGTCAACTACATACCTCCATTATACTTTGGGGGATAGGGTTGAACTACATAGGGTGGATGACTCAAATGTATAGATAGATGCACACCATTTATATTGATAAGCAAAAACCTAATTTGATGGTATATATTACTAACTGACTGTTATGAGTAGTTGGAGACCAAGCAGGGTAACCAGTAGTGCTTGCCAGTCAGATCGAAGTAATCTAAACACTGGATGATCACTTTGGGTCAAGCTCATCAGAGGAGTACTGAGTTTGACTGAACTTAGACAGCTGAATCAGTTCGAACCAACCGAATTATAGCTACTTACTTTAGTGACGAGTGGGTCGTCCTAGGGTGACATGGAGGAGATCGTGTGAGGAAGACATGAGAGAGTTTTGTCAATCGTGGACCCAGTTGAAGAGGACGGTAGATAACAGAACAAAGTGGAGATGTGTTGTTGAAGCCCTATGTTTCAATCGGAAAGCAAGGGAATAATAATACTTTAGCGAACTGCTAATACACAGAATTAAATTCGTTAATTAAAAATTATAAAGTTACAGGTGGGAAATCATCACAGTTCCCTGTGGAAACTAAAGCAAACGATATAAGTGGCCCATTTAGAATTACTTCATATATTACTAACAGTTTATCTTCATATAGCTATTTACTGAAATTGTTTTGAATTCCTAGTTGCCCAGTCTCTGTTTACACGTCGACACATGTTACAGATGTTTCGAAATTCAGATGACGAGTTCCAAAATGGAACGAAACGCGCATCTTGGATTCCATCGTGATTCACTATCAAATAAATTGAATGTGTCTATACAGCTTGACTTTATCTCACAATATATAAATTAAGGAAATAAAAATAGTTATATTTATTATTGTTAATATAATTATTATTATTTTTTTCCAAAAAGACACTTACCCAGTAATTTCTTCAGTAACTGTATGTTCAACTTGTAGACGTGCATTGACTTCAATGAAATAATACTTTCCACTTGTTTGATCATATAAAAACTCTACAGTACCAGCATTTTCATAACTGAAAGAGTAAGAAGTAAAAAAAATAAAGGTAGAATAGACTAATAAGTTATATGCAATGTATTGCTTATATAAAGTGCGTCGGTGGCACAGCGGTAGGAATGCTCGACAACCACGCAAGTGGTCTGGGGTTCGGTCCCCAGTGGACGCACTCCTTTACCTCGTTAAGCCAGTAATTAGACTGGTAAAGAGGGAGCGCTAGACATGAGGCTAGCAACCCCACACCGTAGAAATAAACACCACTGCTACCAAAAATTCAAACCTCTAGCTTGAAGCTCTATGTTCTATTGGGAACGTAAAGGAATAAAATAAATTGCTCATATGAACTCCTCTGCTTTTACACTAAACATTAGTTAGTGTCTAGTAGTGACGAATTTCATAAGAGATTTTCCCTAAGGATAAATATTCGATTTCATTCTAATATGTAAACAAAAGACCACCAGGAAGTCACGAAAACATAAAAATGATACTGATATTTATCTTACTGATATTTTCTTAACTTAAAGTAAAAGAAAATAACTGAAATATCATTAATAGTTTATTTCATATCATTGATTTTTTTCTTCATTCCTTGTGTTCCAAGTGGAAGATAGGGCTTCAATCTTTTAAGTTTCAGTGGCGGTGGTATTACCTTTACAGAGTGGGGATGTAAGCTCTAAGCCCAGCGCCTCCCCTCCTCTTGGCTTCCTACCGGCTAATAAACTAAATGAGGTTTAAGAGTCCATCACCTGGAATTTTAATCCAGACATCACATGTAACTACCGAGCATTCTATTATTGAACCACCGATGCATATATCATATTATGCTTTATTATTATTGTAGTCAACATTACTATCCTGAATGAACACTTTTCAGAGGATAGTCTACCGATTTTGTTATTATCTTATGTTAGAGATATTGATAAGAAGAAATTCACTTTAACTGTATCTAAAACAAATGAAAACTACATAATGAGACAAATAGAATAAGAAATAATTGTATTCTTTGTTTATGTGATATTTAGGTGTTTGTTATACTCTATCACGACTTTTCTGTTCGTTTCTTCAGAATCTGTAATCTATCGTCTTAGATTACACCATGAAGCGCTTTACTTAATAGTCTATTTATCACTGTCTATCCTTTTTTAAAAGATATAATATTACAATATGATCCACAGAGCGTCTAAATACAAAAGGTTGTTGTGTTCTCAATTGAAATGCTTCAGCTGTGTGCACACCCAAGACTTCGTGAAGAATCGAGTACAAGACCATCAGGTTTCAAAGCTTCAGTAAGTAGGTCAAAATATTTTCAAAACAGAAAGAATAAGCTATCCAGCTTTTATCAGTTTTCAATGAGTTCTTTTTTTAACTGATACTGGTTTTAGAGTAGAGGTTCAAATTGACTGACTGACTGGTTTCAACATAGAACTTTGCACCGATGTGCAGCAGTTCGAGTCGCCACACTTCATTCAGTACACAAAGCCAAAGAAGAAGAAAGTAAAAAAAAACGCAAAATAGAGACAGTAAAAAGAGATATGAGGCAAAAGGAATAGTAATATTGAAGAACAATATAGTTTCATTGGAAATTATAAGTCACAAGGAGTGGATGCATTTGGGCCAGCCATGGAGAACGAGGATTTTGAACCATATCACCAATTGCCTCCAGCCTTCATTGGTTTTTCACCATCCCGAGGACCCCAACCAGGAAATCTACATCTTCCTACGTGGCTTTAACTAACTGTTGTGGATTTCATTGACTGATGAAGCCATGTTGGTTTTGGTTTGACCACCACTGACTTGCTCTTTTCCAACCTGACCCTATGTCAGCTAACATTGCCCGTCGAGGAAGGCAATGGCTAGGCATGCGTAACACATGTCCTAACCATCTCAATCGATGTAACTTCACAGCCCTTATTCTTAAAACTACAGTTCCTTGGTGATAACATTAGTGAAATACTAACACAACGCTTAAAAATACAGTAAAAAACCATTCAGTGCAGCAGAGCTACACTATCTCTTCAAAACCACTCTAAATTTACGTTCGGTAATTAGGGATAAACTACCGAATTTCGCCTCTATTATGTATATATAACAGTTTGACTGTTTATGTGGAGCTAGTTACATCAGGAGTACAATTAGGGATGTTCTTCAACGGAATTCTGAACATCATCCTGCATGGTAAAGTAAACGACGAACAAGATAAACTTGTAGCTCTGTTTTAGCACACCTTGTAGATATTGAACAGAAATATAATGTCATAAAGGCGCTTAAAGTTATCCATCGTATTCCGACTAATCTTAACTTTGCCTTATGAGTTCATCTCCTACATACAACTTCAGCCATCAAAATCCATGTGAAGAATCCAAACCTACGTGTTTAGAAGAAGCTCGTCTAGACGCTTTCCTTACTTTGACCATCACCAGTTAATTCGAATAATCTGACAATATTCCCTTCACACTAAACCATCTACAAACTGTTGTTGTCTTATTGTCCAATGCTTCTTGCCGATCGTTTTCAACCATTTGATTCCAACACTTTAACTATCTTTCATTGTTGCACTAATTTTCCTTTAAATTTTATCTGATATTCAATTCACTACTATATTTATGCATATTACCACTTACATACGCTTCTAAACTGTAATCTATTCATATTAACAACTCGATATTGTCTATTATTATTATTATTGTATCCTTTAATTCCTACAGGAACATAGGGCTTCAGCCGTGCGTCTCCATTGCGTTCTGTTCTCTGCTAGAGTCTTCACCTGGCTCCATGTCTGCCCACACGTTTTCATCTCCTCTTCACATGACCTCCTCCAAGTCACCCTTGCACTGACGACCAACTCACCGCTTCCCTTTCGGGTTCCACTCGAGCGATGGCTTGTCTATTGATGTCACTTGATGGTTTCGTCAGAGTATGGCCAGCCAATACATCTCCATTTCTTCCTGCCTATTTGTTTCACAATCGGTTCCTGTTGTGTTGGTTCGCTCCCAGAGATCCCTCTCTGTTGCTGATCTTTTCTGGCCATCTGATCTTGAGTGGTATTGAGCGAAGACAACTGTTAATGAAGGTTTGTAGTTTGTTTGAGATGCTCTTTATGACTCGCTAGTCAAGTCTCTGATCCGTATGTTAAGTAGCACTGACTTCACATTGGAGTTGAAAATCCGGATCTTATTTTTGATGCTGAGTGTTGTTGACCTCCACACAGACTTGAGAGTAGTGAAAGCTTGTCTCGCTTTTCCGATTCTTGCTTTGATATCGTCGTCAGTTCCGCCTGTAGTTGAAACTATGCTTCCAAGGTAGGTAAAAGAGGTTGTGTCTTTCAGGTTCCTCCCATTTATGCTGATTGTTGTCAGTTGTTGTTGTTGCTGTTGCTGATGTTGCCGAGGAATTTTCATCACCTCTGTTTTCTCTATGTTCACCTGAAGTCCTATCTTTGATGCTTCTTCTGCTAACTTGTTGCTTTTCGCTTGCATATTTTCCAGTTTGTGGGAAATCAGACATATTGTCAATAACAATTCCTTTTTTAAATATGATGTTTATGCAACTGTAGAACTTGATGATGAAGTTATCGAAAAGAATATTCTTTGTTCAATCTTTTTTTTATCGAAATGCAGAAATGGAAAAATTATGAGCTTTTTGAACGACAAGTTATACAAATTATCCCCTTCATAACAGTAAGCGATCCAATAACACTATGATATTTAATGAGATAGTGAATATTTGTTTTATATGATGAAAGTACATTTAGTCAGAGAATACCAAATAAGAAGATGAACTAGGTGTTTCTGTTGACGAATTTTTATCAGCGATAACAAACCAAACACCAAACCTACCCAACAGAAGACGCCAATCGTACTGCATCAGTTAATAAAGATTTACGAATATCCGCATCCAAATTAGGCGCTGGTGCAATCTCAACCAATTTTTGATGTCTACGTTGAACAGAACAGTCTCTTTCGCATAAATGTACAACATTTCCATACTTATCACCTGGAATACAGATAAAAACAATCGAAATTGGAAGTAATTTTTAAAAATAAAGAGTATTGTGAAAAAAGGCTGAAAGAAATGCTTGTTCAATGTGTTTATTTACTTTAAGAAAAAAGCCATAGTTGCCAGCTACTTTACCCATATTAACTTCTGCTGTCGTCCTCACTCAATGCAGATTATAAGAGAAGTTACTAAGCAAACGAAATCTAAAGTCCATACTGAAATTTCGTCATCAGTCTAAGGATAATGTTAGTAAGTGGTAAGCAAATATCGGAAAATATCTATAAAACACTTGTGAATGCTTCCCTTGACTAATGCCTGTTTGTGTAAAACGATAGTTCAACCTTTAGTACAGACTCGTAAAGTAAAACTTTGTATCTTAGCACTTCAGAAATTTTATAAGATTTTATAAGTAACCTCGTCCACCCTACTACAAGAATACAGTTGTATTCACCGTCCTGATTGCTTCACATCATAAACAACTAAACATTCCTTTTTAAGTCACTTTTACTTTTTCCGCTGATTAATTGAATCGAGATGTCAACAGAATCCCCACAAATAATAATTGATACCTGTTTCACAAGAGATAGGCTCTTGTGGTTCAACTGACCTAGTGGATAACGTCCTGGTGTTGAAAACGATGGGCACTGGGTTCAAGTCTGAGCAGGAAAATCCCCACTTACCGGGATTGCATATGCATTCACCTGACGAGTCCCAAATATGACGAAATATACATCCTAGGTTCCACTACCGATTACTAACCAACAAATAACTAAACATTCTGTTTATTTTATCCCTCTCTATCTTATTCTTGTTTCTAACTCTACTTAAACTTACATATTACATGCATTCATCAGTAATAACATAAAATTAAATGAGAAAGCCAATGAGTGACAAAAGCATAACATCAGTTTCAGACATAGTGAATTTTTACTTCCCCACATAGAACACCTATTAAGAAAACCACATAGTTTTTTTATGAAGACAATACTTAAATATCATGCTTTAAAGACATTATTTAGGAATTATGGTACAACACTTCAGTAACTCCATCCAGACGACTTAAGGACAAGTATCTACGCTGTCTACAACTGACGTGTGCATTTTTAAAGGTTGAAAACACCACCAAGTGAAGTGATCTGTGCAAATACAACAGTTGGACTAATGGTTGGGAAATGAGCTTAGTTGATGAGTGTCAATAGGTCGACTAGCGAATCCATGTAGAAATTAGCATAAAAGTGTATCTGTCCAAGTTGTAACACTTCGAAATAGCACAGAAACAGTATGATATTACGGTGGGAAAACATTACTACGACAGACAGAAATAATAAAATGATGATCTATGAAACTTTTCAGGATCTGAAAGATGGCAATGAGTGAATAAATACGCACCAATGTAAGAGATCTAGGACAATATTAACAAAATTCTTAACCCATTGACTTCTAGCGTCTACAGAACTCTAATCAGGCAGTCTAGGCTGTCCTATGTGGTTCAAATCAGTGGTCAAAGACTTTATGGAATGATGCCAGGTTTTGGTTTGACCACCACTGACTCTTTTTCAACCTAATCTTATATCAGTTAACATTAATTGGTAAGAATGGCGATGCGATGGTTTGATATGCAATAGACGTGTTCTGACCATCTCAATTAATGTAGCTTGATAGCTTAATCGGAACAGTTGCCCATCTTACTTAACACTCTATGTCTAAGCTCTATAGCACTCACCATATTACACCAATTAACACGGAACATGAAACGCAAACACTTATAATTAAAGAATACTAGCCTCTTCATAACTTTCAGTTTCAGCGTCCGTCTCACAAAAGTAAAGAAGAACAGAGCAACGTGATGCACATTAGGGATGTCCTTTGATCAATGCACGGATATCACGACTACGCTAAAGATGACGTGAGTTGGCAAATATCACACAAGCACGTTTGTACATGTCAGTATTGTTTAGCTTAGGAATCCTTTCCAAAATCTTATTATCCGCATACCTGTTATTTAAGAAATGAATTATATTACAACTTCAAGATGCAAATATGTATTATGATGAACTAACTCATGTGCTTTAAACTACCTTTTTTCACTAGATGAAGTGATACGGAATCTTAGGGGACTTTATTGGTGCAGTTGGAATGCTTATCATTAAACTACTTTTTATTCAAAGATTCATTCTGTCATTTGCAAAATATGCGTAAAGTGACTAATACACTCGACTTACAACCAATAAGTTCGGTGTTCGAAACACGCTTCATCAATTTTGACCTAAATAACCCGATAGTGTCGTGTAGCATTACGTGTGACTGAGCCTAATACACTAGAAAGCAAGTATCAGGTAATCCAATTAAACAGTTTGATCAAAAGGAGAGTTAAACTGTCGCCTAAATTCTTGACCATTACATAGAGACTAAACCTAAGTTGCTTTGTAATGTAAAGATGTTACATTCGATATTGTTTTCAATTACTAATTTTCACTGACATTCTTCATGGGGAATATAAAATATTTTCATTGTTAATGTTGTGCTCCTTTTTTATTCCTTGCGTTCTGAGAGGAATATAAGGCTTCAAGATTTTGAAATTTCAGTATCGGTAGTGTTGTTTCTTACCGGATAGGGTAACTAGCCTCACGCTCAACCTTCCCTCTTTAACGGACTTACTACCGACTAAGCGAAGTTCAGAAGGACATCAGACGGGAATTGAATCCAACCCAAATGAGTGGTTGGCGAGCATTCTAACAATGTAACACTGATGCACATTCAGTGGTATTACATAAACGAAAAAAAAACAAACGAAATCAGCTGAGAATAACGTCTGCTGGAGAAATGTGTAATAGACCTGAAATATGAAATAAGGTGACATGTGAAAGCTACGGCCGACTTAGTTAATAAGTCACGTGATTACACTAAGATAAAAAGTATTGTGAGAAAGGAATATCGACAATGTAATTGAATGAGATCTATTTTAAAAGAGAGAGACAAGAACTTGAAATGGATGAAATAACAAATGTGAATAACCACATTTCCAATTGGTTGAATAGTACACAACAAAAAGATGAAATAAGCAAAGAGGCAAATTACCAACAGAGTGCATTTCATAATTGTATTGCGATCTAATTTCTTAACACTTTACCTGACAACAACAACAAAGTTAAACGTCAGAGAAATTAAAGTAAAAGAATTGTCACATGAAGTTTTAGGTAGATATACAACATGACGCCATTCAAGCTGACGCAGACTGAGAGATTAGAACTGTTCATTTTGTTTGTTTATATAAGACATCAATAATAAACTGGCTACAAATTTTATCTGCGTAGTATGTTTGCGGGTTTTTGTCTAACAACATTTGTGAGTAATATATCAAAACAAAGCATTCAATTAATGTGTAATTTACAGCAATCACTCAAGACACCTCTAAATCAGTTTCTCTACACATAAAAGTAGCATACATCTGCATACATCAAATGTAAGATGATGCTACAGAACTGGACTACACTGACTCCTAGCTTAAAGATAGGGAGTAGATTAGTAGAGCGTGTTGACCACCTCACCTATTTGGGAAATGGACTGATTGCTGACCAAATTTCAGTCAACTAACATCATCTCTGCCGATCAAAGGACTTGTGTACTAAGCAGAATTTGCTGTGTCCTTCTTTACGGTTGTGAGATACAGCCGTTGAAAGTGAAAGACTAGAAGAGGCTAGTTTCTTCAACCATAGGAATTTGTGTCCTATCTCCTGTGATAATTCGTTTAGTATGGTGAGCATTATTGAGGTTAGTCATAGAGTTCTAGTTAAGCAAGGTAAGTCAATAGATGATGTTACGAGGCTACATTGATTGAGATGGTTAGGATATGTGTGGCGCATTCTGAGCCATAGCGTTCTTCAACGAGCGACGTTAGCTGACATAGGATGAGGTTCGAGATGGGTTAGAGATGATCAAACCATCCATGAATTTATTGACAGCTGGTTTGAGCCATATGAAGAGGTGTAGACTGCCTGATTTGGGTCCTCTCAATCCTGTGGACCAACAGCTCAAGGCTATTGGTGATATGCTTCAAAATCATGCTCACTGTAGCAGGCGCAGATGCATCCACACTTTGTAATCTTCCATACGCATTTAACCCTCATTTTCTCCACGTTACCATTTTTCCTAAGAACAGTATTTTTCACCTAGGCCAAATTTGATTGGCTCTTCATTTTTGCAGTCTTCTCATTGGTCGATATCGCATAGGACAAAAGCAATCAAAATTAAATATGCCTTTAACGACAACTCGTATGAGTGCAAATAATTTGATTGACCAGTCGAGTGAACATAGAAGCATAAAAAACTGATTCATCAAAAAAATATATATATTCAATATCTTAACTAACCTAATATCTGCACTTCAATATGTCTAGGACGTTCAATAAATTTCTCAATAAACATTGCACCATTACCAAAAGCTGCTAAAGCCTCCGAAGAAGCTAATTCGAAATTTTGTCGTATATCCTATAAATAAATAAAAAATAATAGGAACCAATTAAAATTATTTCCTTTGAGTAATGGAAAAACAACTTATCAACTTGATATTGTTTTAGTTGATGATGACTAGCAGTGGAATGCAAGATGAGAGTTTCGTCGTAAATAGGACTCGTCATCTGCATTTCCAGTGAGTGATGGTATTCCTGCTGGGACTCTAACCCAAATAGTATTATGGTAATCTTTAAACATGGTTGAGGCGATCGTACCAGGAACCAGGGTGTCAACAGAGACTGAGCATTTCTGTTCGCCATAATCACTCATCGGGAAATGCACAATTAACTGAAATAACAATAATAATAATAATAACCTATCAACTTGCTTGTTTTGATCAAATCACTTAATAGTAGAAGGGAATATTAGCTAGCTGAATATACTACTACTAAGTGATATATGTGGAGCTTAAATTTCTGATAAACTGTTCACTAGATTCTGGTTATACTGATAAGATAAGTACTACAGACTATTTAAATACTATTGATTTGTGAACTTGCCCAAACACGATAAATAGGATGTTCGCTACGAGTAAAACTGTAGAGCTACTTCGTTTTAGATTAAAGCTTCAACTTTCTACTGCACTTTAGTTCCCAGTGATTAACCAAACTGACACTGCTGAACACGGAAAGTCCACTGATGGATGAATTACCTATTTAGAAAACTAATAGTCAAGTATCTAACTATATTAATGAAAGCAGAACTAAGTAACCTCGAGTATGTATAATGTGACAAGTGGAGTTTACGACATATCTCTTTATATCAAAGTATTCTGAGGTGAATACTTCCTTTAGGCTAAATACAAGTTCAATTTGTGGATGGTGACTAGCAGTGGAATCCAGGATAACGCGCGTTTTGTCCTATTTGGGACTAGTCAGTTGGATGTACCTGCATTTCTCAGTGAGTGATGATATTCCCACCGAGGCTCGAACCCAGTGCCCTTAGCTTCAAAGCGTGCCAAAGCGTTATCCACTAGACCACTTGTGCAACGCGTCATATTAATTTAACTGGATTTGAGATTTTCCCGTCGACCGAAGTGCTCGGTCTCAGGTTGACATGTCGGCTTCTAGGTTCGAGCCTCGGTGGGAACATCATCATTCACTGGGGAATGCAGGTACATACAGCTTGCGAGTCCCAAATAGGACGAAATGCGCATCCTGAATTCCACTGCTAGTCACCATCCACTAATTAAATTCTAATTAAATACCCAGACATCGTCGAAGCATCTGCACAAGAAGCCGACATGTCAACCTGAGACCGAGCACTTCGGTCAAATCAATCGACGGGAAAATCTCAAATTCAATTAAATACAAGTTCCCTTAAATAACATTCTAATTCACTACACATAACTCAAATTAGGGTTTCTTATGTATAACAAGTATTTACGTTCAAACAACATCGATACATGCGTAAATGAAGGTGTTTGAAAATGTTATCTTTATTAATGAAACTAACAAATACTATTATGCGATAAAAATTATTTAGTGGCTGCAGGATGGATGCCTTCAAGTTTTAATGAAAAATCGTAACAGATGGGGTCTACCATATCAGTTGTGAAGCGGATGCTCATCAACGTCGATGGTGAGCAACAATGTTAACTCGTGGTAACGTCTCTGACTGCAGGCAGCACTGGGTGACGCGGGTCCGAATCTCAGAAGGGACATGAATCCCTTCAAGGTTGCAGACACGCTTTGCTGACGAATGACAACTAACACGAAACCTAGGTCAAGCAAGGCTTTCTGTGGACGACTGCCTCCAACCATCTAATACTCACTTTCTGCTTATATTGGCCTTTGCGTATCCTGTATTAAGTACACATATTATTATTTGTTATTAATACAACTCTTTGTTTAAATTGAAACACTGAATGAAATATTGAACAAGATATTTTGCTTGATCGTGTGAAATAAGTAAAACACATTTACACTGAACAAAAATTGTTCAATGCACACATATATATGATTAGATAAAGTTGGGCATAATAAGCAAAGAATAGCTTATGCAATAAACTGTATGATAGGAAGTTGAAAATTAATTATTTTTTCTAACTGAATTGAAATACATTCACCAACGGTTGGTTATATAATGAAAATTGTCAAAATAAAACTAAAATCTTCATCATTTCAATAGAAATAGAATTTATACAAGGGTGTCACCATAACTGCTAATATTTTTTCCATGTTAAACTACAGATCATCATGTGATGCATATATTGAACATGTGAAGTGAAACCTATTGTGGACATATGGACAATTATTATGCTAACTTTATAAAATAAAATACTTTAGGCTTTAGTGCACTACATCATGGAATCAAGTGAATAGAAAAGCTTGAAAGAAACACCTGATAGATAGGTAGATAATGTGACACTTTACAAGCGATAAGCTGGTAATACATTTATTGATATTTCATGATATTAAACATCTATGTCATTTACTTGACTTATATGAACAAAATGTTATGGATCTCAGACCTCTGTGACCTACATGTGGAAATAAACAAAGATATATTCATCGTAAAGAATTCTAGAAGGGACAATATGTGAATTTCAACAGTTTGCTGTCGAATAAGATGCTGGTCTTCCGTCATTTTCAGTGCACACAGAGTGAAGAGGAAGTGAAGAGCCATCAAGTAGAGGAGTTGCATTAGTAGAAGGAAGGCAAGATAATAGAGATGAAGATGAAGACAAAGATGAGTGAGGATTAGAGAGGTTTCGCGTGCACTTCGGATTGTGAGGGCGATTGTTACTTCCCGGCTGCCCACACCGTGGAAGTTGGTTGCGTGACCGCAGAGCCCAGGGGATAACTGCTTGAGGCCGGTCACACACGGCCTGTTTTTGTTTGTTTTTTTTATTTGGTGTGTCTCAGTAGCATATTTATCACTTCTGCCCTGTGACACGGCAGCAGAAAGAGCGGTCGTTGTTAATCCGGGCCCCGACCGATCCGGCATGATATTTTGTGATTTACTTTGAGTCATAGCATTGGGTTGGGTAACTGCTTTTTGTCTAACAGCTATCCAAACAACCTTTCTGGCATGGTAGGACCTCAAGCGACATAAGTTCCAGCCAGTATAGCTTGTTGGGTCATTGCGGTGTTCAAGCCCGACCACCACGTCAAGGTAGCAGCTTTCGGTCGGGATGCAAAAAGGTTTGGTGCAAACATTGTTCTACCCCCTCACTGAAAAACTATCTTAGAAAGAAAGACTTTACGCCGCAGACTTGTCATCACTAAAAAGTGGTTACGAGACGGTGGAAATCATCAAAAGTTTATTGATGAACACAAGAGATTACCAAATACAAAAGCAACATTTGATATTAGTAGAGACGAAACCACTCTTCCTTAATCTTGCATTCAAAGGTAATAACGTACCTGGAAGAATTAAATGCAGGAGAAATGCCGCTCTCAAGCTTACTTCTCCAAATGTCAGGTTAGTCACGACTTACTGAGTAGAATGCTCACTGGGACAATCTAAGGTTGACAAATCCTCTTTGACCTCCAACTGCACATGCTAATTTTTATTTATGTGCCAAAGCACATATATCAGATGAATAGAAAAGACGATTTGCAACCGCCTATCTAAGCATATTCCAAGAAACTTGCATCTGAATAGTACAAAAATCTTTAGAATGGTGATTAGTCACTACTTGTCAGTTAGCGGTTATGAAATCAATGCATTAAAATCCTCCTAGATAATTAAAGTTTGAAGCAGTTCCAGACTGTTACGTATTGTCGTAGCGATTGCCATTTAAACGATTGAAATGATTATCGATCATGTACAACCTATAGGGAAGTATCGATTATTCCACGAAGACAACGTACATGAAGGAATATATGTATAGCAGTTTGAGTTACAGATACTGAAATCCTTGTTAAATATATAAACTGATAAATCCCCCCTTTGAGTATGTCATATTGATCATATACAAGATGAAAAATGATGCTGCCAACCAATCTTCAAGAAAATGACGGCTGAAACTTTATTCATGCTGCATCATATCACTAAGACTCCACAGACACACACACACCACGTATGGCCAACAATACTCTGCACAGCATCGCATGTGTGTGTGTGTGTGGTATAGGAGATACTTCTAAGATTATTTAACAAATATGCATAGTAAATACTTACTTCAAGCCTTGTAACCACTCGCATACCCCGACCGCCTCCACCATATGCCGCTTTAAGTATTACTGGTAATCCATATTGTTTACAGAATTCTAATGCTTCATCAGGTGTAGTTATTGGTCCAGGACTACCAGGAACTACCTAGATAAAATAAAAGCGAAGTATGTATAGAAGAGATATAATTAGACAAAGAAATGAATAACGTAGAAAGACTAAATGCAGTTCAGTGTAGAGATATTGGAGTAAGCCTACAACAACTGGATTCAGTCATTTCTTGCTTTCGAAGGAAGTTTTCACCTATTAGCCATATCAGCCTTCCATACGATAATAATCTTATATATTAAAAAAAGGATGCTCAGCATAATAAGAAAGTAAAATCTTTAGTTCTATAATTTCATCAAATGTACTCACTTATTTGCAACAACCAGTGGTGTCCGTAAAGGATGTCCACTTTCCCCATTTCTGTTTAACTTCATCAAAGATATGCTAATGGAAGTATCCTTAACTGAACTTAACGACTTAGGAATCGACTTGTTACCAGGGAATAGTCTTATGGACTTATAATATGCAGATGACATAGTCCTGTAAGGGGAGGATGCTGACAAAATGCAGAGTCTTCTGAACACCTTGAGCAGCAATCTTCGTATGTTTGGCATGCGACTCGCCCCTGTAAAATGTAAGATGCTGCTACAGGACTGAACTATGTCTACCCCTAGCTTAGTGATAGGGAATGAAGTGATAGAACATGTTGACCACTTCACCTATTTGGGAAGTTGTATCAGCACCAACGGATTGATTGGTGACAAAACCTCAGCACAGATCCAAAAGCTCGGGCTGCTTTCGCTAACTTACACCATCTCTGGCGTAGACGTGACATCCGACTATCGACTAAGGGACGTGTGTACTGCTCAGCAGTTCGCTCCGTCCTTCTCTATGGCTCTGAAACATGGCCAATACGAGTTGAAGACATGAAAAGGTTGACTGTTTTTGATCATAGATGTCTACGATCTCTTTCTCACGTTAGGTGCTATAACAAGGTAAGTAATGTTGACGTTAGGCGTAGAGTGTTGGGCAAAGAGGGAAAATCAATAGAAGAGGCTATAAAGTTACATAGATTGAGATGGCTAGGTCACTTGCTGCGCATGCCCAAACATCGCCTCCCCCAAAGGACATTACTAGCTGATATAGGTGCAGGTTGGAAAAGAGTAAAGGGTGGCCAAACAAAAACATGGCCTCATCAATCCATGAAATCCCTGACAGTTAAACTGAGTCAGGTAGTGAGATGCAGACTTCCGGGTTGGGGCCCGCCCTCGGGACTCTAAGAATCAATGGCTGGAGACAATAAGTGACATGGCTCAAAATCGTTGTCAATGGTGCAGATGTATTCAGTCTCTGTAATCTTTCATGTTCCTTTCTACCATTACTCATTCTGTTTCACTCTTATACTTGTCAAAACTCTATTGATTCTCTTCACTCATTTTCTTGTCTACCTTTGTGTGCTATTTGGAACGTGGCAACTCGAAGTGCTGCACTTCGGTGCCAAGTTCTATGTTGAATCCAGCCAGCCGCTTATTTGTAATGCTAATTGATACACTGATGAAACTGTCTTCACTTGCATCTATCGGTTACTGAATAAATTGCTAAAGGCTTCTAGATACCGAATACTCTAAACACCAAAAGCCATAGCAATTCGCACAAAAACAACTGGGACTCCACGTACAAGAGAAATATATCCAGCCACTACTGGTCTGATGTGAAATCTTTTTGTTCATTAATTTATGAGTCAGCTGATATTCAATTTAATCTTATTATTTGTGCACATGATGGCGTGCACGTTTTGAACTGTAATCAAGTGACCTTAAGGGGTGGTTAGATGTTATTTATAAAACGTTAATTTGTTCTTTAATTACTGTACCAGCATACACAACTGTAGAACATGATGAAATTATCGAAAAGAATATTCTTTGTTCATTAATCAGTAGTCTTTTGGAATTTTAAATAGGCACCTTTAACCAATTGAATTATTGTGTGAAGGGAACTTTGTTTAACTGCACTCTGAAATACTTAAATTTATCTGCAGTAGTATCAACTGAAGGCAGCATAGTGTACAGAATACAACTCAGTAACTGTTTGAAAGTCGGAAGCACTTGGATATAGTCTACATTTATTGTGAAAGTTGATGACGCTGAAACTCCAGAAGGAGGAAGTGGGAGGTAGCAATATCCAGTGACCCACTTGTTAGAAATAAACTGCTTAAACCACTCAGTCATAACACTATTACGTTTCAACAAAAGATTTCACACATTAATGACTAAAACTATGTCAATACCTAAAGAGCTCATTATTTTCACGAATCTCTGCACAAAATATACTTATTGATTCAATAGCTCATAAAAGCGACAGAGCCTTGTGAAGCCATCTTGCCCCTCATTTCAACTATCTACTATCTATCAATGTGGCAAGAAGAGTGGGGATAGTAGAATTAGCAACAACGGTTATTGAGGATTTCTATTACAGTGAAGTCTCGATTTTGCTTGACTTTTCTCACTGAAGAATATAGGAATATCCTCCATCCAGTAATTTTCAACATGGAATATTGACAAGAACAGGTATCATAGCAGAAGGTTATGAACAACAAATTTTCATCTTTTTTGCACTTCCTTCCTTCCTTTTTTATGACCTTGAGATTCAGTGGTTGAAAGTGTAAAATCCGAAATGGGTATCTGTCTTTGTGCAGAGATGTTTACATTCTTTTTCTCGTGTCAAGTGATATAATATAGCGAGTAACATTGAGGTTAGGATTTTTTAGATAAGGAGAGCAAGTCAATCGATGAGGCTGTGAAGCTACATAGATCCAGATAGATGTGACACATGTTCCCCATGCCAAGTCATTGCCTTACTCACCAAACTACGCTAACTGACTTAAGATCAGTGAGGAAAAGAGTTAATACTGCTCAGATCCAAATCTGGCATCATTTTATGAAGACTTTAACTGTCGGTTCAAGCCAACCACGTAGGGACTTGTAGACTGATTGGTTGGGATGCTAAGAACCAAAAGCTTGAGACTGTTAGTGAGATGGATCGAAGTCGCTCTCAGTGACCCAGATACATTCGCTCTGTTGATTTCTCATTATCCTCTATTTAACTATTCTTCTTCCCGTAAATTTATGTTTATTCTAGTTTCATAGCGTTTAATTTTTCTACCTTTATGCATGTTTTTTTTGTGCGTCAGTGGCACAGCGGTAGAATGCTCGCCAACCACGCATATGGTCCGGGGTTCAATCCCCAACCGACGAACTCCTTTACCTCGCTAAGCCAGTAATAAGACTGGGTAAAGGGGGGGAAGGTTTGGCATGAAGCTAGCAACCCCATCCCGTAAAAGTAAACAGTACTGCTACCGAAACTTCAAGCCTCTATCTTAGAGCCTTATGTTCCACTGGGAACATACAGGAATTAAAAGAAAAGTGTGTTTTTATGATGTGTATCGACATGAACTGCTGCTATTTTGAACAAAATTCTACATTGACAACTTAGTCAGCTGGTCAGTTCCACCCATTCTAAATTTAAATATTAGTTCATTTGATGATAGTTTCATTTTGTAGTGTTAAAAAATGAACTCATGACCAAATATCAAGTAAAAGATCATATGCATAGAAAAGGTTTAAGCTAGTGCGCGTGATTTATTCGTTAAAAAATACCTGTAAAGTAGTCATGTTAATGACAAATCAAAAGCAAGGCAGTTGACTACTGTGTATAGATTAAATGAACTTCCTAACAGAACTATGATTTTAATGGACAATATAAGAAGAAAAGTGAACTGTTTTTACATCGAGTCTTTCTTTTACACTAAAGCTGAGGGTTTAAATAGGAAATTTAAATTATCATTATTATTATTGTTTACTCAGGTGCGTCGCTGGTTTGATAGTAGATTGCTCACCAGTCAAGCATGAGGTCTTGGTTCGATTCCTCGTCGATGTACTCCTAAACCTCGTCTAAATGGTAGTAATCCTGGAAAAGGCGGAGGGTTTGGCGTGAGGCAAGCAAATTCCACTGTGTAGAAAAACAACACCATCGCTACTGAAACTTCAAAGCTTGAAGCTCTAAGCTCCACTCACCCAAGTTCTTCTATGTAGGTCAAAGACTTGGCCAGTGCACTACACGAAAAGCATTTCCAACAGGTTGCAGGCTTTTACCAACACATGCCTTCGCTGGCTGAATATTGAAGACCAAATGGCCAGAAAGAATTAGTAACAAGAAACTCTGGCAACAAATCAACCAAGAACCTGTTGCTTAACAAATACGCTGAAGAAAATGGAGATAGATTGGGCACACACTGAATAGACCGTCGATTGAAATTACGCGCCAGGCCATCGTTCGAGTGGAACCCGAGATGGAAACGACGAGTTGGCTGTCCGAGGGTGACATGGAGGAGATCGTGTGAGGAGGAGATGAAAGTCTATGGGCAATTTTGAGGCCAGTTAAAGATGACCACAAAGAACAGGCCAAGTGGGAGATGTGCTGTTGAAGCCCTATGTTCCGCTCCGAACTCAAGGGAACAATAATAATATATAATAAATGATCTGCATAGTGATCTCAAGGTGAATCTTTGAATTTCTTTCAAAATCATTATTTTATGCAGCAAACACCATTAGATAAATCAACTTTTAAAAAAATAAATACAAGCAGATTTACTTTAGATTGTTACCAGTTGAGTACATACATATACATTGTTGATGAATGACTTTCGATAGTAGTAATTAAAAAAATGAACTTTTATTTCAGTCAATACTCTCTCCTCTGTTTGTCTGCATGAAAATACTTCAATGAATAAACAAAGAGAACTATGTTGTGTAGGCGCATATTTCATATAGTATCAATCGATAGACTTTGTTACCTAATTTTCTGTGTGATTTTGTATACATTTTTGATAACATGGAATTTGAAATGGGATTAATTGAAATTCCTCTCCCCTCCCCACATCCTCCACTCACAACTCCCGATAACAATTTCATTCTCCTATTTTATCAGTCTGTTTATACTCTTCTAGTGAAGTGGAGCTCTTTCCGGAACAAGGTAAGAACAATAGATTGAGCAGCTTAATATGATATCATTTCATTTCGTTGATTCTTATCAGTTGTATACAGCTTAAAACAGTTTCAATATCAATATACAAAATATTCATATACTTTGAAATAATGGAGAAGATTTGTAGCTCAGGTGGATGATATTGAATTGGTTGTGTTCTCTGAGGTGGTTGATTTAACTGCGAAGCTTTTGTCGTCCCACTTCTAGACAACATCTTCAGAGCAGGTTTTGGTATGAAACAGGCTCGTTTGAATTCTCTGATCTTTCCTGGTCCTGTCACATCTTGCTAGTTACTAGAAATATGTTTCGCTTAACGTTCTATGTTAGGAAATTAAGGCAGTCTGGTATAAAGCAGTCTTGGCTTTCTCAGTTTGTCAATTCTTGTATTCTACCCATCCCTCTTTACTGCTCCCCACTAATCTTTCCTGGACTACTTAAGAAAGATGTTGCTTTGCTGAGAAGGGCACTACAAGCTGTTAGCAGGGGAAGTGGGATATCGTTAGACCAACTGGTTAACACTATTGTGGATAGACATATAATGTCATGTAAGAAACTAGCGAATGCTATATTGTCAGACCCCGAACATCCTCTCTATAGGCAGCTCTCTCCTTGCATTTCATCTGGTAGAACTAGAAGCAGCTATAGGAGGCTATATGCTAGGACTACCAAGTACAAAAACTCCACAATACCTTATCTGGCACAGCTGTTATGTGATGAGAAATCCGTTAGGTATGACACGATCAACTTACTGCGGCACTCTAACAAATAGATCCCATTACTTTTTATTTTCCTTTCTGTGTTAATATTATATTGTTGTTCACATATTCTATTACACACTAATTTTATATTTCATATTCCTGTGGTGCATTGTTTAAAATATGAATGCAACGCTATTCCTTTTTTATTTCTTTTTATTTATCTACTTTTTTGTTGTTGTTGCTTTTTGTTTTTAGTCTTATAAAATTTATGAGGTAATTAGATGCAATATTGTAATGCACGCTGAAAATTCCATACCTGTACCACAAATACTGTTTGGAATAAAGCTATTATTATTATATAATTGTGTCTCCTGACAATCATTGTTGTGACTGGTTGTTGATTTACATCTCTACTGATCATTTTTATTAACTTGGAGTTTGAACTTTCTTGTCACGTGATTTATGTTTTATTAATTGGTAAATTTGGGCTATAGTAATGTGTTTGTTAGTCGCTGATTCACTTGAGTACCCGGCTTCTAGAAATTCCATGACTGCATTTTTAGTGTTTCCTCTATTTAAAATTTCTACATTCTCCCAATCAAACTGGTGTCCGTAATTATCTGAATGAATTGATATGAAAGAATATATACAAAAATATCATATCTTTTACAGCCAAATTGTGTTCTTGGATTCTTATATGAAGGAAACTCCATTTTGACCGACGTAATGTTTATTGCAGCTCATACAGCTCATTTTATTTTTCTGTTGGATCTTTTGTTTTGTACAATATCGAATGAAGTGATTGTGCTGGCTGGCTTGTGTGTTATATCTATTTCAAACGGTCTTACTATTCTAGCTGTTATTTCAGAGATATTTTTTACATATGGTAGGATGAATTTTCTTGTGGTCTTTGATGTCGGCTTGTTGTTGGTGTTATGACTCGAGTTTAAAGTTTTGAAGAGGGCTAGAAGGTATTTCTCCTCCATTCTCTTCAACACAAGAGTGCTACACCATTCATGAAGAATTCAGATAAGTTCATTTTTATACTAAAACCTGCGCTGAAGATATTGTCTAAAAGTGGGACGACGAAAGCTTCGCAATTAGGTCAACCAGCTCAGAGAACAGAACTAATTCAAAATTCATATACTTTAATTAATTAACTACTTAGAAAAGTAACTGAATATATGAGGATTTAGATGAAAAGTACAACAGGTGTCAGTAACCTTGTTAGTATATATAATAGCAAGGTTACCAGCACATTCTAGAGTCAAGGTCGGAAGTTGAACATTAATCAGATGTGCAAAAGAATTATACAAGTAGTACGTGTTACTCAAGAGTTCTAATTTTCGTTGATTCAAAGAGATTAAAATAAATAAATAATAATAAGTCGAGCAGATGTCACATGTTCAGGTCAGATATATTGATGAAGGCAAAAATAAATTGAGGTGTATGAAATGATATTGTAACAGAAATTTGAAATGAAAATTTTCTAAAACTTCTCACTTCAGTAGGGAAAGACCGACCGACCGACCTACCATTTCACTCTGAATGTAGAAGTTAGGTTTCAACCGTCTAATCGCCACCGCTTCAATGACGCATAGTAGACTGCTACTAACTTGTAATTCAATCATCTTACATGATTTCAAAATGTTGGTATCGTAACCATTCTCTGCCAGGTTACGATCAATTACACTACTGGAGATTTTCGCATCATTTTTATCGAAAGTTCCTTGGAATATACTCAAACATACATCCAACTTCTGTTTCTGATTCTAGAGTATTCCTGTAGCTGCTCTGGTACATACCAACAAGCTTAATGACACCTGTGATTCCTTTCTTTCAACTCTTCGTGAATTCGATTACGTAATATTAATGGTTACCATCTCCTAACTACTTATTAATAGTATATCAATATTTTGTATACTCATACTGAAACTGTTTTAAGCTGTATACAGCTGATAAGAACCAGTGAAGTGAAATGATATCATTCCAACCTACTCAAACTGTTCTCCTTGCTATGATTGATTTCATCAGGGTGAAATAATTGTATGGAGGTTTTGTTTTCCTTTATTGCTTCCTACTTTTTACTGTGGTAGAATACATAATTGATAATAATTACAAGTGAATAGTACTCACAATCTATTCTTGAAGCAAATCGATGGGTTATTTTGATGTGTGTTTTTTTTCTATAGCAACCTCTTAATAAGGAAGAACAGAAGAATGCCACCTGATTGGTTGAATTTTCTAGCAAAACTGATCAGTTAGATTATCCATCTCACAACTAAGTTTATTGATTCTCTGACTAACTGGCCGACTTTAATACTGGCTTTTAGTTTCAATAATCAAACTATTGGAAATCGATTAAAAATAATTTATTTTGCATATGATAAATTATTGTGAAAAGTATAATCAGAATTTCCCGGAGATATTTTCTACAGTGAAAATAAATTTTGCTCTTAAATTGGATTATTTGAAAGCCCAAGAGTAGTCGCTGTTCTCGTCAATACTGTCAAGTGTGATATAAGTAAGGTGTATATATTCTGAGATTATTATTTGCTCAGCTTGCTTAGTTGGCTTCGAAAACCTTAGAGTTGTTGTATTTTGAGACAGATAACCGCAGTATAATTTCATAACATATCATAGAAACTCTTAGTTAGCTTTGTTGATTTCTTAGCAGTCTATAATTTGATGCAGTTATATTTGCTTTCCTGATTACTATTCATGGAATCAAGCAGGTCACATATTGTAGTCTGAATAATTCAGTTTCCAAGGGAAACCGTGGCGAAATTTCACCTCGAACTAGGCAAATTACAGATTAATTTGCAAATGGCGAATCCAATTTATGGTAACACCATGTGGCGGTAGGTGATTCCCCAGAATTATTAGCCACAGCATTAATCACTGAACATTGGATGCTGACCGTCACTGTTTTAAGTCAATTTGTTTAGCTGAAGGCCTACAGTCAAGCATCCACGTTCGTTCGCTCATGCACCATTCCTAGCTGGTGAAGCAATCATCTCGCACTCCGAATTGGTCCCGAAATATAATTCGTAATTTGGCCGATCAATTCTGTTGTTTTGCTTTGCCTTTGGTCTACGTGGAACGAATACTACAGAAGTTGTGGGTTTTAGATTTTGAGTTAGTAAACTTTGTACTATCCGTTAATGTCAACACCTTCAGTCTCTAAAACCAGTTCGCCTAAGTAGCTGGCCAGAACTCTTGGGTATTTTGATTTTATTCAGCTGTCTGAGCTGATGAGTGCGTCTCCCAAACAAGTGAAACGGCCTTTTGGTGTTTAGACCACTTCGACCCGGTTAGCAAGCTCTACTAGTTGACATGAGTGACATACAACTACTCATTTCAATCAGTCAGTAGTATATACTCTTATGTAGTCTATGCCCTTCTGTCTATCAAAATATCATGTTTCAACATTCATAAAAACCCCGTAATCTAGATCCTATGACGTAAATCTTAGCAAAATCTCAAGAGAAAGAAATACAAAGGAAAGTATTCAAATATCTTTCTTTCTTACCGGAACATTGGCAGCGATAGCAGCCTGTCGAGCTTCCACTTTGTCACCCATACGTTTTACAACTTTGGCTGGTGGTCCAATAAATATAATGCCAGCATCAGCACATGCTTGAGCGAATTCAGATCTTTCACTGAGAAATCCATAACCCGGGTGAATAGCCTCCACGTTATGTTTCTAGTAGTTAGAATGAATAGATGCACACAAACACACATGAAAACAGTCAAATTCGTAATTAAAATATTCAATAGATATCTGAAGAATTTAGGAAAATTCGGTTAGGGTTGGTTTTGAGCTAGACATTCATTCTGCTTACATTGTATCAATAAATTAGTTAAGGCAGTAAAAATCATTATTGAAACATGCCTAACTATAACCATACCAGCATTTATTGAATGACATCCGGCGATAGTCAACACAAAGGCCCTGGGTTTGATCCCTGGTGGGGTCGTGGGTATGCGCTGCTGAAGTGTACTAAACTAGGACGAAAGAGCTATCCAGCACTCAATGTTTCTCTAACTTATCTCAGCTCGTGATGAAACTTAAATTGATATCAGTCAAATGTCTACAAACCAACATTCAAAAAGTGTAGAACTGAAGGGGAAGTAATAAAGATAAGTTATCTGATAGTTGAATATTACAAACAAAACGAATGAGTTAATATGAATTTATCTTGAGGTGAATAACAAGTTATGCAAAATATTAAGCCAATTTATATAAATGAAGTATTATTATGCCTCGCAATTTTATCAACAAACATATTTATCGTATAAACTTATCTTACATATTTATAAAATAAATAGATTAAACATTTAAATTTTCGCGAAAACATGAATGCATTGATGCAAAACACTGGCAGCCTACGTAAAACGATATGAAAGTAAGAGTGAACAACTGACACTCCCTGCAGATGAATTTATTCTAGATACATGCCCGAACCTAATTCATCATCTGAAAAATCAATCTAGCAACTGTAATTTAGACCATTCTAATAACTATGTTATTAACATATGTTACTATTAATTTTATCAAACCAGAATTTTCTATTCGCATTCGGAATACTGTGTTCATCAGCATTCGCATTCAGAGATCGTGGAAAAGATATACGTGAAGCATAACAACAACATGTGCGTCGGTGGTATAGCGGTTAGGACGCTCGCCAACCATGAACATGGTCCGGGGTTCGATCCCCGGCCAACGCACTCCTTTACTTCGCTGAGCCAGAAATAATGCTGGTGAAGAGGAAAAGTTGGGTATAAGGCTAGCAACCCCATCCTGTAAAATAAACACTGCTACAGAAACTTCAAGCCTCTAGCTTGAAGCCCTATGTTCCACTGGGGAACGTGAAGGAAAAAAAAATAACAACAACGTGCAAGCTACTGTACATGACAGTAAAACAGGTCTATTATATAAGGATTAACTATTTCAACTTGCAGTCCAAACATAGATAAGTAGGGAAATCAGCTCTGGAAACCTGTGTTGTCAAGTCAACTGTCTGCATTAATGAGCAATAGCCTAACAGAATTATCAGGGAATACAATAAATTACAAGAAGTTTGGATTTATTTACTCCGATCCCCATGTCAGAGATACTGTGCTTATTCACACATAAACACACGCATACATCAAGAAAGACCTAATAGAAAGGTAAGTATTTAACTGACTAGTAACCAAATATCATGCTAGGCCTGTAGGAAAAAATTACTGAAATCCAGTACGAATTCGCTTTAAATGCATTTTGCAAGCTACAGAAATGCTAATTATCTTTAGTGTAGAAGCGAAAAACTTTAAACTTTTTTTATCCTCCTAATTGCCATTTTTTGTCTGTATTAGGGAAAATGGATCCAGTGATAATCACCTCAACCATTTTCAAAAGCAGTTCGATTAATTGTTTGTCTAAGGGTATTAAACAATGATCAATGATTGAAGCAGCAGATAATCGCTAGCATTTTCTCACCTTTTATGTCCCTAGAAATTAGTCTCTTTGAAAATTTCGAAGCTTAATGGTAGATTTTGCATTTAAACATGTATGCTAGCAGAAAACAGATTGAAAACTAATTAAACTACTATTTTGATTGGCACCTTTTCAGAAATATGTACATCGTACGCACCATTCTCACTATCAAGTGGATATGTAGTTCACTGACTAAAGGACTTAGCTTACAACTAATGCGTCTCAGGTTCGAGACCCACTCCACTTACTTCAGTCTGGGCACTTGGGTAGTATTACCAGCCCCTACACCCTGTGTGGCTCATATCCTCGTATATGAAAGATTTGTTCCCTGTAATTGATTTCAAATATACCCAGTGTCTAGTCTATAATATAAGCCTAGTAGTATTTTAACCTTTAAAATACTGATTACGAATACTTTGAGCTTTAATACGTTTGTATCATGACTTCAAACAAGCTTCAATTTTACACAATATAAAAAGATAACTAGTAATACTTAGCTATATCACTGCATGCAACAATCCTACAAAACCAACACATTGTTGCAATGATCAATTAAATCAGGTGTAATTGTATTAAAATATTGTAGAAGCAGTTTAAAAATTACATAGGCTAACAACTACACTTACTTTTGCCAATTGAATAATTTCAGGAATATTTAGATACGCAGCTACTGGTGGTAAGCTTTTACCAATGAGATATGATTCATCTGCTTTTTGACGATGCATCTGCATTTTATCTTGTTCACTATAGATAGCCACTGTTCGTATATTCATTTCAGTACATGCTCGAAAGATACGAATTGCAATTTCACCTAGAAGACAAAAGTAAGATTCAGTTGTCAATTGGTTGAACAAAATGAAATACTATGAGGTCATTTTTGGTGACAGATAAATAAAATAAATACAAAAGAAGCTTTTAGAATCGATTCTCTGAAGTATTTTGAGGCGATCAAAATGGGATTGAGTGTTATTTTCAGCCTTATTTAAAACTAGCATTATTTCAGAGTTAAAATGGCTAGCGTTAAAGAGTTTAGGTGAACATAACTTCAAAACCACAGTTCACTAGTGATTACATCCAAGATAACTTCGGTAACTACTATGATGAACGTCCTTGACTACGTGTAATTTTTTCCTTACTTCAAAGTTCAAGTTGCAATGTTGTTTTCTTATTTTTTACAAACATATATACATGTATATATACCCAAAATAATTACAGTAAAACAAAATGTAGAATCCATATTTAACTGTTAATCACAGGTATGTATGATAGTTAAGTGAATTACTTTCTGTTTGTTTTTAAAATTCACTAGTTCCAAACCACGTATTAATTGAAATAAACCACAACGAAAAGGATGTTATTCTCTTAAATACTACTATCATCTGTTACTCCCCACTATGAAATGTATTTAAACACGAACAATGACGGTCACACAAAAAGCTTAGTCTCACTTCGCACCATAAAAATAAAGAAATGTAATTTCTGTTTGTGAAAGAGCATACAGATATTCTTAATATTGAAAAAAAGAATTCTGATACCAAATATGATTTAAGCATTACTATTCTCACTACTCCTGTATTAAACGATGTAAAAATGTTAAGCTGTTTATCTCTATTTAAGCAGCTGTTTTCATATAATTGATACTATGTTTTGAAATTCTTCAAGACTACACGTATGCAAGGGCTAATAACAAGCGTTTTAGAGGGTAGTGTTCAATAATACAAGATTCTCACATAACTCTGAATATCATCTGAGATATATGAGTTCATAGAATTCGGCAGTTACTCTTGACGTGAACATTCTTTAATTTCAATTACATTACTCGCTCATTGAAGAAAGTACTGAGAATTCTACTTCTGACAATATATTTAGATGTCAACTACTCCCCAGTATATTTATTCAATTAAAATAACTGAAGTTATCGACTTGCTTTAGTTAGAGATTTCAGTGTTTATCAAAGTAGTTTTCATTTTGACAAGATGAAAAAAGCACTCCTAGTATTTCCCAACATTTGTAGGAACTTTGAAGACATAAAGTGCAAAAAATAACACCATACATTTGGGTTATATGGAAACCATAAACTGCAGGATTCTATATTTTGAAATAATAGAGAAGATTTGTAGCTCAGGTGGATGATTTGCAATTAAAAGTGTTCTCTGAGCTGGTTGGTTTTATGCTAAATACAAGAAACCGATGAGCGCAACGCTGAGTACAATAGGAAGCGAAAATATCCCATTCGGAAAAATAAGGACTAAAGGTATTAATTACAAAGAAGGCAACCAAATTTGCAAAAATCCAATGGACTCCATGCTCGACAGCAATAAGTATAGTGATAACTTGTAACTTGACTGATGAGTTATCAACTACTGTTTATGTGCTTACACTTAAACGATAAACAGTATGATGGGAAAGCATAGTTTTTACTGAATATATTGCTAAAGAAACTAAAAATATGATGTCCACAGCCTGTAATGCATATTTAATGGAAATAAGATGCACTTACAAGTAAATCATGACAAATAACATTGTTCATTTACTAGGAATCCCATTTTAAATCAATATAATGGTAAAGATAAATCACAGTAGAAGACATTCTATTAGTCAGTGGAATGAACAAAACGAAAAAGCGGTTTAGAGAAGATAGTCTGGCAATAATTTCTTGATCATTTTAGGCAACAACTTCAACTTGCACTCTGAACGACACATCCGAAAATAAGTAAAACATGTAGCATTATTTATGAACATATTTTTATAAAAATTGACAATCACGTCACCAATTTAATAGTCTTAAATGATGCTGCAATCTCACAATTTATTAAATTTCTAACGCTTCCCTCTGAAATTAAGTATTCAAGATAATTTACAGGTAATTGTCATTGTTCATGACACTGAAGAACAGAAAAGCTCCTAATATCTTAAATCTCGACGTACTTTCTGTCGAATAACCGTGTGCAGTAACATGACAGTCATTCAATAAAAGGTGGTAGTCAGCTGCGGTCACTTTAATTCATTCAGTCCATCTATTTCATTTCAAATAGTTCCCATACACACCTCGGTTACTAAATTTAACTATGCAAAAAGGAATCAAAGAATGATGTAATTTCAAAGATTTTTCAGTGGGCACTGCTACTTTGAAACTGGAATCTAGTGTGTGTAACGCGAATTAACTATATTTACAGCTATAATAAATTTAATAAAGTAGTTATACACATGTATTGTGAGGGGCCATATGGAGATATATAATGACAAAAAGCATAATTTCATAAATCGCCAAAAGTGAATAAATTTATAAACCTTAACATTACGTGAAAAATTCTACAGGGAGATGCAATTACCTCGATTAGCTGCCATTAATTTCTTGATTCGTCGTTCAGCAGGATTCTTACTAGCAGTAGCATCCGATTTCAAATAACATCGCAATAAAGGAAACCGTTGACATGTTTTTAGCAATGGCGACATATGCCGATGAGCAAGGAGGACAGTCGGTGGCATTTTCAGCGATTTGCAAAAAGAAACTAAATCTCCGCCAAGGTCATTAATGACTGCATCTGCTTTCGAGGTACTTCGTTAGCACACTAAAACAAATAAAACAGCTACCATGTGTAAATGAGTTTATATTTCAGCAACAGAATAAACGTGGAGATGCATTAGACCAATGCTTATATATAAAGCTTCAATATCTGTCTTCAGTGGTTATATCATGAGTCGCTGCATCGTCGAACAATTTAAATACTATGTATTTGCATTCATTGTCTTAATATACTTATTAGTCTAGTGGTACATGTTAAAGCACCTTCATTATTAACTATTCTGTTGAAATGCTTTCCATTATCTAAGGCTTCTTACTGAAAACCCATTTGAGTACTAATAGCGATTTTGTGATACCTGTAACTCATTTGGAACAATAATATACTATTACTGCTTCGTAGTAACACTCGGCTTCGGCTGTTTGATTGCAGTTACCCCCATGAAGGCTGAGAAGTACGTTGCAAACCCTTAGATTCTTCACCCGTTTTCCTTGATTGTTTTTCAGTTATTTCCACAAGCATTTGAAAGACATTTAACATGTTTTTGTCTGTCTCAACTCCTGGTAAAAGTTCAAGTGACCATATAATATTTGGTCCACATTTATAATCATTACACTTTTGTATTCCGCTTATGCATTTCAAAAAAAGATAAATGTGACATGCTCTGGAGCTCCAGTGTACCAAAGAATCCGGGGCATATTTATTGCTGAGATTCGCTTGTCAGATTTTCGGATGTCTTTTTGGCATTATCATGGGTTTGTGGTGACATGATCACTTTTTTCAACAGGATAAGTGATAATAGCAAATTATACTCGTGTAAGTTTCTTACTTCATTTCATTTCCATCAGAGAGGGTTAAGCGGTGAGAAAGTGGTGATGACCTGGTGGATTCCATTTTAATGGATATTTGAACAATAGATCGAGCAATCATAGGTAACAGTAAGCTGTCTGATAACTAACCTTCCACTGTGTTTTTTTAAATTTACACAATGGTCTCGGGCTCACTCTGCAGTTTTGTGCGAGCACACGGTTCATTAAATGAACATGTTGAGTAAACCCGAAGTACCTCTAACCTACTGTCTTAAATTGTTCGAAGACCCCGAAACCCCTGTTTGGCAATAGACTATAGCCATTGACACTGTAGACTCGAATAAAGTAAAAATCTGGAGGTTCAACGAAATTCAAGACAAGATCAGGCTGTAATTCACCAAAGATGATCACCACCAGACAAATTAAATTAGATCGTGCAAATATTGTTATTAAGGTATGGAGACTATCCATGGATGGAAAAGCCCACTCACACCAAACCCCAGATATCCGTATCTCTATTAGGAAATGTGGAATCGACTCTAGTAATAGTAAAAGCAATTCCAAATGGTGGAGGTTATTAGACGCCTATTCAGTCCGCAGCTAGAACGCATAAATTAGTAGTGCAAGGAATAGATATAACAAAGGATAAGGTGTATGGCACCAATGAAGTTCTAACATTCAAATGAACCTCAGCCATTTCACATTCAACAGTGAATTTGTCTGTCTGTGTGGATTGAAACACATGGTGGACAACTGCACTTTCAAAGGACAAGAGCGTTGCTCTGCGTTGTGACCTGATTATTTATCTCTGTACTCTTTTCATGCAGTCGGTAATAAATATATCAATACATGGCTGTAAGGGTTATTTCCCTCTTCGCTAGTTGTGGCGGTGTTGAAAACAGCCTGGACATCAGGTTAGGTGGACGCCAAACAGTCATCAGGTAATGTATACAAAGCTCGTGTCTTGCAGAATAGGTGGCCAAACAACAAACTGAAAGCATTATTTCTTGCTGAAAGCAACAGGAAACGGGCACGAATTCGTTTAGTCAGTGTAAATAGCCGGTTTCCTATACGGCCTACTACACCTCATCTAAATAGCAGTGTTTCAACAAGAGATCCAACTGACGCCATATTCACTTACTGTACTTTGCATTCCAAATTGAAGTCGTCGGGTGATTACAATGGGATATATACAAATATCTAGACAGGGACAATACGTGCTTCATCCTCTGTGTAAATCGTGCTGCCTACTGAACTTTCTTGGATAATCAACGGCCTTTCATGTATTTAACTAAACTCTTCTGGATTACCGCCTCACTAACTTGTCAATAAAATATCTGTTCAACAACTATTACTACCTTCTTTTCTTTTAGGGTCCTTGAGGTAGATTATCTTACTAATAACTTAGTGTGCTAGGTCGATGATTAAAAATTTGACAAAACTTCTGATGCTTCAGACTAGCAGCGCAGTTATTAACAATCATGAATTTATAGAACTGATGGATGACCATTTTCAAACAGAAATATTACTTCTAAGGAAGCGACGTTAATGTGCTCCTAACTTCTTCGTAGAATATTTATGGCCGGGACATTTCAAGTTACACGCCATTTTCAAGCTCTCTTGGAGAGTTCAAAAATGTTGAATGCGATGATCCCCTTTGAAAAATCATGAAGATAGATCACCAACCACCATCCTGGATTTTAGATTAATTAAGGGGTACAGAATTCTAATGACACAGGTGAAGTAAGAACGTCGTTCTGAATTTAGGGCAGTAAATCATGCTGTGTCGTTGGTCTCTCAGCACTAGGATTTTAGAACACATCACATAAAATGTCTTCAATCTATCCGTCCCCCACAGTTGTGCCAAAAATGAATGAGAAAGGGCTTCACAAATGACCAAATTAAGGAATGGTGATACAAAGGGTATGAACTAATCAAAGTCCGTAAAAATTCCAAACAGAGCATTTTCGTGAAATTAGATATTGAGCAGAACATTCACCAAAAATAGTGAAAGAAATGAAAGAATATTGAACAAGATATCAGCTGTTTTGAGGGAAAGAGCAGGGTCAGTATTAGATTAGGAATATATTAGGATTTAATATGAGGTTAGGGTAAGCTTAGAGTTAGTTTGAGGTAAAAGACGCCAAGATTAGGGTTGATTTAAGGCAAATGTGAATTGAGAGACAGATTAGAGGTACGTTAAGCCTGGGTCTTGGAAACAGTAGGGCTGGCATGAATTAAGCCACGAATCTACATTTTTTGACCATTTGGTCATTTAAAGATTAATCGTGCGTTTATTCTCCCTGAGTCTCTCCATACTAACTCCACCTCCAGACTGCTGTTCAACATTCGTGATTTGTTTTCAGAGTTCAAGTGATTTCGTAATGCATGATTAGACGATATGTTTGAAATAAGTATTTGTAGGTCATTTTCGCTGTAGGCTGTAGCAACTGCAACGCGTTTGACTGAATCAACAAGATGTAGTGCATCTGAGCGTTTCCTGTACCACTGATAATTCAGAATCATCACTGTTCAGTTCAAGATCTTTGAATAACAAAAATAACATGAGTCACTACTTACCACCAAAATCGTTAACTAAGAGCCAAGGTAAAATAGTAAATGTTTTTTACCGAAACTATAGGTGGAGAGTGGGCAAAAATAAGAACTGTTAACGCACTTGATACAAAATCACATGCGACTATCAATGATAATATTGTCAAAGGAGAAAGTCAAAATATATTAGAAAGATATTCATTCGCTGACTCCTCTTTGAGTTCTGATTCACTTTGTTCATATTTAACTTGCGAAATTCTTGTGGGTATTTTGCTCATTTTTAATTTATTTTGGTAGTTAAAGCGTGGGAGCGTTCAAGATCCTACACGTCTTTTTGAAGTTGATGTGTCCGCTATGGGTTTGGAAAATATCGAGACAGATTTGCACAATAAATTCTCTTCACTGAGAAAAATCACAGCCTCCGATAACGCTTTCTCATTTGGTAACAATAACATTACAAAAGCGTCACTCTAATGAAATACAGATATTTTTAAACATTTCAGCATTCTTAGTCAGCTAGATCTTTCATTGAACCAAATGAGTCGATTACTTCCTTATTCAGGAGGATTCAAATATTTGCAGGTAAACATTTTACACCTTCGTGAACTTGAAAGACATCCACTCACGGATATGAAGTTGACTTTATTTTATTGGCTTTCACTTGCTGTATTAAGTTTTCATTTGATTTACTACCAACAACTGGTTTGAACTTTAACTGCATATTTAATTCATAAAAAATACACGAGAGATTCATTCACAAAGAATAGAACTGACTGTGCTACAGCTTTGCAGCTCACGTTTGTGGCAGCTGGAATATATTACCAGTAGTTGCAACCACTGAGCCACAAGTATATTGCCTTGAAAGTAGACTATATTATCACAGGCTAACACTAGAACTTTTTCCAAGGAATTAGTATTCTGGCCAGGTACGAATGTAGACTCTCATAACCATTTGCGTTGAGTGAATTAGTTGTCTTACTTGTCTTCAACTTTCTTCTCATTATTGCTGTTGATAGACTTGCTGTTTTTCTTTTCCCACCTTTTGCTTACAGGTTACTATCTTATTAACGTCTTACTTTTACTAATCTATAAAAAATCCAGCGACGACCACATCAGTCGTACACTCTACCTAGGATTTGATTGACCTACGGAAATCCTCCAGGAGTACACGAGATGTGGTGGCTGTGAGTGAGACTGTTCAGCCAAAAATCTGCCACCACGAATCGAAAGCAATAAGGTTGACTTCGCTTGCCCTTACTGTTTATCCTGCTGTTTTTAAACGCATTCGTTGAGAATGGCAAGGTTAATCGTAACCCTTTTAAGAACTAAGTAGCATTCAACTTAGAAATCTTTTACTTAGGTATTTTGTGCTACTTTCTACTGACATAAGAAATGATTTGACTAGACGTTCACTAAATAAAACACTTATCAGGTTTATAATCATAATGTACAATTCTAAACATCAGATTTAAAAAACTCTTTAGCCCACGATATGCCATATGTAATATTTTCAGCTTAGGAAGTCGTTCTTTTTGACTCCAGCCATTAACTGTGTAACAAAACGTGTGACTCGATCCTGATGTCTTTCAATTAAGCCTTAGTTGCCTTTTCAGTTCCATTTGCTGAAACTTCGAATTTGCGTCTTGCACAGCAGACATTTATACTGCTGGCTTTTAGTACCGCATCATTACACGCTTAAAATGATTTATATAGTTCTTCTCTTACCATATTCTTGAATTAAAAAGGTCTGTCACCTCAAAAATCTTTGCGAGATCCGTGTACTGTATCAGGTGGAAAGCGTTCGTTTCTCCTTGAATAAACATGAAATTCTATATCATTTTCTAGAATATTTACAGTTTTGGTTTTGAAATTTACTATCTTTTTATTAAAGCGTTGATGTTGCAGTTATTTACGTCTCACATTTTAAACGACTTTTTCTACGAGAGCGACCGAGGCATGAACCAGAGATGGTTTCAAATGGTATGAAATATGGGATAAGTTGTATTTCAAGCGTTGGTTATGTCACATGCGATCCACTCCTATTACTATTTTTGTGGGTTGATTAAGTGTGAGCACCTAAATATGAGGCTGTCACTCTCTTTAGAAACTGAAGTCTTTTATGTGTGGTGATTTGAATACAGTGGATAATTCCGATTTATACTAACAGTTTTTTCAGCGCTTGACATTACTGACTCCTTAACAGAACAAGGAGTATGTCAGCTTTACCAGAATATTAGGTTTGTGTCCTTAGAAAGTCTGATTGGTGATGTCTGACTCCCCGAGCCATATGAGTATTGAAATAGTTTTACCATGATTGCTCGTAATCAAATCTTTGGTAATTAGTACATCGGAATTTATTTTAGTGGTCAGAAATAATTGATATTACCTAATTATTTTCCTCAATAACTTTAAACTGACCGACAAAAGGAGCTAATAACTTCAAATTATTTGGTTCATGTACTGACTGGCAGATCAATACAGGATTCGTTAAGGTTAAGACCTTAGGACTTTATCTTCCTATACTTACTTAGTTCCACTAAGGCATAAGCAGTCTTGGTGAATTTTGGCTGCTTGCCTCTATTATCGAAAATAGGCGTTAATAAAGCATAATAAAGATTTCAAAACTTTTGGGACCATGTAAAACTTTGTCATTGTCATCGTATTACTGTCTGCAAGACCTGACGGTAACCTTGTAAATCGAGTAATTCAGGCCTTTGCCAAAGCTTATTAAATAAACGCTTTAAAGGCGGATTCCAAAATTGTATTAATTGCACTGATGCATTTTAAATATAGCAAACTTTTGAACAGTTCGTAATTAGTAAGGTCTTACAGTAAGCATGGATTAGCTTTGAATGATGAAGTATTTGACAAATGACTTGAAAATAGTGTTTACTGAAAAGTATCCTAACTAAAGCACTGCATTGGGATTTCCAGCTGTTATAAAATAAATCTTGTAAGGGATAGAGTCGAACATCAAATAACAATTCACACTGAAGCCGGTGATGTAGATGTTATCCAGAAAGATAGTGAAATTAGCTCAGAGGAAAACACAATACTTAAACCATATATTACTTATTCCAAGCATATGGGTAGATAGTTATCACTCATTTAACGAAACCCAAAATAGTTTATAAATAGTGACTTGAGTGATTTTAAGTATCACATATGCGGTAAAGAGATATGCATAACACAAATTTTAACCATTTTTTTTTTGGAGGAAAGAATAGGGGTGAAATAGAGCCATATATTGTATAAAGTTTACACGAATAAAATTCTCTCCCATATGTAACACTTTGCAATACCTTACTAAAATCTACAAACTGTTAAATCTTCATAAAACTTTATTTCAGAATCTTAACTTGTCGTACAACTTCCTTGAACCTTCTGATGTGGAGCAGCTTGGTTACTTACCATCCCTGAGAATTTTATATCTATGTGGTAATGATTTGCGTCGACTACCACCAGATTTTGCAGAGTCTGGTATTACTGAAGAAGGGTAAGTTCTGATGAAGCCATAATGTCTATTATTAGTTGAAACCAAAAAATATCTCTAATGGGATAAAAGTTGGAAGTTGAAGATACCAGCATCTCAAATATTCATTAACTTGTAAAAACGCTGCTGTGTTATTATTCCCTTAGGTTCCAGGTGGTATACAGGGCTTCGACAACACATCTCCATTTCACTGTGTTCTCTACAGCCTCCATTAGCTGGCTCCACGATTACCCACAGACTCTCATCTCCTCCTCACATAACCTACTTCACATCACCTTTAGAGGCCCAATTAGTTGTTTCTCATTCGGGTTCCATTCTGCAACCTGAAGTGCTATGTTATTCAGCGGTCTCTACACCGTGTTTCCGATTTATCTCCCCTTTCTCCGGTGAGGTTCTTGATTGGTTTGTTGCCAGAGTTCCTTACTGCTAATCCTTTTTGGCAAACCATCTGATCTTCAGTATGGATCGAAGGCAGCTGTTGATAAAAGTCTGCAGTTCATTGGAAATGCTTTTCTAAAATGCCGCCTTACTCATTCACTTTTAAAGTTTTAGAAAATTGCTGGAGGTGACTAAAAACGAAGCATCAGATACTTTACTAAGTAAATAAGCATAATGTGAACTAATTATGCCGATATCTAAGAGAGTGAAATTATCTCAACAATTTCGGCGATAGAAAGATTTTCCTATTGTGGTCATATTCATATATTCAATCAGTTTACCAGTCACGAATATATCTTAATGAGTAATACTTTATCAGAAGTGCGTCAATGGTGCAGCGTTAGAATGCTCGCTTTCCATGTATGTGGTCCGTGGTACAAATCCCCCTCTGGCGCACACCTTTACCGCCCCCAGACAGTAGTAAGTTTGTAAAGTGGGAAGGTTGGGTGTGAGGTTAGCAACTGCATCCCTTAAAAAGAAACACCACTGCTACTAAAATTTCAAAACTCTAGCTTGAAGCCCTACGTTCCACTCAAAACGTGAAGAAATAAAATTTTCAACCATCATACCTAATAAGGTGAAAAACAAACTAGATGGAAACATTTGAAAATTTAAATTTTTAAAATTGCTATCGTATAGTTACATATGAAAAGCACTTTTAATGTCCACAAACTGTTTTGATTCCTTTGTTTATGAGTATGTGCTGAGGAGTGTCTTTTAAAGGCTTATGACCGTAGAATATTCCTGCCTTCAAATTTACTAAAACTGTTAGTCTCTTTGATGATAAAGTCTTTTGTCTGTCGATTCTAAGAAGTGTTCAGATTGCTCTTAATTGAAAGAATTTGGAAAATTGTGACGGTAATTTTTGATGCGTTTTTTGGCAATGAAATATAAACAGTCCAATTAGATGCTAAGAAATGAAACAATGTTTTAATTATGTCTTACCTCAAAATAAATGATTTTAAAATTAAAATCCACTTAAATTGGAGTAAGTTTAAAGGCTTTGTCTACTGTTGACTGATATCAAAGTACTCTTGACTATATGTGAGTACCAGCTAGAAGATTGCATAACGAAACAACGCCATTTCAAGGTATTTTTGAAATCTTTAAAATTGTACACTGAAGACACTATGCAGAATAGGGGGGCATCTCTGTGACTTCTGGGGAAGAGAACATTTCCCTTGATCTGTTCAGTTCCTAATTCGTCAAAAATAATGAGTCACAAATTAACAAGAGCGGAGTAAAAGACAGTTTAACTTCAGCTGAGTAGCTATTTCCTAATATTCTTGCTGCTAGAGCTGATTATCCTAAGCTGATTTCAGCGTCACTTCTTTATCATGCACCGGTTGTTAAGCGATTTATGTATTTTTAAATACAGAATTACTGATCGAATTTACTTTGAAATGAATCGGAATTATAGTTTTATGTGTGCTTAGAAGAATGTACAGAAGTTAACCAGCGGAAATACTGATAATCAGAAGATGTTTTCAGAAAGAATATTTCAAGTAGCCTGACATTTCTTGCAATTAGCCTAAAAATCCCCATTGGGTCATATGAAAAGAGAAGTTCAGCGAAGAGACACTTTCCGGTGAATTCATTCACAATCGCATTTATATACAATTACTTTGTGTGTGTGTGTGTGTACATGAGTTTTGTCAAGTTTAGATAATTAATTAGGTAATGCAAGAATGATCTAATATAGAAAGAAGGTTAATTAGACAGCAACTAAAGTAAGATTGAGTTAGTAAGTTAGATAACGTAATATAATTTACTAAAATGTTTCAACTTAGGTCAGGATAGCAACAGAGGTAATTACAGATAGAGACTAAGTAGAGGTGGGGTAGAAAATAATACCACTTAAATTAGGACTAAAATTGAGTAAATAAATTGCATGACTTAACATAAATGACTAAAAATTGAGCGTTGGTCAAGTCAGCAACAGTGGTAATGAGGTGTAAGAATTAAATCGGATGGGGGTAGAGGACAGAAAAGTCGAAAATGTAAAATATTACAATTGAAAAGACAAAATAATACTAATGAAGAGACAGAAAGAAATAGAATTTACCCATCGGGTATTAAGATAGATTACGTCCATTGCTAGTGTAGTGATTGAACGAACTTCTTCTGTAATGCAGAGTTCAGGGCTTAGCAAGTGAATTGCCATTGCTTTTGCAGTTTGAAGAAGTCTGATTCGTACACTTTTAGGAAGACTGCTTCGTATTCTGTAGACGACTTTGAAGTTTGTTTGGGATGTAGCTTGGTGTCCGGAATCTATCAGATATTCTAAGATAAAGCTACGAAAGGCATCTATTTGCTCCTTTGCGATTGTACAGCTATGTGAATGAATTCGCCGAAAAGAGTCTCTTCGCTGAACGTCTTCTCTTTTTCTCGTGATTGTTTTCTTTTTTGCATTATTTTCTGTCTAATAGTGTAATCTGATTTTCTTTCTCTGGTTATTTGTTTAGAGATATCATTTATAAATTTGAAAAATTAGAAGTTCTACATTTGGATGATAATAAACTCTCAGATGCACAAGATTTTGCTAGTTTAGCCACTCTTCCAAGGTAAGTTTAAATTAGACTGTTAGTTGAGTTTCTAATTATAGATGTGTAATAGTTAGGACTTAGTTATAGATTTATGTAGTAACACTTCATTCAATGACACAGTCTTTGTAAGTGTAGGACAAAAGCATTCATTCTGTCATCTTTCAGGACCACTGAATTATTATTACGCTCCATGGGATTATTCTTTTTTCTATATATATTTCCATTTGTTTCAGTTTCTTTGCATACCTTTATTCCATCTACCTTCATATGTGAAGGTCTACATTGAAAGTTTGGTTCAGTTGAGTTCGAAAACATTCATTTTAGTCCCCGAAAATACCCATTGAGTCATGAAGAAAATAAAAGACAGATTCAGCGAAGAAAATTTTCTTTATCGACGAAATCATCTTCAGAGGCTGTACAATCGCATTTATACTTACAAAAATATATAGTGGTCTATTATTGAGTAATAGGGGGTGACATAATTGATATAATTACTCAGAAGTGGCTATAGAAGTGAAAATTAGAAGTTGAAAATTACGTGGTACTCAACAGAACAAAGATAGAAATTTGATAAGGTTAAAATTGCTATTAAGTGAGAATAAAGATATTTGAGTGTCAATTTGACAAGTATGAAGAGGGTGTGAAAATATACAAAAGGAGCATATGAGAGTGATAATAGTGAAATAATTATTAAAGCAAAAGCTAACTAAAAGTGAAATTAGAATGAAAAGAAAAAATCAAAATATATTTTATTTACAAGGAACGATTAGTGAAGAGGTTAAGACCAAGGTAGAATAAGAGACTGGACAAACTTTTTCTGTATACAGAGTTCAGGGTTGTATTGATGAATTGCTAGAGCCTCCGCCATACACAAAAGCCGAAACCTGACGCCCTTTGTACTATTTGGCTTCACTTTGTAGATGATCTTGAAAGACGATTCTGGTGGAGCTACGTGGCCTGAGTTCACCAAATGCTCGAGAATTGAGCTAGTAATTGTCTTACATTGTCCCTTTGCTAACCATGCCGGATAATGTTCGGAGATGCGTTTGGAAAGCGTGCGCTTTGTGCGGCCAATATAACTAGCTCCACACGAGCAAGTGAATTTATAAACACACATTGAGGTGGCCCAAAGCGGCAGTTTATCCTTCACACACCCGTTGATCATTTGTCGGCTGTAGAAGTTGATACGTAGCTCAGCCATAAAGAAGGCTTTCCTCAGTGATCTGCATAAGCGATTCTTCAGGATCTCAGCTGCGGTATCACCTTTAAATTCGACACTCATAAACAGTAGTTTCTTCGGCACCGTCTGTATTCTTTCGGATTTTTCCCTTGGCTTCATGTTTTTCTCGATGAATCTTGGAGGATATCCATTCTCTATGAGGACTTGTCTGAGTCGCTCCAGTTCCCCATCGATTGTATCACTGGAACATATCCTCCTTATTCTTGAGGATAAGGAATGGATCAGATTTCTCTTTCTTCTCAAAGGGACCCAGCTATGGAAATTTGTGTATTGACCATTCCATGTTGGTTTCCTGTAGATCGATCTTTGAAGTAATTTTTTCTACCCACATTATATAAGTTAACTTATCTAACAAGTCAGATCAAAGTTTCAGTATTATTGTTTAAAATAAATTTCACTTCCACGTATGAATGAGCTTTAAAGCATATAATCTTCTAATAAACAATAGTGATGAATAAATGTAGCTAACTTAAGCAAAGGATAGCAGTTTTTTGGCTAACCTCAGCACAAGTTGGAGTTTGTCTCTTGCTCTATTCGACGCTTTGTGTTACTTTGATTTTGTAAATACACCTTTATGGATAGACCTTTGTGATAGGGAAGAAGATTGATATCATAGGTGGATGTGTTCTCTGTGCTGGATGGTTCATTTGTGAAGCAATTTCGTTGTCCTTCCGGAGAGATTCTCCACTTCTAACTACATTGTGAAGTGAACTTTGAGAATTCTTTTTAGTAACGTCAACTGTGATTCATTTGTACCTGAAAACTTTCTTATGATTGCATACAAAGCAGACGTAGTCTTCATTTTCATATCCATGATCATAAATTAGTATTTAAAAGACGTGACATTTATTCGACCACGGGAATCAACTCAACTGAGGCAAACATCACAACAACAAGAGTCTGCAATCATAAGGAAATTTACGGGAACAATCAACCATAGTAATGGTCACCGGCTGAAACGGATTTTACATCCACGGTGACTTCCTAAATCCCGTTGAAGATGTTGTACAGAAGGAAAACGAAACCTTTGCAATTAAATCATCAAACTTAAACTACACAAAAGCATCAAAATATCTTTTTTACGTTCTAGCTAATTAACTTCACTCATAGAACATGAAATACAGTAAAGTATAATATTGAACGATTTGGTTTATTGGTTACTTCTCACTTTATCAGCAACAAAAATTTTATTGCAACGAATCATTTCACCCAGAATTAGATTGATTGAAGTCATACAGGAAGATAATTTTTTTTAGCTTCCAGTAATACCCTATAGCATACTTTAATATAGCCATTTTCACTTCTTAATTAACAAAAGGTTTGGAATTTAGATGATGAAATGACGCCATGAGTGACTTTTTTGGACTGTACCAAACACATTTATGCTTAGTTCGATAAAAATCATTAATTTTATACTAGCTGTTGTTCATCTTATTCCTTTTTATACACATGAAATTAGTGGTGATGTGGCAAATTCTCTTATTTCATCAATGAGCGATATACTTACCAGTTTATGAATAAAGATTATGAGTTTTAGATACGTTCGATGGATGAATGTCAACAATCTGACAAGGTTAAAGTAGACGCCTTCTTGTAGACTAACTTATAGCATGTTTGCTGTGTCACTCGGCTAATAAGCAGTCAGATTTTAAATGAAGGCAAAAGTTCACGATCAACACTGAATGCTTTTAACTCAGTCGTTATCGTTGATTGCTTTCTAATATGCATTCAGCAAATACTGAGTTCTAGGTCACAAGGTGGCTCTCTTTTTATTTTTCGGGTAGAAAACAACATACTGTTTTGAATAGAAAGCACTCCACTTCGTTGTTAATGGAAACTGGTGCGTCTCTAGGCTCTGTGCCCTCTCCATTTCTTTTTTCTTTCCTTTTTCCATGACCTTCCATATTCTTCCAAATCTAACTTCATTAAATATTCCGATGATCTAATCATTTCTGTCCCGGTAGTTTCTGTTTTCGATTGTTCGTATATGAATAGATTATTGTCTGATTTTACCAAATGGTCTCACCTAAATGGTCTTAAACTAAATCTATCTAAATGTTAAATTGTTGGTTTTAATTTCAGATGCTAGCAAGACTTGCGTGGACTGGCTGATTCAGTCCCATGAATCCTGTAATATTGATGGCACTGTGATAGGCAGCAAATCCAATATCTTTTATCTGGGCATCAGTTTCTTTTCCACTCGGTTTTGATCGTCTCAGATTCTGTTGATTTCTAAGAAGATATTTCGTTTGACTTATTATACAGAGAAGTTGTAACTTTCTGCTAGCATAACTCAACCTCTTCTCTTACATTTTGTTAATTCATGTATTCTGCCCATTCTTCTTCATTGTTCGCCACTATTCCTCCCTAGACTTCTCGGAAAAGACTTTGTCATATCACATAGAACACTGAAGATTGTAAGTAGGGTTAGTGGTGTGTGCCCCTGACTCAGCTAACTGACATTATTGTCAATAGACACTTCAATTCTTGCAAGCATTTGGCTAAAGTTATCTTGTCTGCTACCACCGAACATTCTCTTTATTCTCTACTTTCTCCTTGTATATCTTTGGGTAAAACCGGAAGAAACTTCATAAGAATTGAGGCTCGTACAACTACTAAATGTAAAAATTCGACCATACCAAATTTAGCTTGGGTTTTGTGTGAAGAGTCAGATGTCAGAAAAGAACTTTTTAAATCAGTAACTGAACTGCAAAGTATAAGCAAAGATTATTATTGTTACATGTATTATCTGTGATACTATCTACTTATACTTCATTCTGTTTCCATCAATATTCTGTTTACGGTGATTTCTTTATTAATATTATAATTAATACTTTAAATTTTATGTGTGTACATATTTATAAAAGGAGCCAAACTATTGCAATATGTATAAAAACGCTGAAAATTTCATACTGTACAACTATTATTGTTTGCAATAAAGTAGTTATTATTATTAATAATTTATGGTTATGCTCATTAACTTAAGTATGTTAATTACTTGAAAGTCATATGACATGAATTGTGATACGATTATGAACAGTAAATTGTGTTCGAAACGTCATCTAGTCAATAAGGCTGTTTCATTGTGAGTGATATATCCGAAAAAAACAGAATAATCCAAAGTTACATACCTCCAAATGTCCACTCTTTACATATATACAATTTTTAGGCCAGTTTTTTAAGCACTTGCCATAAGGTATCTAAGATGACTGTCAGTCATTCATTACTGAAGGAATACAAAAGTAAAACCCTAAATGTACAATATCACGAAAAGATGGTAGAAAGTGATGTTCAGACGTTTTGCAGAATACAATGAAATCATCGTGTTTCAAGCTTTACATACAATGAATGTATATTCTTTCCTCTACCCAAAGGTTTCATTACAGTGGGACGTCAGTTTTACATTTCGACTATCATTTCAGTTGAATTGTGTTTAGTACTACTGAGTCAAACTTATCATTGACACTGGTAGTGAGTCTGACCCAAAACGACAGTCTGATATTTAGATCGCTTTGATCTGCCTATCAATCACTATTTTTTGACTCGAGTGGTTCCAACTACTCATATCAACCAATAAGTAGTATATAGTGTCAAGCTACAATACGTTTGATGCATTTCCCTTCATCATAATTTCATAAAAGTGCATTACTTTCCATTACTTTTTATTAGTAAAAAAATATGTTAAACCGAATATTTTTTTCTTTAGGTTAAAGTTCTTAAATTTATCAAATAATAAATTCCATACTGTACCACTGTTAAAGTCAACTTCACAAAGAAAACGTCAGACAGTTGACACACCGAAGGATTCAGTCACAAATGATTTATCGATTCATGTGAATGAGAACTCTGAAATGGAAAACCAATCAGTCAGTTGTAATTTAGACTGTCAAAACAATGAGTAGGTTTGTTTTCTTTTTGAAATATGATCTAATATTGTTTAAATTGTTGGGTTTGTGAAAAGTTTTGTTTAGTCTTAGAATAGACTTAGTCATGAACGGACAACATCAGTTAGAAAACGGTCAAGTGGGAATGAGCAGTGAAATGACATTTGTTTTCGTTTTAGCTAAGCTTTTAGAACAGTTGTCTGACTTGTACGTAGTTCACAATATCAATTTTTATTAAAGAGAGAAAAATAAAATGGGGATATTATACAACCCATTTGATGTTTCTTTTCATGAAGGATTACTATTAAAATATCTTAATAACATAGTTTAATTTAGGAAGCAAAATTTTCAAGTTGGTTTTGTAAACAAATAAGTTCTGTCTGGATTATAATTGATTAGAATGATTTGATTCTCATCTGTGATGACCCCTTTGTTACTAAACAGAATTTCTGACTGACTATCAGAAGACCAGGATGTTATTCAGTGCTTATTCCTCACTCTTTCTACTTTTCCCTTCCTTCTACTGGAGAGATATGAGAGACAGCCATTCAGACTGGACAGTATGGTTAGTTCAGGGTCTTCTGTTGATTGCTTTCAAATACCTAGAATCATTTCCAAGTATTGGTTATGTAGGGATTTTTGTTTGATTGGTTGGAGTATTCCATCATGAGCTGACATCAGTCGCGCTATGTCATGAATTGGCAGAAGTTAGAATTCATGGGCCATCGGATCAGGTCCCAGTGGCTTGTACCTAGAAGGTTCTGGGTTCGAACCCCAGTGGTGGGTGCCTAGTGCTGAAGAGTCCCAAACTAGGACTGAGGAAACAACTGTCCAGTACTCCCCACAGGTTTTCCAATGGTTCTCTAACCTGTGTCGGCTCATGATGTAATCCTCCATCCAATCATACTTAGAACTAACTAAACACGCACCACAATGATAGGTTATCTAGCTTGGAGACCATATTGCGAAGCTGACTAACAGAATTCAGCGCCCACACTAAAGAACACACTCATGACATTACCTACGCCCTGGTTCAATATCTTTCGACTATGAACGCTTTCGTATTATTGCTTGTGTTTGTCTGAATCATATAATAAGTTATAATTCAGAAAGGCTTTTCAAGTAGCATATTTCTTCAAGTCTAAAACTATAAAGGATATCTGTTTGTTGTTGTGTCTTCAAACCAAACAAGTATGATAACATCTAGAGAACATTTTATGGATTCACTTGACTTTAATGTCCCACCTTTAGGTAGATAGAAGCCAAAATAGGGTAAACTGTCGTAAATGCAAAAACATCAGTGACATTTACTAATGAGAAAAGAATAAACATCAGAAAATATTAGAATGCATCGAAGTATAAGGTATAAACAATTTCATATCAAAACTTTGGAAAGTTTCCATAAAAAGAAATCAGAGCAGTCATATCTTTCACTTTTAAGTGATTGTTATTGTGACTGAAGAATGGTTCTAAAGTAGTGAAAAAGAGTTAATTGATGCATTTGTTCAGTGTAAGGAAATAGTTACAGAAAACTAGCAGATTTGTTTTATTCCTTTACGCTCCCAGTGGAACATAGGGCTTCAGACTAGAGCTGTGAAGTTTCCGGAGCAGTGAGTTTATTTTAAGGGAATAGGGTTGCTAGCCTCACGCCCAACTTTCCCACTTTACCGGTCTTATTACCGACTTAGCAAGGTAAGGGAGTGCGTCGGCCGGGGATCAAACCCCTGACTACATGCGTGGTTGGCGAGCATTCCTACCTCTGTACCACCGACGCACGAACTGGCAGAAACAGGTGTAATTGATAAATAATTCAACATATGGAAGCATTTTTCCATCCTCATCAATTGTAAATTTCCACGATCCATAGACATTCAGATTCCTGAGATTCAAAATCTTTAGGTCATCAATTCAGCTGTTATACATAGATCCACTTTTAGTGGTAAAAATAGTTTGGTTTAAGTTAAAACTCATCCCTAAACTTCTACTTTCATACCAAAAGGGATCACATGTTAAAATGGCTTCGAATGATTATAATCGGTCATATCAAAATCGGCTTTTTAGATGAACACAGTTAACACAGTTCCCCATCACCAAACCACAATAGTTTTAGATCATAAAATTGCAAAACGTAAGTAGGGAAAAGTTGCTTCAAGCATTTAACATAGTTGACTTCCAACGAAGTGAAGTAAGAGAACAGTTACTTGCCTATAACACTGGTAGGCTGTTAGGCTATATATATTTCACGAATTGGCAAAAGTTGGAATTTATGACCCATTGAATTGGCTCCCAGTGGCTAAATGATATACGAGCAAGTCTTATAACAGGAAAGGTCCTGGGTTCAAATCCTGGTGGGTGCGTATTGCTGAATAGTCCCGAAACGTGGTGAAACGGCTGTCCAGTCAGTACTCCCTAGTTTTCCAGTGGTTCTCTAACCTGTAACCAATCAACTCCTTGCAAACCAGCACTTGAAAATTAGATTAGTCAGATTAACAAACAATTCAATTTGCTGTTGAAATCACTTTGCAAAACACTGTTTCCAACCTGATATAAAGAGATTTTCAACTGTTGGTTTGCAAGGATATGATTGATTTCAAGTCATATCACTGAGAGTTCCAAACTAAGGCGAAAAGGCTATCCAGTGTACCCCAGTTTTTTGTGATTCACAAACGTGAAATAAAAGGAAGTGTTAAATATTATGATTTTTTTAAAATTTGTTAATTTAAGAACTGCATTTCATTTCTCTAGCAGAATAACATTGAAACACCTAATCATTTCACAAAAGTACCTTCTTTTCTCCTTGTTTATTCGTCTTCTAATCTTCATTTTCTGAGAATTTTAGTGATAAATGGAAAAAACATCAAAACAACAAGTTCTAACAAGTCTGACACCGTTAATTCTCCCAACCTTCATACAAAAACCGATCTGAATTCTGCCAACACTGAAGACATTGTTGTGAATGAAGGAAAATATGCCAGTCCAAATCCACCATTTCCTACTCAAAGAAAACATTCACAGAAAAAGCATGCCCTAGGTAATAAATAATGTACTGACTACTTCAGAAAATCTGTATTATTTTTGTTTGAAACAGATAACACGACTTATACTACTGATTAATTTTAGTAGTAGGAAATCACTCACAGACATTAATGTTTATCAAACTGTTGTATCAACGCCTTAAAACCGAGTTCATTAACAGTACTCTCTGATTCAGTGATACTAGTGAGCCATACTAGTTCAAATAGCCTAATTATGACTAGATACTTGAAGCTTGAATTGAAATCGTGTGGAACTTTATGAATGGACTATTTCATTCTATGTTCTTATACATGCCTTTAGTAAATTGATTTTTAGATATTCAGAGGGATAGCAAAACAGCCCATAATGTAAATTCGCCTTCAGTGTGGTCAAACCGCCTCGTAATCTGAAGATTGTAGATTCAGTCCCCAATGGAGTCATGAGTTTGTACTTCTGAATGGCCTGAAGTTGCGATGAATCAGCTGCTAGTATCCCCTGATTTTCAGTGGTTCTCTAATTGATGTCGATTTGTGATCTAATTTGAAATCAGTCGAATCTCTGCGAACCAACACTCGAAAATTGAATCCTGTGTGTATAATATGGTGATATTGTAACAACAGAAGACAAGGGCCAGGCAACAGATCGTTTATTTAGGAAAATCAACACATATTTATAGATTTCTTTTATATTTTTTATTTTTGATCACAGCTTGATGCCACACAGTATTTTCAGTACAAGTATGGAATTTTCAGCATGGATATCGGTAGCCCAAATTTTGCAGGCCGACCAGAGATATCGGGTGTGCGTCGGCAGGGGATCGAACCCCGGACCATGTACATGGTCGGCGAGAGTCCTAACCACTGTGCCACCGACGCATTATTATAGATTATTGTAAGCAAACAAACACAGTTTTCTGATTAGTGATTTCTCGCAAACGTTAATCTTTCATCTCTTTTGTGCCGTTTCTTGAAGTTCAGATTATCTATCTGCAAATTATGTCCGCCTACGCAAAGTCTGCTGTGATTGGTTGTTGAGTCAGTCTTTGTTCTTATTTTCCTCATGACCAATATTGGGGACGTAAACATTGACGTAAATTACTGTTTAAGATAAGTTGTTTTGACTTTTGTACCTGACAATACATTTACTGTTCGCTGATATGTCATTTAGATTATCTCTTTCAATCTGATCAAAATAAATACGGCGACAAATACGTAGGATTTACACTCAGTCCTCATGTCGATGTTATTCTAAGTGGTGTATGAACAATCAGAAGTCTTTTTCTTATACTGAACATACTGTACCATATTTTACTCGTCTAAACTTCATTTTCTTTGATGGTTAGCTTTTAACTCTCTTGAGAGCACAATAAATTGACAAGAAGAGTAAGCCCGAATAAACTGCAAACAATGACATGGTCCATACTCCTATCATGAGGGAGTATTTTCACTTCAACAGATATCGCTTCTTTATTGCGTTCCACCTCACATCAATCACTATACCTTTCACATAGATGTGAGTATCTCAGCTGGATCAAAATTATTAATCAAAAAGGCTTTCCAAACACTAACTACAGGTATAACATGACGAATAAGGTGTGAAGTTGTGGCTTTTTGGCAGGCAATTTTCAAGCACTTAACCACGCGTTCTACACTCCATTCTTCATGGTTTAGTTTCAGCAAGTAGGTAATTTGATTTACTGTGACTCAAACAATAGGCCTAACAATCTATTACACAAGTCTGTACCGAGGTCACTGTTATTTTAAGGTGTACCTAAGAGCTTAGTTTTCACATTTTTCGTAAATAATCACTTAATTTGTGTATCTTTTGATTTTAGTGACTATGTTTCTCGTCGGATTAACAATGTACATTAATCGTTAACAACCCCATATGTTCTCCTTTACAGATTTTTCCTTGCTTCTGGATGAGCATCGAAATCCTTCAGCTCCAAGAATACGTATAGTAGATGAATTTATTGGATTAAGCAATTTAAACAAAGTATTTCCGTCAAATCAAAAGAAAAGAATTAAATATAAACAAAGTATTGATAAGGGCAATAACTCAAACGGTAATACACCGTCTCAATCTGATCAACGTGTCGGTTTTACTGCTATACATAAAACTAACTCTAAAAATGATAGGAAATGTAAAGAGAATTCGCAGGTACTGTCAAATACTGAACAAACTACCGACAATAATTTATCTAGTGTTAGACAGAATTCTATTGTCATATCAAACCGTATGCCACAACAACCACCACCATTTCAATCGCTTCAGTTTATTGATTTGTCTCATAATAAGGTATGAAAATATACTGCTTACCTTGTTGATTTATTTTACTCCCTATTTTGTTTTCTATGTTTTTTCGCATTCGATTAGATCTGAATTTTGTGGCTGAAAGTTTCACGACAAATGAAGATGGCAGTTGGCTTAAAACCACTCGTTTCTAGTGACTAAGCTATTTTATCGAAGTAGTTAACCAGAATTTGGATGGTTTCGATTGATTCGACTCTCTGAACTGTGTCACACCGGGTACGCCACTGATGAGTCTGGCCCTAAACGAGCGAAGTGGCTGTCTGCTGTTTAGATCACTTCGACCTGACTGGAGAGCACTACTGGTATCCCACTACTCATATCTGTCAGGCAGTAGTATATGCAGACATACATATATGCCAGCTTTCTTGATTGCCACTTATGATATCAAGCAGTGGAAACTAGGATGAAATTTCAACTTCAACTGTGCTAAGTGTAAATTTGATCCTAAAGTTATCATCAATACTCCAATGGGCATGTCTAATACTTTCTGGTTTACTGAATTGCTCAATTCTACTGGATTTATTTCTGCTATATGGATAATATCTTTTCCCTGGGCAATATTTTAAACCTGAGTTAATCACTTCCAAAAAGGTCAGGAAAACATATTTATTATTGGAATGGGTACTTCTATAAATCTGACTTAACAGAAATTATCGAAGTTTCGATCCAGTTCTGCCTACCAGTCATTTCGCGTTATATAGTGAAATGACTCTTTGATTTTTATCGCCTATAATATCTTCTTAATAATACAAATCGTTACATTCACTGCATATGTCTCTGACACATCCATAGTAAAATGTCGTTTCTTCATTTAAAGATAGTCAGACACTATCAACTCACTATCAGTGACAAAAGTATGCATCAGTTTATGAGTAAATTTCACCATCAGCTTGTCCGAATTTTCAACTCCAATGCGAAGTCAGTGCTACTATACGGATCAGAGACTTGGCGCCGCGTCACGAAGGGCACTTCGAACAAACTACAGACTTTCATCAACAACTGTCTTCGCTCAATACTCAAGATCAGATGGCCGGCCAGAAAAGATCAGCAACAGGGATCTCTGGGAGCAAACCAACCTAGCAGGAACCGAATGTGCAACAAATATGCAGGAAGAAATGGAGGTGGATTGACCATACTCTGAGAAAACCATCAAGTGACATCACACGCCAGGCCATCGCTCGAGTGGAACCCAAACGGGAGGCGGCGAGTTTGTCGTCAGTGCAAGGATGACATGGAGGAGGTCATGTGAAGAGGATATGAAAGCATGTGGGCAGACATGGAGCCAGGTGAAAACTCTAGCAGAGAACCGAAGGCAATGGAGACGTGTGGCTGAAGCCCTATGTTCCTCTAGGAACTGAAGGAAAAACAATAATAATTGTGTGTAAAACTGTATAAGCACTTCAAGTAACCCAGTTTATTTATGAAAGACTTCATCTATTTTATACTTCTTCAGAATTCATCTTTTTCTGGATTTCATAGCCTGAGTAGTACTTCTTCAGACACACTACAGATCATATCACACCATGTATCCCTATCGAACAGAGTATTTAATAGCAGTTAACTGTCTGTCTTAACTTCATCGACTTTGAAAAGGCCTTCGACTGTGCTGACCATGAAGTAATTTGGGAAATACTTCAACACTATGGGGGGGTGCCCTAAATCTTTATCAACGTCATTCAACCACAGCTATATGACAATGACATGTGTCAAGTGATCCACAACGGAAAACTCAGTAAAGCCTTTGAAGTGAAGACACTGCTTGTTATCACCGATGATATTCTTAATTATGATGGACTGGATCATGCAGAAGACTGTGAAGATTGAGAAGGCAGGAATACGTTGGACCTATGAAGAGACTCTATAGGAACTGGATTTCGTGGATGATTTATGTTTAATGTCACGCATACTCGAAGACTCACAGGCAAAAACCAACAAACTGTCTGAAGAAGCAGCGATGAAAGTACTTCAAGTAAACATGGAAAAGATGTAGGCGATGAAGATACCCACCGACTAACAACAAAAAGCACCCGTTGCCATCAAGTAGGGAAATTTGAAGACAGCTGCCTCTTTCACTTGTGGTGAAAGCTGGCTGCTAGCCAAAGTTGGTAGACAGTAATTGACGTCAATGTTTATGTCCCCAATATTGGTGGTGAGAAAATGAGAACAAAGGCTTTGCGTAGGTGGATACAGTTAGCATATAGATGATCTGATACAGCCACAAAAAGATGCAAGGTTAACTTTCTGTGAGAAACAACCAGTCAAAAGACTGTATTTTCTACTAACAATAATGTACAATAATGTACATGAAAATCTATAAATATGTGTTGATTTTCCTTAGTAAAGGATCTGTTGCCTGGCCCTTGTCTTCTGTTGTTATACACTTATCTATGCACTATCGTCTCAACTTCAGGTGGCAGAGATGATGTCCAAATCACTTACAACTGGAAAATCAAGACAGACCTTCGCTAATCTGAAATTAGTGTGGAAATATGCTGTATTCAGTACAGAGAACAAGATTTGGATTTTCTCCACTAATGTCAAGTCAGTCAGTGCTTCTTTGAGGTTAACAGTCTTGGTGAAGGAGTTATCAAAATCATTTTCAACAGACTTTTGTCAGCAGCTGTCTTCGCTTGATACTGAAGATTAGATTGTCAACCAGAAACAAAAATAACAAAGAACTCCGGTAACGAACCAACCAACAGCCCATCGCCCAACAAATATGCAGAAGGAAATGCAGATGAGTCGGATACACGCTGGGGAGACCGCTGAGTGATACCAGAGAGGCCTCCAAGTAGCATAGCTATTGGAAGTAGTGAGTCGGGTGTTCAAGACTGACATCAAAAAGATCATGTTATAGGGGAATGAAAGCGTATGGGCAACCATATCGTCAGCTGAAGATGATTGTTGAGGACTGAGTGAAGTGGAGTTACACTGCTGAAGCCGTATGTTCTTCTCAGAACAAGCAAAATCAAATATACATAATCTTTGTTTGGATAAAGAAACTTAAAATTGCCAAAAATTACAAAATTAAACTGGATACTATTTTTTTCTTAAATATTGAAGTTGTAATTAACTAAATCTGTCTTCATGTGTGTTTTTATTTTTAAACTTTAAGATATCTTGTGAAGAACATCTATTACCGGTTGCTGTATGGCCAAAATTAAAAGAGATTATTATCTATGATAATCCTGTTATCAAGAAAACTTCTAAGTTGCCACCACTTCTTGAACGTTTATTAATAAAACAATTAAATATTAATCTACGTCGTAATCCAATTGATGATCCGAGTTTATTCACATTTAAAGATGAAGGCTTTAATGGAGATTGTGAATTGACGACACAGTTGTCATTAACACATAATCAGAATGTTACCAATACTGAGATTGTTACTGCAACAAATAATGATTCATCTAAATCAACAGCTTTTGAAAATAATTCCAGGAATAAAGGTATACTTCAAAAGAATAGAAGAAGATTACCATTACAATCAAGTGTTAAACCAGTAATTGTTCGGCATAAGTAAGTATAATGCTTTATTTTTTTTTTGTTATTTGAAACTGCTGAATGCTGTATACGCCCTTAAAATTCATTTTAGGGAGACTGGAAGACTAGTAATCATCACGAAGTACACCTTACACCAAACTATGTTCACTTCAGGAATGTATAACTTTCATTATGATTTTTTTTATTATAGCTTGAAACCACACAGTATTTTTGGTACAAGTATGGGATTTTCAGCCTATGATATCGGTGGCCCAAATTTTGTAGGCCGACCACAGATATCAGGTTTGCTTTGGCAGGCGATCGAACCCCGGATCATGTGCATGGTGGGCGAGAGTCCTAACCGCTGTGCTACCGACGCACATTGAAGTTGAAACATAACAAATAATGTAACGAGAATACAAACAGTGAGACATTGTAACAAAAGTCACAACATCTAAACTGATTTTTAATATTCTTTGATACATAGGCATAAGATGTACTGAAGTGGTGAGTACCAGTCATAACAGTAATAATGAGAGCTTTATATAGTGTACAGAATTTTTAGCAAAGTTTGTTGCATGATATTTCCTCTTCCTTTCAAGATCTTGAAATGAAATATTAGTTCGCAGGAGATCGCATGACAAAATGCTGCAGGACTTGAAGCTCAAACCTATCCATTATAGTATTTCTTCTTTGCCTCTCTCCTTCGAGAAATCCACAACATTTGGTTGAAAGCCAGCTATAAAAGGTCCAGAGGAACGCTTTCGATTTCCAAAGATATAAATCAACAACAGTCATCTTATAAACTGTTGTAACGACAGAAGAAAAGGGTCAGGCAACAGATCGTTGATTGAGAAAATTAGGAGATATTTATAGATTTTTATGCACATTATTATTCGTTATTGTTAGCAGAGAAGCAAGGTCTTCTGATTGGTTGTTTTCTTGCTGAAGGTTATTCTGTCATCTCTTTGTTGCCGTTTCCTAGACAGTCAGCACATATATCTGCGAATCGTATTTGCACACGCTTAGTCTGCTGTGACTGGTTGGTGAGTCCCTCAAGGTTAAGCATAGTTATTGCTTTTTTTCTCATGACCCCGATTCTGAACGTAAACATTAACGTAAATTGTAGTCTACAACTTTCGCTAGCAGACAGCTTTCACTGCACTGTGATATGTTGTCACGTAGGATTATGTTTTTTCTCAAGTTTGGTAGAAACTTGAGGATTGGCTGACAGTAGACATTTAAAATACTCGCGAGATTAGAAAACACTTATTAGAGGTCATATTTTAATATATTAAAACAAACTGAACCAGGGAAATCACATGCAGTGTGATGATGGAATATTTTGGGAGACCAGATTTTAAACAGGCCACCGATGAGTAATACTTGTTGCATCGAAAATAGATGCTCACATGGAATTTCACTGATTATGATCCTTAACACGACAACAAAACATTTTTCGGTAGATAAGGAGTTCATATGAATATCATAAACAAATCTTTTGATCTATGCACATTTAGAACATATATGATATAAGCGGTCAATCAATTTCCTGCGGTACCGTGTTTCGAATTATTTCATACTGCAAATAAAAATACTGTTTGTAATCTTGAAAGGTGTACAAAGACTAACAATTTCATCTAACTACCTTTTATCTAAGTTAGTGGTCTTTTATGCTCAATGACAGTTAAATAGCTACGATTCTTACGAGTTTGACTAAGGATTGATATCAGTTAGGGAACGATTGAAAACCAGTTGGGAGGACTGGACAGCTGTTTCATCCTAGTTTGGGAATCATCGGCAGTACACACCCACTGAAGTTTGAACCCAGGACCTTCCGGTTACAAGGCAAGCTGGCTCGTATACCATTCAGCCACTGGGACCCGATTCAGTGGCAAGCCCATGAATTCTAACTTCTACCAATTCGTAATTTAGCACGACCACCAAACAAGGTGCTGGGTTCGAACTCCAGTGATGGGTGCGTACCTCAGATAAGTCCCAAACTAGGATGAAACAGCTGTCCAGTCCTCCCAGCTGGTTTTCAATCGTTCTCTAACTGATATCAATCCGTAGTCAAACTCAAAAAAAAACAAATCTAATCCTTACAAGCTAACTCTTGAAAACTACAATTTTGACAGATTTCATGTTTAATGTGATCTATTCATCACAGGATCATTTAAAGCCTAATATACTGAACACGAATATTTTCAGAGGATGAAATAGGTTCATTTTTGAATATCTTATTTTACGTACCATTTTGGAGATCAAATTTGAAAGATAACTTAGGGGTATAATTTGTTTCATAAATTGTTTACTAATACCCACGAAAATTGAGTAATTTATCTTATTCGAAGTCGGAAAGTTGATAATATCTTTTGAAGCGTAGTTTATCATAATATTTAAAGAATAACGCATAAAACAAGAGTGCTTTAAGAGAATATAAAAAAGAAATAGCTCGATTACTCAAAACTTAGAAATCAAGGAATTGACTGAAGATGCTGTCTTCGTTAATGGCCCTAAGCTAAAATAAGCAAAATATTTTTAGCTATACGTATTTCGTTATTCAGTATGAAGATGTCAACAACTTTCTTTCACTCCTTGTGTTCCAAGTGGAACATAAGTCTTCAAGCTCCAAAATTTAAGTAGTGGTGATGCTTCTACGAACGAGAAGGTTCTAGTCTCACACCAAACCTTCCCTCTTTGCAGAGCTTACTACCACCTAGTAAACTAGTTTATTAGTGCATCGTTCAGGAATCGAACGCGGACTGCTGGTGAGCTTACAGAGCATGCTACCAATTGGTTCACACATATTTCAAGAGGGCCAGGACTCATTGCAGCACTGCTACCTTAAAGAAAATTGAATAATAATATCCCATGGACGTCTTCTACAAGATGGATATCCACGGAATTTCATCAAAAGACATATACCACAAAGCCAACCTATCAAATCAAAGGCCCCCAAGGAAAGCATATAGAAAATCGCCCCACCATGTATAAAGGATATCTCAGAAATCAATGCAACACTCTTCAAACCTTTAGGAATTTATGTTGCACACAAACCAACAAAATCACTTCACTCAGCTATATGTCAACCAAAAGACTTAACAACGAAAGAAGATAAAATTAATATCTGGGAGTACTGGACAGCTGTTTCGTCCTAGTTTGGGACTCTTCAGCAGTACGCACCCACCGGGATTCGAACCCAGGACCTTCTGGTTACAAGGCGAGCTCGTAGACCATTGAGCCACTGGGACCCGATCCAATTGTCCAGTGGGTGCGTACTGCTGAAGAATCCCAAACTAGGACGAAACAGCTGTCCAGTACTCCCAGGTTTTCCAGTGGTTCTCTAACTGATGTCAGCTTATGATGAAATCCTCCATACAATCAAACAAAATCCCTACCAAACCAATACTTGAAAATTAATATCATCTACAAAATAGAGTGTAACAACTGCGAAAAACACTACACTGGCCAAAGTGGACGTCCTCTTCGTCTTCGTATCCATGAACATAAACTAGCCATCAAAAGACATGACATCCACTCCCTCATACCAATGCATACAGAAAACCACGGATATCAATTCGACTCGGACAACGTTCAAATATTAGACAGAGGAAACACCAAGAATGCTAGAGAATTTTTAGAAGCCTGGTATTTCAGTGAATCGTCAATCAGTAGACACATCAACATGGACAAAATTTATCAATCCACAAGAAGGAAATATCCCACACACAAAGGGTCGAAGTTCAAGTCAGGGAAGCAATCAACACCAATACCAATTACAAGTAGCCTAGAAGGTGTGAGAACACACAAAATCAACCAATCACGTTCAAGGTCACCGACCAGGAGAGTTGACTAATAAACTCGTGGAGAAATCTGAAAGCTCACTTCAACAAATTGAAGTATGCGCTGAAGATGTCACCTAGTAAATCAATGAAAGCTTCGCAAATTAGCTACCCACCTCACAGAACACAACCACATCAAAATCATTCACCTGAGCTACAAATCTTCTCCATCACATCCACATAGATATATGATACGGTGAGGTAATTCACCAAGGTAATTGAAACAACACTTAGTGAGTGAATGTGACAATACAGAAAGACTATCAAAGTCAAAAGAACGGTTTGTATGATGAAAGCGGAATATGAATAAACAATAAGCGGTTTTATCAAACAATGCAGCTGCTAATATTAGTGGTAAAAAATAATAATAACACCTTTATTCTGGATAGTATTTATAAAAAGTACAGAATTTTCAGAGGAGTCTGTTGCATTATATATTTTCCCTTCGTACATTATCTTCAAGTAAAATATTAACTGACAGTATATCCTGTGACCCAATACTCTCTGAGCTGAAGCACAAACCATTCCATTATGATAAATTTGCTTTGTCTCCTTTTATTTTTTTTATTACAGCTTGATTCCACACCGTATTTTCAGTACAAGTATGGAATTTTCAGCATGGATATCGGTAGCCCAAATTTACAGGCCGACCATAGATATGGGGTGTGCGCCGGCAGGGGATCGAACCCCAGACCATGTGCATGGTCGGCGAGAGTCCTAACCACTGTGCCACCGACGCACTGCCACCTCCTTAAAGACACTCTCGATATCGATCTAGTTGAAAGCCAACTGTAAGATGTTCAGAAGTACATTTTGAAACCCAAGGACATAACTGAAGAACAGTTATCTCATGTACTGGAACACGTTGCCACCCACAATCAGGCCATTCCTCAAGTTTAGTAATAACGTGCGATTCAGGAGCTTGTAAACATTTTAAATACACACAAAAGTAGATAATACCAGTAGAGGTCATATCTTAGTCGATTAAAACAAACCGAACGAGAGAAAATATGGGCAATAGAGAAATGGAAGTTTTTTGGTAGCCGACGTTTTAATCAGGCCACCGTGCGACTGAGCATAAGAAATTAAAGCCAATTAGATGACTAAAACAATAATAAAAAGAATATAACCTGTAATCCGGATACGAAATGGGTGAAATGGTTGTTTTTGCACTGTTTATGCTTCGAATACCTTAATGATTTTAGATAAAAACACAAAGTTAACAACAGTTTGTTGATAGAATCTTTTGTAGCAAAAATATTCATTCAGACATCTATAAAACACAGAATAATTGAGCAAAGAATATTCTTTTCGATAAATTTCCGGACATCATCCTGCGTGGTTAAGCAAAGGACAAACTAAATCTATTCGCAGCGCTATTCTATCTCATCTTGTGGATACAGAACACAAGATTGACGTTAACCATGCTTTCAGGGTCATTTACCGCATACCTACGAATCTCAATTTTGCCTTAAGAGTTCGACTACTAAATATTGCTGAGGCTGTGGGGATCCATATTAATAAGCCTAATTTATGCACCCAAAAGAAGTTAGTTCAGTCATTATCATTACCTTGGCCATCCAGGTTTGAATGATCCTGGATTTTTGTGAAATTTCCCTAATTTTAGTTGATATTCTATTCGCTACTATATCTTTATTATAGTTATAATTTAAGCATCTTTAATGAACTGCAATAGCATTGATCATACTTTACAAATCGATATTATTTAAAAAACACTAATATTGTTATTAACTACTAATTTAAAATATTCTGTGTATATAAACATATATATAATTGTAGAGCCTGGAAGAGGAATTTATCGAAAAGAATATTCTTTGCTCGATTATTTTGTGTTTTATAGAATTTTTTTGTGTATATTTATTTTTGTTTAAGATTTTACGAGTGCTATTTAGCAGCAGCCTGCAAAAAGTGATGAGTAAAGCTTTTCAGTATTGAAAATGACTGGGAACTCTCTGAAATAAGATATATACGTGTCACTTGAATATCATATTATGTACTATAATGACACAAGTGCAACCAAAATCAATAATATTATGTTAATAGCTTCTACATACAAGGCATCATCGATTAATGATTGTTTACAGAGTAAGGGATATCAATTCAGTGAATGTATGAATAGGAGATAATATGATTCTAGATAGTAATATCTCATTATTTTGTAATCTGAATGCTCTGTACATATAGAGTAGACTCTGATCAAGTATTCACGTATAAGGAAGTTTATGGGTTACTGGTCATTTCTATTTTGTTTCTAATGTCTAACATCCTTTCATATTCTACTAAGCACCTAAAACTATCACACCAATTATAAAATGTGCAACAGAATCTTAAATATTGGACTCTATCTTTCCATTTAAATCTCTATAGATTAGACCGTTCAAGTTTAAATGAAGGTCCGAAAGTTATTAAATTCAATGTTGACAAAGCATTGAATGAATTGAGAACAGCCAATCAGAAAGCTGCACTCAATCAACCTAATCCAGTATCAAATAGATCATCACATTCGTCAAACTTATCATCGTCATCATCATCATCATCGAGGCATACAACAACAGACAAGGCTTTACTTCCTGATATTCCGCATAAAATCCCTCAATCATTACAATTACCTCCAATTAAAAATTCAACACTGTCTGTAAAGAGTAATTCTCAAGAGAAAATCAATTTGAGCGAGATCATTTCATCAGATTTACAATGGGAAGAAGCAGATGAAGAAAATTTCAACACATTTTTTACTACTCAGGTAATTATTGAGTATTGAGTATTCAAGTAGATTTTTAATACCAATTTTATCAGTACAAACTATTCATCAATTGTCTTGTCAGATCACTTTAGCCGGAGTGAATACTGTTAGAGTTTATAGTTGGGCGGATAAATGTCACTACACCCTAATTAGAATGCAGTATTACTGGGTTAGGGGTTCATCTAATTCGACGAGAATAGGCTTCCAGAACATGACGCCATAAACGACTGATCATTTGTGAATATCTCCCACACTGAGATGAACACAAAAATTAGACTGAGAAAAACGATAACTAGAAGGACAATACGTCAACAACAACAACAACCGTAGCGACACCTTCATTAGACAAAATACATGGTATATGATATTTACAAAACCTCAGAAATTTGGGCCATAAATTAACAAACCTGATTGGTTGTCTGATGCTAGAAAATAAGGCCATGAATAAACTAATCAAAACTGTCCATTAAAGTTATCATTTCAGTACATGCCTAAATAATGACTTCAAAGCTAACAAAGAAGCCTGTCTGTTCTGATGAACTTTAAATATGTGAACTAGAACTTTTCAGTTAATGGCCACTAGATTACCCTTAATGGTGATAGAATGATAAATCTCAGCTGTTGTTACGTGATACAACGGCTGTTTTCATTTCTTTTGAGGTGAAAATGGAACATTTGGCTTCAAGCTTTCGAGTTCCAGTAGCGGTGATGTTTTTACTTTTACTGAGTTGGGTTACGAATCTCAAGTCTAACCTTCCCTCTTTTGTAACTTTACTGTTCGCTAAAGAGCTAGGTGAGGTTTAGGAATGCATCGCCCTTGCATGGGCGGCGAACATGCCACCAGTGAACCACCAAGGGACCATACAACGACTTATCATATTTTTATGTATAAGACTGAATGTTAAATCCGATTAATTAATTATTTTGGCTATTACGGCTGAAGTGACTGACCTTTGATCTGCCTTACAACTGGAAATTTGACTGTCAGATTTTTGACGTAATAAGATTCAATATTGATCACGGATTGATATCGGTTAGAGAACCGCTGAAAACCAGGAAGTATTGGACATCTGCTTCGCCCTACTTTTCAGCTCTTCACCGGTACGCACCCATCACTCCATTGGGGACAGAATCTAGGACCTCTAGGTTACATTGCGAAATCGTTGACTGCAGAACGAAGTTGCTTGGAGCCTTATTGAGAAGTCGTGACCAGTGAAGTTCACCGGGTCGGGAGTGAGGAAAAATACTCCCCAAAGACATTTGCTGGAGGTTGTGCTAAAATAGTGGATCGATAAAAGTTAGAGTTTATCGGCAATTAAATTCCGTTCCAGCGGCTGAATGGTCAAAACGTTCGCCCTGTAACCTGAAGGTCCCGGGTGCAATCTCTGATGGGGTGGTTGGTGCGTACTAGTGAAGAGTCCCAAACTAGGACGAAACGGCTACCCAGTACTCCCTGGTTTTCAGTCGGTCTATAACGTAACATGAAAGCAACCGAATTTCTTCTAACTAACACTTGGGAAGTAGGTAGATTCAGTTTCATTATAGTATGTTACTCAACAGGCCTTGTTCATTTGATTGAATTTGCCAACCAAGTACTGTCAGAAATACTTTACATTTAAAAAAAGGGTTTCCCAGGCAGCCTTTTGAGTCTTTAATAGACAAACTTATCTTGTGGTCTGATACATCACGTACACATTGTTTCGCTGTCTGTCCTCTTCAGGGTAATTCAAATGAATGTGTGTGTATTACACTCCATCATGTTGTTTAAATTTGCACAACAAAAATGGAGATGGATTGGACATGCACTGAGGAGATCGTAGAGTGACATCGCGCGTCAAGCTCTGCAGTGAAACCTGAATGGGAAACGACGAGTAGGGTGTCCGAGGTTAACATGAAGGAAATGAGAAACTATGGGCAATTGTGACGGCGGCTAAAGAGAACCGTTGAGAATAGGAAAAAGTGAAGATATGCTACTGGAACCCAATGTTCCACTCGTAACCCAAGGGAACAATAGAAGATGTTTACATTAAGACTTGAATACTGAAATTATTTGTACACTTAAGGTCCAGTTCAGTTTTACTATTATTTCTGTCATTTTACTCCCTCGAGTTCCAAGTAGGACATAGGACTTTTAGTAAAGGTTTTTTGTGTTTCTCAATGAATGAAAAACAAAAGGAAAACGCATTCCGATCAAATAAACCTCAACAGTTGTCATTCCATGTAGAGCAGAGACGTCAGACGATATCAGAAGAGTAATCAACAAGCTCGACATCAGAGTTTTCTTCAAAACATCAGACTCACTACGAATCAACCTTGTCCATATAAAAGACCAAATCCCTATAGATTCTCAACCCAACGGTGTCTATAAAATAAAGTGTTTTCAATATGATGCGATCGATATACATCGGACAAACATCTCGAGAAATCAAAATCAGAAGAAATGAACACCGTATAGCATCTGTTCGACCACCGAGAAATTCAGTTGAACTAGAAAAGATTGAAAAATCATCACCCATAGGTCTACACGCCATAGAATCAGGCCACAAAATTGATTTTGACAATAGTGAAATCATCATCCAGAAAAATTCCAGAAATCACAAAGAACTTCTAATATCATCAGAAGCACTTCATATCAAGTGGAATCCAAATTGTTTTAATAGGAATGATGGATTAAAACAGAATTTGACCTGGTTACAACACCCCCTCCCCCATGAAGTGACAAAATCAACACGAATGTGATAAGAAATTTCATTATGTAAACACACACTGTTTTTATAATTTTACACACTTATCAAATCCGACAATCTACATCAGGTTTTAATTGAATTTTAGATCAATATGACCCGTTGCACAAGAGGTGGCTCTCGTGGCCCAAGTGGTTTAGTGGATAACGCTTTGGCGTTTGAAACTATGGGCACTGGGTTCGAGCCTCAGTGGAAACATCATCACTCACTGAGAAATGCAGATGCGTCCAGATGACGAGTCCCAAATAGGACGAAATGCGCATCCTGGATTCCACTGCTGGTCACCATCCACCAATTAAATACATCTGGTTTTGTTATCTTTACCAACTGGCCAATTTGACAACGAAAAATGACCCCATGCTGAAGAACGATGATTAAGTTGTTATGTGTAAGCTGGGATTGTGTAAATTCTGTTTTAATAATACTTTGATAAAGCTATTAGCAGCATTAAATGGCGAAACGCCAATAAAACCAACAATATCGTTTTGTTTTTCATTCATTGGGAAATACAAGAAAACCTTTATCATAATGAATATCATATACCTAATGCCCAAATTCTTTCAAACTGTTAAAAGTGAACTTGGTTTGGAAATATATATAAGACTTTTAGCTTTGAAGTTGCAGTACCAGTATGGTTTTCTTCCTTTTTCATGGAATATGTCACTCTGAAAGAAACTCTTTTCATTTTTGTTTAATTTCCAATACAAGAGACTCCTATTTTTAGTGTCTTATTACGTGAAATAATATCTGGGATAGTTATCGGAATTCATATTCGATATTACAAATTGACTAGGCTCACTTTTATTCTTGATCATAAAACAGACAAGAACGAGATGCTGATGAAATTTAGTAATGTACAACTACCACCCACTTTCACTTGCAAAGAAAAACACAGTGGTAAATTAAGTTGTCTTGATATTCGATTGAGCAGAAGAGTACATGATTTACCCAAGAGAAATGTATACAGAGAGATTGCCTTTCTTCAACTCCCCAACCTCACGCTACAGAATCAATTCGGTCAGATGGCTAACAAATACGGCCCAGAAGGATATGTGCCTATAATTCCTTGGAAAACGAATCCATGATCAGTTAATCAAAATTGGTTACTCAAATAGATTTATAAGACACGTGAATAATATGTGTGACAAAGCAAAACCAACCACGGTTAAGAAGAGACGTAATCAGTGAAGGTCTGCACTAGAGACTGTCGAGAGCCATTCAAAAGACTTATACTGCTGCCAATCTTTTTCTGTCATCTATCCGCTGACCAGTTATCATTACTCAAGTGAAAGATAACCTACCTGGTTGTGCCACTTCTCTGTGTACCGACAAATTTAGCTGCTCTTGTGGAAGAAGCTAGATAGGGTGAACAAGCAATCAGCCTAACAAACGCACTTCTGAATACCTTCGTTCATGGTTTGGGAAAAGTCAAACAAAATTTATTTAGAAGCTCGATTTTGTTGACATTATTGTCATTAGCATTACTACTACTTTTTTGATTGGACACCAGTAGCTAGTGTGATGTGTGTAGTCCTTTCTTTGGTGCAAACTGAATTCTATCAGTCAGGTTTGTAATCTGGCCACCATTCTAGGTAGCTCGCCATCACAGTGCACATTGATTTGATGATATTAGATGGTTGGAGGCATTCAGCAGGAAGCCTTGCTTGACCTAGGTTTCGTGCTTGTTGGCACTCATCAGCAAGGCTGACTGATAGATTTCAGTCTGCACCAAAGAAAGGACTAGACACATCACACTAGCTACTAGTGTCCAATCAAAATATCCACTACAGTCTTACAGGAGGTCTATCGCGAGCCCGAATAGCTCAGTGGTAACGTCTCTGACTGCAGTACTGGATGACACGGGTTCGAATCTCAGAAAAGACATGAGTTCCTTCAAGGTTGCAGATACGCCTTGCTGATGAGTGCCAACTAGCACGAAACCTAGGTCCAAGGCTTCCTGCCGATTGCCTCCAACCATCCAATATTACTGCTACTATTATAACTGTTTTTATTACTGCCATATTTACAACGTTTGACACTCGTATATATGGAAACAATATGTACTACTATTTGATCGATATTAATAGCTGGGTACCACTCACATTGGGCAGTAGTGCTCGCCTGTCAGATTGAAGTGACGCAAATTCCAGAGGACTGTTTCTGCCGATTAGGACCAAGTTGGTCAACAGTGTACTCGGTTTCAACTCACCTCAAAGAGCTGCATATGCTTAAATCACCAGATTTCTAGCTAGCCACTCAGGTGAACAGTTATTACATGGAATTAAATTCATTATTTGTGAATTATAAAGTCTGTTCTAAGTTTTGAAGAATTTGACTCTACTGTTAGATTTTTTCCGCATCAATAACACTATTTGTATTAAATCTTTCCTTAGGTTTATGAATAACGTTCATTATAATGATAATAAATAGTTCTCTAAAATGCTGAAACACTTTCTTCACTATATTACTCAGTTCTGTCAGTCAAATAGTAACAACACGAGCATTTCTTCTGAGTTACCGTTTAATATTATTCAAATTTTAATATTCGCTAACGTTATCGATTTAATTCCCCTTGTTTTAATATTTTAGTTATCATCTTTGGAGGCAAATACAAAACAAACTTCTAAACATAGTTCATATCGATCTGACTATGATGATGAATTAAATCCAGTTTATCAACAGAACTGTGAAGATTCACTACTGTCTGTAAATGAAACAGCTATAGTACAGTTAACAGAAAAAGACACTGCGCAAGAACAACAACAAAAGTTAATTGAATATTCTCTGAGTCCTGGACCTTTATTACCTGATTTAGAATGGCTTGTCGATGAAGATAATCTACCCGATAGTATGTTTTTGTTAAATTTTTGAGTTTTCAATAAAATTTACAATATTTTTGAGACAGATAATTTTTATTACAAATAAGAATTACTGAACATCCTAGAGAAATTCGTCAGCTTTAGGGTTCCTGGGTAGTAATGCGTAACGCTAATTATTCAGTCCACAAAAATTTATATTCAGGAGCTCAAGGTTTCAAAGCCCTGAGCCTTGTTCCTGAAATCCTGTACTATAAAAGCAAACTGCTTTTGGAGTGACTGATCATCAAGATTTAAAAAATATTCAAAAGATGTAACTGAAAAAGTCCTGATTTCCTTTTTATTTGTTTTGTTGAGAAACACAGATTTAATCATTTCTTGTAATGGCTATATCTCTTGATTAAAGCTGTCACTTATTTGCACAGATAAGGTGCTTTTTATACCGATCATTAAGAGGTACTTGAGAAAAAGCTGTAACTGGCCTGTACTCCTACTTTGCGGCAGATATAACATGATACCTTGGAAAATCCTTTGTTATAGATTGACCTCACCTAACCATCCAACACCAAATGAAATGAAACCATAACTCCAATCATCTTAGCTAAGTGACTACAGTGTGAATTCTGTTCACATGGAAAGCTGAAAAATAATATCATGACCATATGGAAGTTCCGGTGCAGATCCTTTCTCAGTTCTTAATCTGTAGTTTAGTGGTTACTGAACATACTTCTATAGGTAATAGCTAGTGGCAAAATCTTCCAGTTGTCAATCCCCTCTTCACTAGGAGATCATTGATCCTAAGATCTTAAGGTATTGAATAAAGAGCTAGAAATGATGTTTTCCTTCCCTTAGAGAAAGAAATGAATATTAGAGTTTCTATTCAGTGAGTAATGTCACAACACAAAATGAAATTGTACAATATACTGACTATTTCACATATTACTCATAATTTACATTAGAATCGCGTATTTATTCTTAACGTATGACTGTTTCACAAAGTCAGACTCTCATTCTAAAGCAGTTCTAAGGCTATCTATAATATATGACACAGTGCTGTTGGAATATTTAGTTCTCAGAAGAAACCATAAACAACTTTTTCACATGCTTCTCTTCAAATTTTACCATTTTTTCTATCGATTGTTTTATTTTGAGGAGACCTAGTTCAATACTGAAAGGTAGTCAGGAGAGAACAGGTTAAAAGTCATAAGAAATGTTGGTGTCCTCTACTGGTTAGTTCTTCCACGTAGGGGAATTCACAATGCCCAACTATAGCCATCTGGTTGGCATGGCTTTTGTCTTTATTTCCTTACATTTCAAATGGAACATAGGGCTTCAGGTTTTGAAGTTGCAATGGCGATGGTGTTATTTCTTCAAAGTACGGTTGATAGCCATCCACTCAACAATCTCCACTTTTCGGGCTTGCCACAGGCTATTAGACTTAATGACTTTCAGGAGTGCATTGACCGGAAATTGAATCCAGACCTCCAGCGTGGTTAGTAAGCATTCTACCGTTCACCCACTGTTACCCTTGGTAAGGCTTACAGACAATAGAATATTATCATCTGTCTTAATTACGTGCTCACTTTAGTGACCAGCAACAGAAATCTCTGGGAGCGAACCAACCAGGAACCGAGTGTGCAACAAATAAGCAGGAAGAAATGGAAATGGACTGGCCATACTCTGATAAAACCATCAAGTGACATCACACACCAGGTCATCGCTCGAGTGGAACCCGAACGGGAAGCGGCGAGTTGGTCGTCAGTGCAAGGGTGACTTGGAGGAGGTCATGTGAAGAGGAGATGAAAGCATGTTGGCAGACGTGGAGCCAGGTGAAAACGTTGGCAGAGAACCGAACGCAATGGAGACGTGAGGCTGAAGCCCTATGTTCCTCTAGGAATTAAAGGAAACAATAATAATTTAGTGACCTTTACTCATAATACAGATCATTTTTAATGTTTTGGATAAATCGTTATAATAGAGAAGCAACCTTAACTTCTAAAACTCTAGATATCTTTCACTTTATGACGTGAAATGGAAACGAAACTGCTTATACGAGTAATTCGTGAAATATTTATCATTTATAGTACAGTGTAACTGTAATGCATGAAACTCTATCTGTGACTAATATTCATGAGCTGAGAACATCTTGTTATTCATCCTCTTGACTGCATAAATTGCAGATAAAATATGTAAGTGAAAAAAGAGAAATACAGTGAGACGGTAATTTGTCTACTTCATACTTTTTCACATCTGTCTGTAACGAAACAGAGTGGAGAATCACACCACTGTAGAAGACGATTTTGAAAAGGTTAAGTGTGAAAACTCAGCGACTTTACAAATGCATTTTGCTTCAGTAAGTGAGAAGTCCACCATAATAATGTCGAAATAAATCAGGATAAATATTCCCACCTATCCATGTCAAATAATGCTTTGCTCTAATGATTAACCTGAATAACAGACCACTTATTAGCTAACACTTACCTGATCAGCTATTGCTACTGACTAATGTGAGTGATTTTTATGCATTCCTATTAAAGGTTTATATATCCTTTAATTCAATTTTAGATTTTCCCGTCGATTGATTGGACCGAAGTGCTTAGTCTCAGGTTGACATATCGGCTTCTTGTTCAGATGCTTCGACGATGTCTGGGCATGTAATTAGAAGTTAACTGGTGGATGGTGACTAGCAGTGGTATCCACGTGACGAGTCCCAAATAGAACGAAATGCGCATCCTGAATTCCACTGCTAGTCACCATCCACCAATTAACTTCTAGTTTATATATCCTGTTTTAATTTCAGTTTTAATTTTACTTTTTGTTTTGCTTTTCTTTCAAAAGGTATGCAAGCATGTTTAAGAGAACTAAGATACCTTCTTCAACATAAACCAACTGTTCATTTAACCTCTGATAGAAGTGTTAATCATCAATCATCCTTATTAATGTTACCTGAAAATGAACAAACTATACAACACTCGACAGAACTGATATCATCACCAGTTGTAGTAGAAAAAGAAATTAATAAATCTGAAAATTCCTCTGAACCAAATTCATCTGCCTCTACGACATCATCAAAACAAATATCCCCAACATCAATGGAATTGGTTCCAGTTAGTAAAACTTCTGAGATTCTACCGTCTAAAGTTAATTTCAATCAGTTAACAAAGAAATATACTAACTTTATTGAAATACCACTACCTAAAGTATGCGTTAGTTACTTTTTTAGATTTTCATACAAAATGCGCAGTTTATGTCTGATTCGTAGCATTTTTATTTCATTTGTAAATTCTTCAGTCATAGAAATAAGACTAACTTTAGCCACTTCATTACTAGTTGATATATTTAATTTACGAATTTAGTTATACGTGTTTATCGGGATGTTAAGAACCAATACCTGGAGGAGTCTGTTGGTAATATGGCTCAAAATCTCTATCAGTGGCGCAGATGAATTCACTCTTTGTAATCTCTCATGTTATTTCATGTTACCACTCTTTCTCCTACGTATCTCTTCTTGTTTTAGACCTTTTGAATCTCTTTTTCTCTCTTTTCTCAATCTTTGTGCACTACATAGAGTGTGGCAACCTAAACTGGTGCACTTCTGTGCAAAGTTCTATGTTGAAACACAGTCAGTGAAGTATTAGTTTAAGCAATTAGACTCAATGTTTTTTTTAAACTCACTAGCTCACTAGCGACTGGCCCTATTCAGGCAGTTACCTGCGGTTCTAGTGGGAAGCCGTGACCAGTAGGGTGCAGCAGGTTGAAGGTGAGGCAGCAATTCATCAGAGAAGAGATTGCGAAGTGGTTGTGCTATGTCATGAATTAATAGAAGTTAGAATTCATGGGCTGGCCATTGGATCGGGTCCCAGTGCCTTAATGGTCTACGAACACGCTCGCCTTGTACCCAGAAGGTCGTGGGTTCGTACCCTGCCGGTGGGTACGTACTGCTCAAGAGTCCCAAACTAGGCTGGCAAAATAGCTGTCCAGTACTACACTGCTGGTTTTCCAATGGTTTTCTAACTGAAGTCAGCTCATGATGAAACCCCCCTACCAATCAAACAAAAATCCTCACAAAATCAGTACTTCACACTGATACCATTAAGAAAATTACAGAATCCAAGATTTTCGACAGATTGAATGTAGGACCTGATTCAGGATCTGTTACAGGACCATAATATCACACTGGTCGACACACTATTACTCAGCTATTAGACGGCAGTTTCCTCATATCATGAAGTGACAGATCTCAGCGAAAGAGATGAGTCACGGAATTCGCACCTAGCCAGTGAATACTGAAGTGTTTTCAGTGAGATCTGATAGCTCTAAACTTTGTCACAACCGGGGTCATAAGTTTATCTAATGTTCAGTGCTGTATGTTTTCCAGTATTTATATTGATGAAAGCTTCTTTGAAATAAATAATTACCCTAAGAACCTAACAAATATAGTTTGTTTTGAAAAGGCTAGTACAGCTGACATCTCAGTGTGTATACTTTGTTCATGTTACTATTGTGTTAAATTTGTCTACGATTGTTAGTTTCTTAAAGCATCAATCGCATCATTTGTTTATTTGTGTACCATGAGTTAACTGTCTTGTCAAAGTCAGTTAAATGAATGAACAATATGGAAATGTTATATTTCAAAGTGTCTTATTCATAAAGCTTAATAGTGTGAATTTAGCTTAGTTTTCTGTACGAGGGATAAAAACACCGATTGTGTGTTTGTGTTCTTGCGTTTCTTTGAAAGTCGAATGTTAGTCATCAATAAAAAAAATGAATAACAACAGCTTAATATACAACCTTTGTAAGTTACACTCACCTCGATTATTGTCAGTCGTTATCACTTGTAAAAATAGATTTTAGATAATAAGAAAAGAAACTGGGGACTGTAATAGAGCTCGTAGAGCATGGCTGAATGGTCTAGGAGTTCGCCTCGTAATCTGAAGATCCTGGGTCCGAACCCCGATGGGTGCGTACAGGTGAAGAGTCTCGAAATAGTAAACATGTGACGTGAGAGAAAGTTGGAAATTATTTTGAATAGAGAGTAAATATTTTATGAAACCGCTCATAGGTAAATGGGTTTAGTTGACCTGCTATCCCCAGGGACTTGGCTGATCAGAATGATTAGTGCTTGGGCATAATGGCCGCCTTCCAGTATCTGTCCACTTGCAGGCGCCTGCCCATTGGTAGGTATGCGTGGTATGCTTATCATGGGCTACACGCTTTGAATAGTGTATGAATCTACTTTTCAGTGCACTTTCTCAGAGTACTCAATACGACCGGCACTACTGCCTCTCTGTTTCATTCAGTTTTGACTAAGGTTGGGCTTGGTTCGATTGACAAGTGACCCACTAGTTCACTTTATGAGCTATAAGTGTTACTAGCCGGCTATAATGGATCTTTACGTGTATTGGAGACAGTGGCTATGCATACGTGCTCAGTCCTTCTGGTGTGGCTGAGTCTTGTCAACTTTTTGCTAGTTTCGGCTGGTAATTTGATGGCTTGACTATGTTCAGTTGGCATTAATGTTTGGGCCAATAGTATGCGGTATTTTGGAAGACTATCCACCTGACCTGTCTTGAAACACAGACCAAGGAGAGTGAGTGTTACAAAGCCCAAAAGCATAGTGAAGGTAAAGGTCTGGCTTATCCGGACTAAAGTGATATCCTGTTGTTTCACTAATGAATTCCAAGATCCAAGCAGCAGGTGCATCACTGTCCCATTCGATGGCGTAAACATGAGCTATGTGCACCTTTGAGCAGGAACAAGGGCGTACAATTAATGAATAGAACTGTATCATTGTGTGCTTTTACCAGATAAATTTATTCTATGTTAGAACTTCGATTAGTTCTGAAATAATTTTTAATGGATTTTCATAATTTAAGGTTAAATACCTCTAAACATTTCATGTTACTCGGTCGAAATATTAAGTGCACTACACGGGTTTTTCTCTAAGACCTTACTACATAATTTAACGCTTATTAGGGTAAAAAGCAGAATGTAGACACTGTGGCATACCAGTCAGTTATTTAGCTAGTTATTTACTAGACATACTTCTCAGGAAATCAGTGATATTTCCTAGTTTGAGAGAAATGGTGAAGTGTGGGGATATTTAGTTAAGATTTCATGACAAGTGTTTTGAGAATTCTGATAATGTAATACAGAATCTTTTATGACGATATAGATACAATTACTCTTTGTGCCTTTTGAATTTCCGAACACTCAATAATCTTTCTTTAATTATTCCCTCTCTCATACTTCTTTTATCTTCACTTGAGTTTATTGCAATTGATATCATTGTGTTTCCGTTATCCCCCTCCTGTCAATTTAAACTGATACACTTCTGTTCAATGTGTTGTGTTCATATACTTCTCAATGGGTAACAGGTGACTCTAAACTTTAGGAACCCAAACGGAAATAACCTTACGAACGGACAAATGACCTTGACAAGGACAACTTTAACCAATCAGAAGGCTTAAAATGAACGGCGCATAATTTCTGCATCTGCACTCCCTGCAACGGTAAACATAACCGTCGATGCATCTCGTGTATCTTTGTATATGCATTACACCGCCGCACTGGCAAGTTTTCGATCTCGCTATCAGCCCGTTCTCTAAACAGTAATCAAAAACAAACTCTGGAGCGAATTTGCACCGCAAATGATGTACAGCATCCATTGCGAGTCAGATGATTGCCTGCTCAAGGTCATTCATCAAGGTCATCCGTTCTCAAGGTTGTTTTGGGTTCCTAAAGTTTAGAGTGTTACCCTAACACTCTGAAAACTTTGCGTTCTCTGTATTCATTTTGCATACAACCAATTTCATAGCTTCGATACTTTCTGTTTTATCTGAAACAGATGTCCCACCGATGACATTGGTTGGTGGTAGTGCTAAATCACGAATTGGTAGAAGTTTGAGTTTATGGACTGGCCAGTGAATCGGGTCCTAGTGGCTGAATGGTATACAAGCTCGCCTTGTAACCAGAAGATTCTGGGTTCGAAATCCAGTGCGTGCGTACTGCTGATGATTCCCAAACTAGGATGAAACAGTTGTCCAGTCCTCCCAGATTGTTTTCAATGGTTCTCTAACTGATATCAATCCGTGATCAACTCGTAAAAACAAAACAAACCAACTGTTGAAAAATAATAATAATAATAGCTATTCCAAATAGTACTTTTGGTATAAATATGGAATTTTCTCCATGTAGTGTAGTACTGAATCTAATTTTCCCATTACAGGGGCAATAATTAAAATAGGGCATTTACATTAATAATGTTGTTCAATAAGAAATGAATATAAAATTAAATCAAGTGAAAATAATAGCGACAACGTAACACTGATAACAAAATATAAGTGCTGTTTACTTAGAGTTCCTCAGTAAGTTGATAATTTCCTGTCTTACACTTTTCTCATCACATGAAATGTGTGCTAAATAAATATTGTAGCTTTTTTGAACTTAGTCGTCCGGAGCATATAGTCTTCTATAGTTGCTTTTAGTGCTACCCGATGAGATGCAAGGAGAGAGATGTGTATGGAGAGCATGTTCAGAGTCTGACGGGATAATATTTGCTAATTTCTTGCTGAAATCCAAGTGTCTATCTACAACAGTATTAACCAGTTGGTTTGGGAGCACTCCACTCGCCATACTGATAGCTTTTAGTACCCTTTGCAGTATAACAAAGTCTTTCTTACGTAATCCAGGAAAGATTAAGAGGGAACAGCAAAGAAGTATAGGCAGAATACAAGAATTAACAAACAGCAACAGTAAAAACGGAATGATACCAGATCGTCCTAACTTCCTTACGTTGAACGTCAAACGAAATATCTTTCTGGAAACTAACACGATGTGGGAAGACCAGGAAAGCTGATCAGAGGAAATACACAATCCAAGGTATTTAACATTCAATTTGGTTTCAACTTCAGTGCAATCTATGATAGTGGAACTGTACGAACTAACTAGTTCACGCAAGTCGTGCTTGCGTCTGAAAGTGAAATTAACAACCTGACATTTGGAGGGATTAAGCTTAAGACCATTTGATGAGAACCACTGACTAATTTCTGATAAAACAATACTTTAAATGAATAGTATCACTGTTCAACACAAATGTTGACAATTCACCTTAATTATTCTGTTCTTTCTTAATGTTCGTTTTGTTATTAATATCACAATCAAGGCACTAGATGAAGAAGAATTACAAAAACAGCAGTTGGAAGAAATCAGAGCAAAACAAAATCCTCTTGCAAAGACAAGAAAATGGAACCAGTTAAAATTAGGCAATTGTCATTCAAAGCGTACAGAGAATAAAGGAGCTAAAGAATTATTTGAACAGGTTAGTCAGTATTAATACTGTTGACATCATCACTTCTTTTTTAATTCCTTGCTTTTCTAGCGGAACATAGAGCTTAAAGCTTTCATATTTCAGTAGCAGTGGTGTTGCTTTTACGAAGTGAGGTCACTAGCCTGATTTTCTCTCTTATTCAGCCTAGTTCAGGAGTGCATCGGTCAGTAAATGAATTCGGACCACGTGCTTGGCTGGCGAGAATTCTACCGCTGAACCACCGATAAACTGTAATCCTTTAGATCGCTTAGTTATTTCCGATTAAAATCGTTAATGGAAGTTTGAAAGATTTTCAATTTAATGAATCTGAATTTCAATCCCCTGGTCATTGGTGGATACCAATGGGGATAGATTTTTTGAAGCTACATTAAGTCGTGATAACGAATCAACTCAATCTGAAATATCATGCTTGATTGAGCTAGAATTCTCGGAATAAATAAAAAAGTAATCACCTGCAAATTTGTCTTGCCTGAATACGATTTCCTCCGACAATATCAGTGCACGCTATTCCAGAGTCCCAACGTATGACATGATGGCTGTCTGGTGCTCTTCATTGTTTCGTGACTCTCTGACTGATATGCATCCGTAACATCTGAATTGGAAAATGCCTTGGATCATTATCCAAGAAATACTTAGGTCGATCCTCAAGCAGAAGGCTTGTTCAAGAATAGGGCAAATGGTAACCAATTCCTGTAGTTTAGACTCTTTAGATGTTTGCCCTCACTGGTAACATATCAGCCAGCCTCTTGGATTAAAGCATTCTGAGACAAAAACTTTAACGAATTGTTATCTAATGTTTCACAGTTCTCAGCCGTCTTTTTTTTCTTGAGCCATTCGTCACTAGATTTCTAAACATGGCATGTGAACTTCTTTCACGAACTTCTTTCCATTCAGGGGCTTTAAGGTGGTTGAAATATTCCTGGCGCTGTTATTATTATTAAGATATTTTCTAGACTTTAAGGTATAACTGTGTGAAACAGATGTTGATCGGTGATATAAATTACGGTATTTTCGACCAGCTACAGGTATCCGAAATCTGACTGCTAGCTCACACCCTTCAGCCTTCCTCCATAATATCAGCCTTCAGATACAAAGCCTGACATCATCAAGTGTAAAAATATACACATTAGTGTTTAGTTTAATTGACGGGTTGTTCAAAAGAATAATTTATTCACAAGCATGTTCTTCTCATTACTTGATTTTCTTCAAATGTGTTTACTGAATTTTTTAAGATGTGTTTCAGTCAAGTGAAATCTACGGCTTTCCGACCAATTATTCTTGGTTTAGGTTATTAATTTTATAGAAAAGTGATTTCAAGCTACATTTCTACACCAGCTAAGAATAGACAGTAGTTTCGCTTTAGTTTTAGATTCACAGACAGCTTCTGCTGTTGATTTTTAGAGGGATGGAACTCTGAAACGAACTCTGAAATTGACCAGATGCTCTTAAATTCAACAGCCTTAAATTCAAATCCTCTAGACACTAACGACTAATCTCCAAATTGATTTCCTAGGATTCTAATACAAAGTCGTTCATCAAGTTAGACCTGAGAGTTGATGCTTACTAAAAGAAGTACCACTTATTTCTGATTAGCGGACACAAAGTCGAGAAGGGGAGAAGATGTGAGCTCAGACCATTATTTAGTTCAAGAACCTTAAATGTAAAGCTGAAATCCTTCGGAACAACTGGAGGCACGCGTTCGAAGTGCATACGAGAGTAAGACAAGGATTACTGCCTACTATCACCAATGATATTCTTAACTGTAGTGGACTGGATTATGCGCCAGACTGTGCATTGGGAGTGAGAAGACCGGAATAGGTTGGACGACCCATAAGAAGACTCTAGGAGATCTGGATTTCGCTCTTGGATGATATACGTCTAACGTCACACAAACTCGAAGACTTACAGGCGGAAAGCAACAAACTGGCTGAAGTGGCTGGCAGGCAGCGAAGACAGGACTTCAAGTGAACTTAGAGAAGACGAAGGTGATGGAGATAACCAGCCGCCAACAACAGCAACAACAACCAGCACTAGTCACCGTCATCGGGAGAAACTTGAAAGAGGTTACTTCCTTCACTCATCTAGGGTGCATCATTTCAACTACAAGAGGAACGGATAAAGATGTTAAAGCCAGCCGGCCAGAATCGGAAAGGCAATATACGCCTTCATCAATCGGAAACCAGTTTGGAAATCTTCTGCAATCAGACAGCACAAAGAACAAGATTCCTATTTTCAACACAAATCTGAAGTGAGTCAGTGAGCTTTTCTATACTGGTCAGAAACTTGCACTGTGTGTCATGAAAAGGATTTCCAACAAGTGATAGACTTTTATCAACAGCTGCCTTTGCTGACTTCAGACTGAAGACCAAGTGGCCAGCCAGAAAGAATTAGCAGCTAGAAACGCTAACTGAGAACAAACCAACGAAAAGTCGATTGCTCAACAGATATGTAACGGAAAATGGATATGGATCGAGCATATGTTGAGGAGGCGCGATGCAGGAAATGGCTCAAGTGGAATCCAAATGAGAAGCGACAAGTGGGTCGTCTGTGCGAGGGTGACATGGAGGAGATCTTGTGTTGGCGAGGAGGAGGAAATGGGGGATTATGGCCAATCGTGGACCCAGATGAAGAGGACAGCAGAAAATAGAAGAAAGTGTAGATGTGTTGTTGAAGCCCTATGTTCCACTGATGCAAACTATGACTCGCTGAGTCTCTAGAACCTGCTAGTGATCAGTAAGCATGTTCTTCTGGATAATATCGAGTTAGAATGAAACGTCTACGAAATACTCTTTAGACTTCTTAATTTTCTCAGTGCTTCATAAATAAAATTATCAGGAAATTGAACTCTGATCCCAGAATAAATCTTCAGTCGATTTCTTTTTAACATAAAACTAATCATTAGATATCCAACAACACCATGTCTTTACACAGTTCATCTAGCTTAGCAGAAATGAACACTAAACAGTCTCAACAAATTCATATTACTGAAATCTTCAGCTACTTAATGTATTCCATCGTCTTATCTCATAGTTTGAGAATATGAAACTCAGTGTCTAGATTGACTGGCATATCTATTAAGTTATCATTGTCAGCACCTCTTAAAATGGGATTAACTTCTAACAGTGATTATGCTTAGGTCACTTAAGTGTTACTAATTATTGTTTCTACTTAATTTCTAGACTTAGAAGAAATGGTAACTCCTGCGTAAGAAACTCTTATATAATTGCTATTGACTATGTTTATCAACTTGCCTACACCTTCATTCGTTTTGTTCATTTGTGTTTTATTGTGTTTGTACGAACTACACTTGTTATCGTTATTGGTGTTGACGATGGTGTTCATGTTTGACATTGAGTTTGGTTTTCATTATACTCTGATTTCAGTTATTTGGAACATCATTGTGGATGGAAATTTTCTATCTGTCCATTGCCTTAATCTTTCTATAAGATTAAAAATGGTAACTAGCCTGTACTAATCTTGGAAGTTATTTACTTCGTGTACACTACATTCTGACAGTTAACTGTTTATTTCCTCAATTTTGGTCCGATAGACAAGGGTTGCATTTGAATCGGTAGAAGTGAGACATCAGAAAAATTGAATATATATTTCTCAGGACAAGATGGAAAAGCTGTTTCCTTGGTAACGGATTTCAGGCTCTGGTTAAGTTTCATGATGACATCATCCTTTCTCTTCTCTGTCACTTTATCGGCGTGGTGTTCGAATGACGCACGTTCATCAACAGTCAAATCGTAGAGAACGTCGGAGCTCATTGAGACGTTTTGTTCTAGTTCAGCTAATCTGGATCGGACGTTATCAATGTGATTCTGGGTGTGTCTTCTGAGCGTGCGTGAATTGGGAGATATATGGTTTTGTCTCAGAATGCTTTCGGGTATTCATGCTTATCCAGACAACTTTCCCAGAAGGAAATCTTCGCATTCGCTTCAGCAAGCTTGACGGACAAACATAGAAACTTGTTCAGTTCCTTTACCGTCGAACGGTCCTTGCTCTTTTTCAAATCATGGAATATTCAAATTTGATCATAGGGAATAATAAAAAGCCAGTTGGAGCGAAGAAAATTTCCTTTTTGACGAAGTTATCAACTAGGCTCTACATTCATGTATTTGTAATACATGGGGGGAAAGCTCCAGAATAATTCCCGGTCAAGGGTCAAATTAATAAAATTACAATTAGGGATTAAAATGCCATAATAAACAGGAGAAGGATAAAATTCAAGCAAAGTAGCATCATAATTACCGAGAAGATTGACATATTTTACAATTAGTGGTTAGAAATGTAGAAATAACAAAAATAGATAGGATGTTTGGATAAAACATCTAGTGGGATCATAACTAATGTGACGAATAATTTTTATTTTTTTTATTATAGCTTCACTCCACACAGTATTTTTGATACAAGCATGAAATTTTCAACATGTGATATCGGTAGCCTAAATCTTGCAGGCCGACCACTGATGTCGGGTGTGCGTCGGCCGGGGATCGAACCCCGGACCATGTGCATGGTTGGCGAGAGTCCTAACCGCTGCGCCACCGACGCACAATTAGGGATTAAATATGTAGAAATAGTGAAATGACAAATTAGACACGAACTAAGGATATGAAAATATGGTAGTGTAAATAGGGCTTAAGAAAACTTAAAAATAACATGAATAAACAGGAATTTTGCATAAGAAAGGCAATGGGATGGTCACTACTAAAAGAATTACCTGTTTATAATGGCCATGGCATGGAAAAGGATTGGAGCTATTTCTTTTGGATACACAGTGTGAGTTTGAGCTTTTGGATAGCTAGTGCCTCAGCTTTGCCCAGATGTCTTAATTTTACTCCCTTTGATAGGTTTGATCGGATCTTGTATATTATTTTGAAGGATTTTTCTAATGGGGCTGAATGTCCTGAATTGACCAGATGTTCTGTCACTGGATTATATACACGTTTCCGTTCTCCTTTTACTAGCCAGACTGGATAGTGTACACGAGGAGTGCGTTTTTCAAGCTGGCGCATGGTACGGCCGATGTACTCAGCTCCACACGAGCAAGTAAACTGGTATATGCACGTTGAAGTGGCCCAATGTGAAAGCTTGTCTTTTGTGTTAAGGTTGAACAATTTCTTGCATGAAAACGTTAGTCGTAGGCTTGCGGCGAAGTATGCCTTCCTCAGAGATTTTCAGAGACGTTTACGAAGGATTTCTGCTTCAGTGTCACCTGTGAATTCTAGATTAAGCAGAATTATCTTCTTCGGGATGGACTGAACTTGTTTGGAAGTCTTATTTGATTTGAGATTCTTGTCTATGAACCTAGGTTGAAAACCGTTTTCCATCAGGGATCCTCGAAGATTACTCAGTTCCCACGCATATATTATAAATACACGAATGTATAGCCTAGTTGATGATTTCGTCAAAAAGAAAATTTTCTTCGCTGCAACTGTCCTTTTATTATTCCTCGAAATTATTAAGTTTAATACAATTATTTATTTATATTTACGTATGTCAAAAAGTAGCGTAAATTACACATTTTTGAATTGAATTATTAGTTTGTATTGAAGAGACATTTATTATTTAGTAGCCAGTTTTAGAATCGAATTTCCTTTAAGCATCTACACATTTTGACAGGGGAACTGATAATGGTCTCCTTCAGAAATCCGTCATCATCAGTAAATTTTTCTTGGCATGTTGCTTATTCGCCTAAGTAGTCAGAAAAAATCTGGATGAGATAATTCTGACCATGTGTACTACCGGCGAATGCAGCTATTTAGTGTTTAGGTCCTATCGGTTTAGTTAGACTCGAGTTACTCATACCATTCAGTATCGTTTCTTGTTCTCCTATTGAAACATAAGGCTTCAGTAGGACGTCTTGATTGAACTCCCTCTGCTGCCGTCATTTTCATCTGGCTCCACAACTGTCTACAAGCTTTCTTTTCCTTTTCACATGATCTCCAACATGTTCCACTTGGAAACACACCCAGCTTGTCGCTTCCTATCTGAGTTCGACTCGATGGTTCGGTATTTTGATTCCCTCAGCGGTTCATTCCATCTTCATCTCTTTCTGTATATATGTTGGGCCAGTCAGGGGCTGTTGGTTGACCACTGTACTTTCAAAGTTTTTGTTGCCAGCTTAGTCTTTCTGGGTGACCATCCAATCTACGGTATTAAGGCAGCGAGTTCAAGCGTTGATGAAAGTCTTCAGTAGATTATTGGAATTGATTTTGGTGACTTGTGCTCCAAGTCTGTGAACCACAAAGAATTACTGAATAACTTAACATAAGCGTTGAAAATTCGGATTTACTGACTAATATGAATCAGTATTACGCATACTATTAATCAAAATCACTACAGTCTATTTAATAGCTAGCGAATATATCATGAACGAAGAGATTTTATCCATAGGCTACTTTCAATGTGAATAAGTTTAAACAACATCTCTATGAAAATGTGAAAAGATGATAAGCTGAATATAAACTAGCAAGACTTATCAAATAAAGTGTGTAAGCTGTTTGCAGTCTGTATAATTCAGAATAACTAAATAAGGCAAATTTGAATCTTTGCTCTTCAAGATAAAAGATACAACTTAACCTAGACTAACAACTTCCTACCGATAACCGCTATCATTTACAATGTCCACATCTTTTGAGTAGTACAGAATTCTGGATACATCTTAAAGATAATAATATGAGATTCTTTCCAATGTGGGTAAAATGCATTTTGATAAAGTCTCACAGTGTTATACAGTAATATTCACTGATGACGACGTCTCAAGCACAATTTATTGCTCATAATCATATCAAGTTACTCACAAAACTTTCCAGCTTTGTTTATATTGTTCCACTATTTTTCATCGATTGACTTGATTAGTAGTAGTATTTTCCAGATTTCTGGTATGAGTGATGAGTCATTCCTATTGTACATGTTGAGTGTAGATTCTATGAACACAGATTCAGTAGTCGACCTCCCTCCCCACCCACCTATAATATTACTTTTTAGAAGTTCGACCCTGTCCCACCCTATTGTATGGCTGTGTGTTAATGCATGCAGTGCAACTGCTGAGCTTTATTATGAATTACTTATCTTCATGGGGTCAGTCATTCTAACCTTAGCTAAATTCTTATGTTCTGACAATATGACTAACCCCGATCCACTAGTCTGACCTTTGAAGCTGATTTAACTCACAGTCACTGCAAGGTATTTTGTGAATAATATTTTTTTTTATTGAATTTTTAGGTTTTCCCGTCGATTGACTGGACCGAAGTGCTCGGTCTCGGGTTGACATGTCGGCTTCTTGTGCAGATGCTTCAACGATGTCTGGGCATGTAACTGGAGGTTAATTGGTGGATGGCGACTAGCAGTGGAGTCCAGTGACGAGTCCCAAATAGGACGAAATGCGCATTCTGGATTCCACTGCTAGTCGCCATCCACCAATTAACCTCCAGTTACATGCCCAGACATCGTTGAAGCATCTGCACAAGAAGCCGACATGTCAACCCGAGACCGAGCACTTCGGTCCAATCAATCTACGGGAAAATCTAAAAATTCAATTAAATAAAAAAATAGTATTATTTACAAAATACTTTGAGTTATACTGTCAGTTATATCAGTTACAAAGGTCAGACTAGTGAATCGGGGATAATCACATTGTCAAAACATAAGAATTTAGCTTAGGGTAGAATGATTTACCCTACGAAGATAATCAATTCAGAACAAAGCTCAGCAGTTGCACTGCATGCATTAACACACAACCACACAATGGGGTGTGATAGAGAAAAAATTCTAAAAGTAATATAAGTAGGTGCAGATAAAGAGATTGATCACTGAATCCTGACTGGTTCATCGAGTCTACACCCAACACATGCAACAGAAATGACTCAACTCAAATACCAGAAATATGGAAGATATTATTGCCAATCAAGTCAAGCGATGAGAAATAGTGGAATGATATAAATGAAGTTGGAAAGTTGTATGAGTAACTTGATATGATTATGAGGAATAAATTGTGCTCGAAACGTCGACATCAATAAATAGTACTATATAACATTGTGAGAATTTATCAAAATACAGTTTACCCACAATGGAATTATACTCTACCACAGTGCACAAGTTCTGTTCTTATATCAATAATAAGATTATTTCGTTCTTCATAGCTTCCATTAGTGTTTTGTTTATTTTAATGAGTATAGTTACAGATTTGTTGTTTCTTCTCTCTTAAGCCATCGTCAGGTGTATATGTGTGTTTTGGTGTGTTTTTTCTTCTTATAGTTTCAAGAAATTTATTCAAGTGTACGTGTTCAAGCAATTAACGGAGCACTGGAAACAATGAACACAGATTTTGAAAAGAAAACAGAACAATTCTTTGAGAGAACTTAGTACATTGATTCGATTTCTTATGGATTATTGGCTCCAACCAGATAAATTGTCTAGCGTCAATGAATTATAATATTTTTAGTACAATTTTAATAAATATTCATCCAGAAAGTGTTGGCTTTCAGTCTATGTAATTAAATTAATTCAGTGTATATCTTTTCCTACACTGTATCTCACTTTCTCGCTGTCTCTCTCCCTCTGACTTTTTTCATAGGCAGTCTAAATAAATGACGTAATAAATTATAGTGTTTTCTAACAATCCCTGCATTTTAATATAAAGGTAGTTATTGTCTACATCGATCTGCTTTAGTTTTAGCGCCGTTGAAATGTTCTCCTGACCTTCAACGGTTCGGCTTATAAGAAAAACTTTAACTCAAATTATTATTATTTCCTTTAATTCATAGAAGAAGATAGGGCTTCAGCGACGCGTCTCCATTGCGTTCGGTTCTCTGCCACAGTTTTCACCTGCCTCCAAGTCTGCCCACATGCTTTCATCTCCTCTTCACATGATCTCCTCCAAGTCACCCTTGCACTGACGACCAACTCGCCGCTTCCCTTTCGGACTTCACTTGAGCAATGGCTTGTCTAGTGATGTCACTTGATGGTTTCCTCAAGGTTAGAATGATTGACCCCACGAAGATAAGTAATTTAGAATAAAGCTCAGCAGTTGCACTGCATGTATTAACACACAACCACAAAATTCTAAAAGTAATATAAGTAGGTTTCCTTGTCTTTTCTCAAGAAATCTGAGATCTTATCCCGGTCATCATTGTCTCTGAAGTGACTAGACCAGGTAAGTTACACTCATTTCTGGTGGGATGGGATTACTCGAAACATATATATAGATTGACCCATTTTTACAGATAGTGTCCTCTTGAAACATCTATTCCAGTCATATGTACATGTTTTATGAATTTCATTCTAACAACAGAGACTAGTTGAAAGAAGTCTGTGGTTTGTCTTAGTTTGACTGGAGAGATGACATTCACTAGGCATCTGTTGGTGTATTATGCTACTCACTGCCTAATAACCGGAGGGAGAGTGATGATATGCCGCAGTTTTCTTTTACTTTCTACTGTCGAAAATGTGTGCAAAGCGTCTGGATCTTTTCCTCGATACATACGCTTTGACTACTTTTTCCCTTTGCTTCCCTTCTGTTGTCATATTATTTCATAAGGTATACTTTTCGATGTTTCTACTCCATGAAGTTTGTGTTTAAATTCAGAATTATAATAAATAAAAAATCCTTATACACATATACACACAGTTCCTTTACTTTCCCAATGGAACATGGGGCTTTGAGCTACAGTCTTTAAGTTTCGGTAGCAGTGGTGTTTATTTTTACGGGATGGGGTTGCTAGCCTCATACCCAACCTTCCCTCTTTACCAGTCTTATAACTGACTTAGAGAGGTAAGGGAGCGCGTCGGCCAGGGATCGAACCCCGGACCACATGCGTGTAATAAATCACTATAGATGACATTATCACTACGACGTTGTAGTTCATGCAAATTTTATAGATTGTTGAAAATCCACACGATAGATATTCTCTTGTGGTTATTTTCAGCCTGGAATATAGTTCTGCATACCCCTTGTAATGACCAGAACCCAAGTATTTTGGTCTGAACGCAGAAAACCAATCGATGCCTTTTTTGGTTTCTGTACAGCTTACCGAACTTCGGCAAGTTACTCAGTCAAAATTTACATTTCCTAGGAAAGAATCTGTGGTTTTATTCAACGGTAATAGCTATTATCAAAAATATAAAAACTGACTCAACCATACCGTCTGGTAGCTTACAGTCCAATAGTTTCTTTGGCACAAAATACGTATTGTTTAACAAAAATAATTGACTAAACATGATCGAAAAATTACCAGAGAATAAATAAGAATATTACCAACAGGTTAACATTAAAACCCTGTCTGTAAGAAACAAGCAGAACAAAACATATTTTGCTGCAGACTGTCCAAGGTCATGCAGTCACTCCACAGCGTAAGCTTGAATTCCTATAAACAAAAACGCAATCTTCTTAAAAACAATGGTAACTGGGCAAAGAATATTCTTTTCGATAACGCCTTCATCATCAGGTTCTACAGTTATATATACATAATAGTGAATCGGTTATTGCTATTAACAACATTAATGTTGTTTAAATAACATCGAATCAATAATAATAATATCAATGGTTTACAGTTCGATAGCATCAACATAACAATACACTTTTGATGATATTAGATGGTTGGAGGCAATCAGTAGGAAGTTTTGGACCTAGGTTTCGTGCTAGTTGGCACTCACCAGTCAGCAAGGCGTAACTGCAACCTCGAACCCGCGTTACCCAGTGCTGCAGACGTTACCACTGAGCTATTCGGGCTCGCGATTGACCTCCTGTAGCACTGTACTGGATACTTTGATTCGACACTAGTAACTAGTGCCAACTAGCACGAAACCTAATTCGAAGGCTTCCTGTGTCCGATTGCCTCCAACCATCTAATATCACCAAATCAATGTGCACCGTGATGACGAGCCAACTAGAATGGTGGCCACATTGCAAACCTGACTGACAGAATTCAGTCTGCACCAAACAGGGGACTAGACATATTACACTAGTTACTAGTGTCCAATCAAAGTATTACAATACACTGAATATTACAGAAATTAGGAAAAATAATAATACAATCCAGGTAACGCATACTCCAAACAGCAGAGGCTATCGCTATTCGCCTTAAACAACCGGTGCTCTGTGCGCAGAAGAAACAAGTTCAGCCAGCCACTACTACTTACCTGGCCGGCCTTCAGTGGAGACTGTAAATTCACGAATTTGTATTATTGCTTTTCCTAACTTCTCTGACATTCAATTTATTGTTATGTTGACGCTATTGAACTGTAATCCATTGATTGTAGTATTGATTCGATGTTATTTAAACAACATTAATGTTTCAATATAGAAAATATCCCCATTTACACATTTGGAAAACAGAAAGATTGAGCGAAGAAATATTTACTTTTCAATTAGATCCTCATCTCTGGCTCTACTCTAATATATATAGCATTTTTATTACAATACACAACAGTTTACCAATCAAGTGGCACTGATATGTTTGTTAACAATAATTAAACAGTGTCAAAATGTCAATGGGTTGATAATTAACGAAGAAAATCAATACACATTTAAAAGGTAGAAATGGATAGAATAAATTAATTTTACAAGAATAACATGTAATTAAAGATGAAGTGGTCAAAATAAAAAAAATAAAATAATTTGGACAATTATAATTTTTGTAGGTTTAGGGGGAGGGGGGCAACGTAGTCCTGTTTATGCATTCTTGTAACGATGGCCACGGTAAGGAAAGTGGCTGTACAAATTTCTTCTGAACACATAGGCTTGGCTTCTTCAGGTGGATTCCGATTGCTTCAGCTGTCTGTAGAAGACCTATTAAATTATAATTGTCCAAATTATTTTATTTTTATTTATTTTGACCACTTCATCTTTAATTACGTGTTATCCTTGTAAAATTAATTTATTCTATCCATTTCTACCTTTTAAATGTGTATTGATTTTCTTCGTTAATTATCAACCCATTGACATTTTGACACTGTTTAATTATTGTGAACAAACATATCAGTGCCACTTGATTGGTAAACTGTTGTGTATTGTAATAAAAATGCTATATATATTAGAGTAGAGCCAGAGATGAGGATCTAATTGAAAAGTAAATATTTCTTCGCTCAATCTTTCTGTTTTCCAAGCATTAATGTTGTAAATAACACTAATTCATTCACTATTATGGATGCATATAAGTGTAGAACCTGGTGATGAAGGCGTTATCGAAAAGAATATTCTTTGTTCAGTAACCATTCTTCTGAAAAAAATTTTAATAGGCATTTTTAATCAGTTAAAAACGCAATCGTTTAACGATACATTGTTAACAACAATCCGTCATGATACAACAGTGAAGTGAACTATTAAAAATAGGAATTAACCTAAAGTAAAAATAAGTAGTAAGAATTAAGCCAAAAGAAGGTACGAGAATGTTAAAGTGATGATAAACACGTCAAGGGAAAAGAGTGGTAATTGTAAAATTCCTGAAATATTCAAATAGGTGTCAGTATTATAAACAGATTGTTCGTGAAGGAATTTTCATATAAATTATTCTACGATAGCGTTTTGCTACTACGATAGAAGACAAAAACAAAGAGTTAGAATTAGGTAGGACAAATGTTGAATTAAGTAATTACACCAAAGCTGTTGTGTAAAAAGCGAAGATCAAAGTTAGTCGAAATTTCACACTAAAAGTTGGGTTAATACTACAGTGATTCCTTATCACAAAATGTCATAAGAAATAGAAAGGATCCTTAACAATCATGTCTCTATAATATATTTCCGTGCAGCGTACACCTTGCACTCTGCTTTGGTAAACATTTAGGTTAGAATAACGAAAGAAATGCAGAACAGTATGTACAAGTTAAAATATGGTGGTTGTGATGATATATATATATATATACAGAAGAAATTACTATGGAAGCGTTATATATGTCCAAACTAAGTTCACTTTTAACAGTTTGAAAAAATTTGGGCATTGGGTATGTGATATTCGTTATGATAAAGGGATTTTGTATTTGCCAATGAATGAAAAACAAGACGATATTGTTAATTTTACTGACGTTTCGCTATTTAATGCTGCTAATAGCTTTATCAAAGTATTATTAAAACAAAATTTACAAAATCTCAGCATATATATAACAACTTAATCATCGTTCCTCCGTATGGGGTCATTTTCCGTTTTTAAATTGGCCAATTGGTAAAGATAACGAAACCAGGTGTAGATGACTGTTGGATTTGATAAGTGTGTAAAATTATTATTACGGAAGCGAATGTGTAGGCAAAACAGCATGAGTGGTTTATGAAATAGATCTAAAAGGGTCAGCATATTCGGTTAGCAAATTTTTTTTCACTCGACAGCAACGAGACACTGAACCATTTTCGATGAAACCGAGGTCTTACAAAA